TTTCCATTTATTGAATACGAATTTAGGATGATAGATCGACAAAATTAAAAAACCAAAATGTGTTTTTCAGTCGATAAAGAAAAAAAAAAAAAAAAGAAATGAGAAAGACGATAAAGTGAGGAGAAAGAAAAAAAAAGAGAAAAGGGACGATGAAAAAAAAAAAAAAAAGTCGCGTATGATAAAAATAATATTACAACAATTCGATATTCGTCGGTAATTTGCTCTTGATTCCGTTTGCGCGAAAACTACAAAAAAAAAGAAAAAAAATACAGCCCTATGTAAATAAAACGTATGCGTCAAAAATGGACCAAGGATAAACGAACAAAAAAAAAAAAAGAAATAAAAAAAATAAAAAACTTGTAGCGAGACTCGTGACGCGTTGTTTAATTAATTTCAATACTGATGGAGAATTATCATTGTGCGTTATTTAACGATCGAAATATAGACGAGTTCTCGTCGACAGGTGTATAGGATCGTTCGTAAGTAAAGGTACAATTAACTGTAATGTTATTTAAAAAAAAAAAAAAAAAGAAAGAAAAAAAAACAACAGAATAGAAAAAAATATGCATCTCCCCTCCTGCCCTAAAAAAAAGAAAAGAAAAAAAAGAAAAAAAAACCAAATAAATAAAAAGAGAAATAAAGTGAAGCCTAAGTAAGTATTTACATGCATGATGCGCAAAATCATCGACGTACGCGGCCCATCATTTAATTTGCAAAAATAAATCAAAATAATGTCGTGATCTATATAGATCAATTAAAGATTCGTTTGATAATTTTTGTTCTTGTTGTTGGTTGTTTCTTTCTTTTTTTTTTTTTCATTTTTTCAAGTAGATCCCGCGTACGTCGTTACAAAACAAAGATGGCGCGTATTTTTCAAACGGAATAAGAGCGAATTGAGGCCAATCGGTGTGTGTAAAATTTATTGAAAAGTATTTCATTACAGTCCTATCGATCCCCTTTTATATATACATATATAAATACATATATAAATACATATATATTATATATATATATCTATATATATATATATAGAATTTAGGAACATTCCACCACAGCCGCGCGGTAATTATTTTTCTGTATCCCTGTATCTATAATGAACGATGTAAACAATTGATAATGATGAACTACAAAACTACCATTATGCAACTGTATCATGAACGATTATTATTAGTATTATTATTATTATCATCATTGATATCAATCACATTGTTATTTGCATCATTATTATTTTTTATCATTATTCATTAATTTATTTATCATTATTATTATTATTATTATCAAATTAACTATTCTTTTTTTACGAATTATTATTATTAATCATAGTAATCATAGTAATACATTTTGTAATCATGTCGTTATTATATATTTATATGCATATACATACATATATCGTTATTACATATATGTATATATGTATATATATAATATATACATAAACATACTCATATACATATACATACATATATTCCGAATAATATATTACTTTAATAACAATAAAAAAAACATGAAATTCATAATTCGAATGGAATGGCGCCAAATGTGCTGATCCATCGTTTTTCAATTCTAAATTTGAATTTTTTATTTCTTTTTGCTTGAAAATATTATCATACTTTTCTAATTTTTCTTTTTTTTCAAGAATTTTTCAATGTCGGTTAATTCGCAAAACGAAATAATTCATCATTTTCATAGATCATTAATAAAAAGATAAAACGATCATATGTTTTAACTCGGTTTATTCGTAATAAGTAGCAATGACCAAACCGAGAGCAATAAATTCGGCACTTTCTAAAACGTGTGTGCAATAATTATCCCTATTAGCATCCCATAAACACGCCATTTTGGTATCCACACCTTGTCTGCGTTTTTGTACTATCGTCATAATCACCGTATATTTATAACTAAAATATAAACAAATCGTCGTATTAAGAATTTGATCAAAATAAATCTAAAACATTATTTTAATAATACTCCCATAATGTTTAGAAATATAATTTAATGATTAATACCGATCGTAGGATTTTTTAAATAATAAATCGCACACTTTCGCTGACATATCTTTGCAAATTTGTAGACAAACGACTGGATGATATTTGATATTGTCCAAGGAAGAAATCATTACGTCCTTCAATATTTTATCAACAACTTCTACTTTAAAAGGACTGAAAGATTCCAAACGGTACGTATTCATATATCTTGGTATCTAAACAATTGTTTAATACTAAAATTCATCAAATAAAATTCATTATAATGATAAAGAAATTATAACGAATATAACGTACCTTTAAACCACCTTTGATTTTTCTAAAAAATATACTTGGTCTTGTTGTTCCAAGGCCAGATGATCCTTTCACTATGGAAGGCATTTTATTTCGATGTGAAACGAAAGATTTTTCTACAAAACATAATGAAACATTTATCAAATAAATATTATTGCAAAATGAATATTAACGATAATAAAAATTTTACTAACCCGTAGACATGATTATAATTGTTTATATAAATGTTAACTTTATAAATAATATCAAAAATATATAAGACTTATAAGAAAAAAAGTAACATTACACAAAATAGTAAAAAAAAATACAAAATAGGAAATATAATTAAACGACTTTAATCATATTCTATATGAAACAATCTGAAATTAGCGCGTAACAATAACTGTTATCATAGAACTTGTACATAACCTATGTTTGTCCAATTATTATCGATAAAATCAAACAAAATCAAAGTAAATTTTGTAGGAATTTTATAATTAATGGATATTATCGATAATTTTATTTTATTTATAATCCATTTTAATTGTTATATTAACACGAATATTTTATATAAATAATTATATTAATATTGTTTAGTTTTTTATTGGATAAAATATTGAATGATTTTAATTGGAGCATATCGATTTGTAAGATCATTGATTGGGGAACGTTCTATTGGTCAAAAAAAGATGAACCAATGAACGTTAACTTGAATCTTAAGTGAAGTGAAGGTACAAATGAAAAAGCAAGCTTAATAGTTGGCAGCACCGTATTCTTGTTCAAATGATTCACTGTACCAGCAAAGTAGTCGTAGCACTCTGCCACTTAAACCCGGTATAGAAACGCTTAGAGGTTTCTAAGATGGCGAAAAAATCGCTGGTTGATAAAATTTCTCAAAATGAGGATAGTATTAAAAATAATGACGATATTTTAAATGACGACGAAGAACCGAATTTCAGTGATCCAGAAGGATTTGTTGATGATATTACCGACGAAGGTAAGCACGTTTTATTCCAAATCACATTCAACAATTATTACCCTACGTTAAAGAAAGGCATGGTCGTGTACAACTACGAAATGTGGCACATGCGTCTAACCTAACAAAATCAAACTCATTTGACTTAAGTATATATATATATATAAATGAACAAAATTAAATGAATTTATAAAACTTTTGCTTGACAAATCATCATCTTCTTTTTAATAAGTATATTTTATTTCTAATCTATCCGTGTTTATATTCTTTTTTCAGAATTACTTGGTGACATTATAAAACAAAAACCCTCTGAGACAGATGGGGTTGAGTCAGTAGTTGTCATCGATGGTGTACCACAAGTGGAACCAGAAAGATTGGAAAAATTACAATCATTTATCAGCAAAGTACTTGGAAAGTTTGGTACGATAGTTAATCAATATTATCCTAAAAATGAGAATGGACATACCAAAGGGTTAGTTGCAATTTATCTCTGAATTTAATTAAAATACATCATGGAACTTATGTTAATTAATTTTTTTTATATATAGGTACATTTTCTTGGAATACAATAGCCCGATAAACGCATTGGCAGCAGCAAAATCTGCCAATAATCATAAGATCGATAAGCAACATACTTTAAAAGTAAATTTGTTTACTGATTTTAAGAAATTCGAAGAGATTCCGACAGACTGGGAACCACCGAAACCTCAACCATTTAAAGCAGCTAGCGATTTACATTATTATTTATTAGAACCAGATGCGTACGATCAATTTTGTGTACTATATGGAAATGGGCCGGCCGTATCTGTTCAAATTTGGCAGAACTCTGCTCCTGAACCGACATTGTTGGAAGATCGACCAGTAAGTTTAATTATTTATACCAAATAATGTTGATATTCATGAGGAAGTTAACTGGTTCAAAGGTTAAATTCGGTAAGTGAAGAAGTCCGAGTCTCATGGTTCAGTCAACACAATACCCCAATTTGTTCACAAATGCTGCTAATTAACAAACGATTTATAATAAAACTTAAGCAATATCTTTTTATCAACAGCGTTGGACAGAAACGTACGTTAAATGGTCACCTTTGGGTACATACTTGGCAACCTTTCACAAATTAGGTGTTGCATTATGGGGTGGTCCTCAATTCGTTCAACAAGTTAAATTCAGTCAAAGAGGTGTCGAATGTATAGATTTCTCACCTTGCGAACGTTATCTTGTGACGTATACGCCACGAACTGATCTAGGATCAGATCAAAAGCGTTTGGCTGTTTGGGACATTTTGTCTGGACAAGAGAAACGTTCATTCTATCCAGAAGGTTCATCGGTATGGCCTATATTCCGTTGGTCACATGATGACCAGTATTTGGCTTGGATGGGTATAGATGTTTTAAGTGTTTATGAAACACCGGTAAATTGTTCTTCTATACTCTATAAAAAAAAAAGAAAAAAATAGTTATAAAATAAATATATACTTATATATACTTTTTCTTTCTAGTCATTCAGACTGTTGGATAAAAAAAGTATTAAAATTCCTGGTATTCGAGACTTCAGTTGGTCTCCTACAGATAATGTTCTTGCTTATTGGGTACCAGAAGACAAAGATGTTCCTGCAAGAGTAACTCTGTTGGAGATTCCAAAGTAAATAATTGATTATTTTACTTTTCTATTTTTTTTTCTTTTTTTGAAATCTAATTTTATATGATATTTTCATTAATTGTTATAAAATTATATAGTCGCAATGAGATACGAAACAAAAACTTATTCAACGTTGCTGATTGTAAAATATACTGGCAAAAATCTGGAGATTACTTGTGCGTAAAAGTCGATCGTTTTGCTAAACGTAAAGAAAAAACAGAACAAAAATACACAGTAAGATTTGATTAAAACATTTACATACTTACAAACGTTTCCATTTAAATTCAAATAATTTTGTCTAATTAAATATCCTTTTTTTTTTTTAGGGAATGTCATATAATTTTGAAATCTTTCATATGAGAGAGAAACAAATTCCTGTTGACAGTGTAGAAATAAAGGAGCCGATTCATGCTTTTGCATGGGAACCGATTGGCAATAAATTTGCTATCATTCATGGAGAAATTCCAAGTGTTAATGTTAGCTTCTATGAAGTCAGATGTGGTCATCAGCCAGCTCTTCTCAGTAAGTCAATCATAATAAAATCTTTGTTCTGTTTTATTTGTAAAAAAAAAAAAACAACTTATTAACGTTAATTTATTTAACAGAAAAACTAGAGAAAAAAGCGTGCAATCACTTATTCTGGTCACCATCTGGTCAATTTGTCGTATTGGCTGGTTTAACAACAATGGCTGGTGCTTTAGAATTTATTGACACCAATGATTTTACTATTATGAATTCAACCGATCATTATCAAACTTCTGACGTCGAATGGGATCCAACTGGAAGGTTTATTAACATTTTATTCTTTTTTTATTTCTTTTCCTCTAACCTAATTATATCTTTTATAATTCATACATTATTCACATCCTTTTTTTAGATACGTCGTAACAGCTGTCTCCAGCTGGAAAACTACTGTCGATAATGGTTATTGGATATGGACATTCCAAGGTCGTATTTTAAAAAGAGTTAACTTAAACGCATTCAATCAATTATTGTGGCGTCCTAGACCACCGACCCTTCTTACCGCTGATCAAATAAAAGAAATTAAAAAGAATTTGAAAAAGTATTCTGCTCAATTTGAAAGCAAAGATCGCATGCGACTAACACGTGCTTCCAAAGTATGTCAACTTTTAAAATATAATCATTATTATTGTCAATTATTCGTATGCACATATACAACATTATTTTAATAACTATATCTTATTATAGGAACTCATCGAGAAACGTTGTGCATCAATGAAAGCATTCGAAGAATATCGCACAAAGAGAATAGAAGAATATAACAATCAAAAGAAACGCCGTCTAGAATTACGTAACAGTGAGTATCTTTATCTAAAAGTTATTATTAAATGTACAAAATATTTAAATGTACTAATCTATATTGTTTTTTTCTTTTTTTTCTTTTTTTTTTTTTAGATATCGATACCGATGAATTAGACTCTGACTCTAAAAATGTAGAAGAAGAAGTTGTGGAATTTTTCGTAAAAGAAGAAACGTTTGTTCTTGATGATAAATAAATCAAACAACAACAACAACCATCATCAGATTTGTTCTTCTGCTTGTTGATCTTGGAAATCTCTAAAGCAAAAAGTCAGTTGAATCAACTCTAATCGTGCAAAGTGTTGTCACCGCGGTTTACGGTTTAATAGAGTCATATTATTTTGACTGTGACTCTAACATTACAAAATGACTATCATATATGGTTATGGACAATTCCTATCATATTCTTTCTGCATTATTATTGGAATGAATTCAATAATTCCAATGATCATCCGTATAAAAATACGTCGAAATAATAGTAACATTAAATATTATCACATCCCTTACAGAATAGCATGTAAAAATGAAAATAATTATTCTACCAATTCTTACCAGAACAAAAATTTCTGTTTTTTCTTTTCTTTTCTTTTCTTTTATAAATATTATTTATTCAACATTATTATATCCTTGAAGAATTAATTTGTCCTATTTAACAAACAAACAAAAAGTAAAGTAATTCTTGTTTAAAAAGATCGACAAATTTTTTTACATAAAAATTTGATGTAATTAACAAAAATAAGAGAAAACATATTATTAAAGTAATAATATAATTTATTTGTGTCAGATAGATAGGTTTGTCTGTATTTTAAAATGAAATATATAAACGGAATATATGCTATGTACTTTATAATGTTTACGGAATTATTTGTTTATTTACAATTTTATATAATTCGTAAGTTAACGCGAATATTTTTTTTTAACAAAGTCAATGATTTTTTATTAAATTAAATGAAGACTTTTTTTTTAATATTGTCCGATGATAGCATAATCTATTTATAACTATTATAAATATTAACGTAATACAAAGTTAATTATAATGAAGTAAATTGAGGGGGTATATTATCGGTCCTTGAGTAAAATCATTGGAATATAAACAATTTAAATTGTTATAAACATTAAAAAAAGTATCGAAATAAAACAACCGTTGTGCGTACCCAAGCAGGAGTTATGCGATCTTCTTGATAAAATGTTCTTTCTGTAACTAATTTAGCAAACGTAAACAAACGTTCTTGTTCTTCTTGCAAAGCTGCTTGTAATTTTTCATTTTTAGTCACAATCGCAACTTGTGTCTCCAAATCTCTATTAACTGATCTGTAACCTAACATATTACAGACAGTAAAATTATTTTTATTACTATATTAACATCTAACATTATTTCATCTCATTTTATTTATTATTTATGTCATACCAAAATTAGGTGATCCGACAAGAGTTAAACAAGGTCTTTGTTGACCTGGTAAAAAATACCAAAGTCCTTTGGCGTGATATGTCCATCCTGGTTTAATAAATTCCCATAATGTTACTCTCTCTTGTTGACCTAATCTTTCGCACGTTTTATAAAACAATTCTTCTATTTTTGTGTAAGCTGCTGGAATAACGCCTGCTATACCTTTTGCACCTATAGATTAAGATTATTATCATATGAAAGATCTATCTATTATTCGAATGTGAACAAGTTTTATATTAATTTATGTATTATATAATCAATATACTAAAAAATCCATTAGCTGTAGGATGTGCAGTTAGAAGATCGCAGGTAGCCTGACACTGTTTAAGTACAGCACTGATATAATCTGTAGTCAAATTAAAATATCCAGTTGCTAATTTAAGTCTAGCTCCCAATGGAGCTGACTGTAACAATTTTAATGTTACTTCGCTATCGTGTTGTATATTAAGTTGTCCCATTTGCACTAACGGAAAAACCCAAGTATCCGCATTCGAAGCTTCTTCTAACGAATAAAACATAAACTATTAATTTGAATATACAGAGTTGCCCTAATAATAATTCTTTAATATAAAAAAAAAAGCTGATTATACTTTGTTTGTTAAGTTCGATACGTTTTTGTATTTCACTTTGAAAAAGTGTTTTTATTCTGTGCGCAGCTTCTTCAGGAAATTCTTGCTTAGGTCCTTCGCATGGATGAGAATTTAATGTTGAATTTAACTTCGTAGTACCATCCGATTGTAAAACAAAACTAAACTCTCCCACCCTTTGAACTAAATCATCATAAAAATCACAGAGTTCTTTAGCATCCTCTATTACAAAATATCGGTCCTGCCGATTTGTGAAATAATCGTTACTTAAATTTGCACTATAAAAATATACAATTTGTTTATTGTCTTATTAGAAGAAAGATTTGTTTAAAAACACACACACACACACACATATATAGCTACGTACCCACTAATTATTAAAGTGTTATCTATCATATATAATTTCATATGTTGTAAACCTATAACTTCATTAAATCGATCTGGCATAATAGCCTTTAAAAGTCCACGAAGTTTAGGTGTATGATAAAGAAATACTTCGGAACAATGTGCATATTTTCCTTTTAACAATGGTTCTAACATTTTGCGTGAATTTTGCTTACCTCTAGAACCTCTCATATAATCTAATAAAAATTTAGCTTTAATATTTCCATTGCTTGAAATAATAGCCTGCTCTATTGTTTCTACCTATAAACAATAATTCATTTTTATATTTGTTTTATTAAATTATATAACGACGTGCTAATGTATTAAATAATCTTGTTATTTACCAATTCAGATTCTAACTTTCCAGTTCCAATATACAAGGATGCAAAAGTTATTCTATTTTTAGCAGATTTACATTTTTCTATTAATGTGCCATAAAAATGAACAGGTTCATGAATTATCGTAATCTATAATATAACATTGTATATAAGATAAAATTGATATCAATTTGAAATGAATAATACATGTACATATGCTACTAATGTATGTATACATTACTATCAGTTTTACCTTTGAACCATTTACAGGAAATCCTGGTGCAACTTTATGCAACCAACATAAATCATCTACTTTAGAACGTAACGTTTCTAATTCTAAAAATTGTTCATTGAACATTGTAATTTGCACTTTGTTTCTTGCGATAGATAAATTAATTCTATGCGGTTTTAAATATGTTTGAAAATTAACTAGTTTCAATCCATTACACCTAAAAAAATTTGATTCAAAATATATATATTTAAAAAAAGAAGCTTATCTTTAATGAAATTATAATTGTATTCTTCAATTGTATTATTAATTAATATTTATATAAATATGAAAATAATACACTTATAACAATAATAATAACTTAACGTATTAAAATAAAACAAAGATTAAGAAATTAAATTAATTAAGTATATATACACACACACACACAATAATATTTAACAAAATGTCAAAACAAATGTTGTGTTTGAGGTTAACACGATACATTATTTTTTTCTCTACACTTAAACTAATAACATTTTAATTTTGATGCACAATTACCGTTTCAATATTCGCTTCCAAAACTGTGATGTGGATATGTGCATGAGTAAAATGTTTAATAATTATTATTAATTAAATTTTTTTTATTACAATTTGTTGAATCTGTGATTTACCAAATGTTCTAGGTTTAAAACAGTAAAGCACATACAACATATATATAGGTTAAACTTTAAAAATGTTATTAATCACTAAAGTTTCGTCAGAAAATAAATTATATTATATGTCGCAATGATCGAACTGTATATTTTTCTGTAAATAAAATTATAAATACATTAATATATATATATAAAGAAAAAGATTTAAATGTTTAATTTGTGTTTGTAGAATTTTTGAAATTTTATCCAATCACAAAATTGTTGATCTTACAAGCGCAATTATTACGTTAATAATTTTCACGTTAAATTAAAATACAAAATGTAGACGAATTAGAATTTAGTAAGATATATAGAAAATTAATATTTTGTTTTTATTTAGAATATTACAAATTTATTAATTGACGAGAAGATATATTCAAACATGGAATTGTGTATTGATTAAAAATAAAATATGGCCTCGAGTTCAAATCTGCAATCAATTGCAAAGTAAAACATTGCAAATTTGTATCATTTACCTACTATGAATTTATAATTTCTTACTATATATATATATACATATATAAATATTTAAAAAAGAAAGAAAGAGCATTAAATCATTTAATATATTAATAATAAAAAGAACAGAATAAAATTTGAATAAAAAAATAAAAATATTGATTAGAATGAAATCAGTCAATGATTCAAACGTGTCTACGGCATAGAGATATCACAGATAGGGGAGATAGACCATAGGCGGTTGTGTAAGTGGAAATGTCTCTGCATAAACTCATCGAAAGGTTAATGTTGTCTCTCTCTAACTCATGCGGTACTGGCGCATGCGCATTAGACTTGTCGTGCCACCTCTACTAGCAGACTAATGCGCATGCGCCGTTCAGCGGAAGTTAGAGAGAGACAACATCAACCTCCTATCTTCTATCTCTTTTTATTTCGCCGACAGATTTTATGCTGGCTTGTTTGCTCTATGTGTAGTATCTCTATGGTCTACGGAATAATTCATCAATGATATATCGATTAATCGATATGATGTTATTATTACATTTCGATAATGACCATCTATAGTCAAATAATTGTCATTGGGTATACGTCAATTAATTATCATAAATTATAATTTATTAATTTTTTAATCAATTAAGATGTGAAAGAAGAACAATTGTCAATTTAATTGAAATAAAAATGAAACAATATTTATTTACATTATCGAAGATAATATATAAGTAAAAATTTGTTAAATATTTGTTAAATAAGAATAAAAAAAGGCCTTCGAAAATGAAAGTATTTAGTTGTAAAATAAAATTTGACGAATTAAGATGTCACTACTGTACTTATCGTAAATCACAGTGGGTTCCTTTTTTTTTTATGTTTATCATCACGTAAAGTGACTTATAAGTTGAAGGTGTATTCAATATTTTCAACTATTGTGTGTACGTGATTAAAAAATATTAGTGTAAGTAAGTTGAATTATCTAATAAGACTATCACGAAAGATAATCCATTTCGTTTACATTTCATTGTAATGAGCTATATTTATTGTTTATCAAACAGAATAGAAATGCCCATTAATCAAACTATCATTATTATTCTTTTCTTTATAATATATTAATTGTTAATTCAACAATTATCTATTATTCATAATAGATAATTTCGAATATATTATTTATTCGTACGATTAATTCTGTCTTCAAATTTGCAAATAGATTAACCTAAAAACGAATACTTCAGATGAAATCTTACACCAAATATATAATTGTCAAAATGAATATTTTTATCAAATATTTAATTACACAATTATTTTGTTATTCAAATTTTGTAATTTTAAAGAGAATTTATTTTGTCTAAATAATTCTTTATAATATTATTATTGATGATAAAATTAATATGTTTTAAAGAAAAAAAAAAAAAAGCTATAATTCATTTTCTAAAAATAACCGATTACTCATCATATAATGTTGTGTTACACAAGAGACTAGTAACTTGTCACATATTTACCTAATTTATGTGTTGGTGAATGAAATTTTGGGCGTTGACACTTGTTAAATAATATTTGATTACATACTTCATATTTTACGAATTAATATCATTTTTTTATTTTATTCCAGTGTTATGTCACACATTTTTTTCATTTGCATTTATGAAGAAAGAAAGATTGTTATATGTTATTAAAGAAATTATACAAAATATATATTTAAAAATTAATAACATCGTACGATTCTTATATATTTATTATCTATATATCTATATTTATTATCATTTGACACGAGTAATGATTCATTCATATTTTTTTGCAAACTAATAGTTTGCATTTATATATTATAGAGTATGCATTATATATTAATTATAATTATTAATTATTAATAATATATATATTATATAAAATGTCGATTTTTTTTCTTAATGTAATACAATGTAATAGTATCATATGTATAGTATGTGTATAATGTAATAGTATCATATGCCATATATATATATATAGTGTCATATCTATTATGTCATTGATAAAATATCAAAACAACTTTAAATAATGCATGCTAAATATAATTGCTATCTATTTTATTTATATAATAATCTAAATCGTATTTATTTTATTTAGCTTAAAATGAGTAAAAATACTCCACCACCACCATATGAACCTCCACCCTATGCACCTCCGTCTTATAGTCAAACAGTGGGTGGAGTTCCACCTGCTAGTCCATTTACGTCTGCCGAAGTGTGTGAGTTTAAATATTAATCATTATTTAATTCTATATTATTATATATATATATATATATACTTTTAAATAAATCTATAATAATACAAAAATAACTTTATTAATGCAGATGCACAAGGACCAGCTATCGTAACTACTATTGTCCCTATGGGACCAGGACCAACTCATACTATTTGTCCACATTGTCAAGTTGAAATCGAGTCTACAACGAAAACAGAACCTGGCATGATCGCTTACATTTCCGGTGTTGTAATAGCTTTACTTGGGTATGAATATTAAATAAATTATTCGATTAATTAACAAAAGTCAGATAAAATAAATCATATATATGATATTGTAATATTATTTTCAGTTGTTGGTTCGGTTGCTGTTTAATTCCATGTTGCATTGATGAATGTATGGATGTACATCATACCTGTCCAAATTGCAAAGCTTATCTCGGACGTTATAGAAGATGAATATATATTTTGATCTGGAATCTTTAACATTGAATTTCAACATTACGATATAATTTTATTTATAATTATGATATTATATCTAATACGAAATTTAATTGATTTTATTCTGCTGCTTCTCTTACATATTTATATTACAAGTGTAATGAATTTTCCAGAGTGTCTTGAAGGATAAAATGTAAATAATATTTAAACTTTTCTTCCAAGGTACAAAATAATTAACAGTGTGTAAACGATGATAATGGAGAGAGAGAGAGAGAGAGAGAGAGAGAGAGAAATGAATCAAAAATGTCTTCTTATCTATTCAATTCTTATATATTATCAATCGAAAGTATTCTCGTATGGGATTTAGTTGGAAGAAATATTAAAGATGAAAGTTTATTCATCAAATATATATATATATTTATAATAAAAAGAAGAAAAAAACTGCAAATCTATTTTGATGAAATTTGTCAAAATATATTATTTTTGTTATTAGCTACTTGTTGATTATATTGCGAGCACATTTTTAAATGCAGCTATTATTCTATGAAAATAATAAAATAATCTAAGAGGCAACTACAAATAATGCATTTCGTCCAAAAAATAAATACTCGCACTATTTTGACAAATTTCACACTTTAATTTTTTTATAATAATATATTTCAAAGTTTGATATAATATATATATATTGGTATTGAAGCAATTTGTATAATAACAGATATATCTATTGTAATGTTATTTTTAATATACACAGTGTATGAAATGAAAACATTTTATGCGCTATTTTTATGTTTGAAAATATCTATATAAATAAATTTTTTGCATAAAAAAATCAAACAAAATTGTTCAAATGTATATATAAATATTTAAATCTTTTATTCACATTCGAAGAACCTCATTATTTATTAATCCCGCACTATTTATTTTTTTTCATTTTCTTTTCTATGATGAAAATTAAAATTTCATCTAAAATAGAAGGAAATACAACAACAAAAAATGAGGCTTATTAATTAAATAAGAGTATAAATATTTTTTTTTTTATACAGTAGGAATAAGGACGTACTTTATTTATAGTTTACAGTACAAAGGGACCCTGCAATGGGGGGGTAACAGATTTTAATAGCCATTATAAACATTGAAGCAGAAGATTAATGTACATAGACATTGACCTATTATGCCTAAAGCATTAAATATATGAAACTCTAAAAAACAAAATGTGTGTTAAGAAATATGTAAATTATCTTAATACTCTTCAATGTTAACTAATACAATGATACTACAGTTGTATATCACCACTTTCTGATTATTTCTTAAACTGTACCTCGACATAAATAATTTTTGTTTATAACATATTTTATATAGTCTTCTACTATTCTAAATTTTATTGAACAATAAGATTTTATTTAATTATCATTTCAACAGATAAGATAAGATAAGATAATTAATTATCACCTACTACAATGCTTGTCAATAATTAAATAAGCAGGACTGACTAAATACTTTATTTATTTACTTTGTTTTATTTGATTAGTTTTTTTAGATTTGGCTTCAATTTTATCCTTCAATTTATTAATCAAGTCATCCAATTCATCCTAAATATTAAAAAGAGAAATGTTATTTCAAATATAATCATAATATCAAAAAAAAAGTATATGAATTAATATGAATAATAAGACATTTATATACATGTACCTCGCTATATGTGTACATTAATGTACAGTTTTTCAAAATTGATTTATTTTTTCCAAGCACTTGCAATGCATGCGTTAAACAGTAAACACTATCGTCTTGCGAATTGTTTACCAAAGATACAAATAAATTCGCTCGACAAGTTTCACATTCAAAATCACCATCATCTTCCTTCACCTTTTTCCCTTTACCACGTTTACCACTGTCAGGTAAAGGTAATTGCTGTCTATTGATTAGTCCTAATGATTTTAATTTTTTACGATGATCTATTTCCCTTTCACGAATTTGTATAACGCTTGGTAAAATCTGAAAATAACAACAAGATTATTAAAAATAACAAAATATATTATTTGTACAGACTGTCAAAATGATATCAAAATGATTATAATAATTTACCTGTTTTAATATATCTATGTTAGATCGTGAATCATTAATAATATTAAACAATAATCTTTCAAATGAAAAAATGGAAGGTTCACAACTGTCCTGTATATCCTGAAATCAATTTCATAAATATAAATATATATTACAAATGTAATATAAAAAATAATACACAAACATATTTTGATACACACTTTGAATACTTGTTCTGCAGTTTCTAGCCAAGAAGGTTGTGCAAAGTAAACGCTTTCTGATACGACATATCCTGTACATATACTTGATGTAAATGCTTTTGGAAATACAATAATAAATTGTCCAGGTTCTTGAACGGTTTGACACAAAGAGACACCATTGCTAACTAATAGTTCTGGTGGTACCATGGCAGTGTCAGAGGGTAACCATATAGTTTTGTTTTTACAATATTGCGGTACCATTCTTGTTAAAGCTTCTTTAAAATTATTATTATGTTCGTCCGGTATACCGTACCAAATTTTTTTAGCACCTGTATGGAGATATTCGATCCACGGAAGACCATGAGGATCACGATACCAACAACAAGCAGTAAATAACATACCAACGTGTAATGTTGGTACAGTTACTCCTACAAAATTAAATAATATATATATATATATATTTTTTTTTTATTTATAGAAATGTATATATATATATAATATGAATTCCATTGCATACCCATTAACGGTCCTAAAGCTCTTAATACTGATCCAGCATTATTAGTAAGAACTTTTAAATTCCATGGATGTCTAGCAAATGGACTATTTTTGGCAACAGAAAAACCAAAACCACGTCCGCTTGAATCAATGCTTGCCGCATGCACGCAGATATGACGTTTTCTTTCTGTTACATGTTTCCAAAATGCAGATTCAACTTCATCCGCAGATGCACCTTCGGATTCATTTCCAGAACGTTGATTTTCTCCAAACCACATGCGTTGTGTATTTCGTGCGATTCGGTAGAAGGCATTCAAAGGCATATTCCTGCCCTTTAATATATATTAATAAAATATAATAAACATAACGTTATATTTGTATATATATTGTTACTATAAACATTAATAATATATGAAATATAAATAATAGAATTTTACTTAACAAATATTTATAGTATTAGTGTATTAAAATAAATGAAATTTAAAAAATTCAATAATCTCTGTATTACAAAATATTAATAATATATTGTTATTTAATATTGCAAAATTTGTCGTATATATATATATATATATATTCTTTTGTAATTTAGCTATTTTAAAAATAATTAAAACAATACTAATTTTTCCCTTTGGTCGTACTTTTACAATACACTCTTCAATTTCATCTGAAGTATCATCATCTTCGTCATCTTCGTTATCAGTTGTAGATGTATCTTGCATTTGTAACGTTTTATATTCTCTTTTTATCCATTCGGCTTCAACTTCAGAAAATAATTTACTACGTTCCTCTATCAAAAAATAATAATTTAAGCATAAAGAGAGCTTGATTAAATCAAATTACTTAAAATGCATCAATCATCATATCATACCTGGCGACAAAGTATCATATGGCAATAAATATTTACAATAAATATCATCTAATTTAGTGACACGATCTTGTGCAGATTTCGGTATTTTCATTCCATCTGCCACCTTTTGCCACTTTTTCTTTTCAATAACTTCTTTCAAACCACCTAAACTTTGAACTGTTTGATACAAATGCGGTAAATCAACTTCCATGCCACCAATCTAAAATAATACAAATACAAAAATATGGATAATTAATATATAATTACATTCTTATATATATATATACATAAGAATTTATAAAAATATATATATATATATATATATAAATAATAATAATATATATAATTGTAAATAATTAAACAATATATATATATATATTTTTTTTACCCATGGTGGACGTGTAAGAGTTATACTTTGTGTTGCTAAATATTTTTTAATAGCCATCATTTCTTTCACATTAGGACCCCATCTGTGTAGCATACGATGTACGTATTGATTATAGGCAGTAAATCGCATATCATCGGATACTTTACACTCTGGCTATAATAATGATAAAATATATTTGAATTATTAATTATGATATTTATTCACAAAACATCACCTTTTTTCTTTCATTTGTTATAACAATTATATAATAAATCATATACATTAGGTAATATTGATATTACCTTAAAATTAGGAGGTGGAATAACTCGACAAATTCCAAATTTTTCAACAGTTGGTCTAATTTTATCAATGTATTCCAAAGGATCTTGAAAATCTTTTTCCGATGGATGAAATGTTGGTGCTTCTACTAGACAAGCTTCGCTACTTGACATTCTTTCACTTGAAAGTGTACTGCTACTTAACAAAGAAATATCAGATCCCTTTTGTCGTGATTTTGCTTGAGACCTACACAATTATTAACACATTGAAAAATGTACAACATGTAATATACAATAATTAAAATTAAATGGTTATTAATTAATATATTATTTTACCTCTTTCCTATTTTAACTGAATCCACGGATAATTTTCTTTCTCTTTGATTTTTCGGTACTTTTACTAATTTATCTGTATTATTGTTTAACTTTGTTGTATTATTTTGTTTATTTGTTCCTGACACAACAACATCTTGCGATTTTGTTGGCGAAGGTATAGAAAAGGTTTCAGAGGTGGTTACAGCAGTTGGAGCCATTATTAAATTAGTTGTATTTGGTGCAGTATATGAAGCAGCATTTGATGCAATGTTTGATACAATGTTTAATGCAGTATTTGATCCAGTCGATGACGTAGATTGAGTCAAATTTTCAATTGAAGAATTTTGCGTAACTCGGGTTGTTGGTTGTACTGTTCCAACAGGAGGACAACGAGCTATCGACAATGGTGGCTTGGTAACTAATTTTGCACGTAGAAGAACTCTTTGATTTGGGCCAGTTGGTCCTTCGGTACCCAATTTAACAGCAACCCCTTGTATCAATTGTTGACTTGGAATTAAATTGGGACCTGCTCTTGTAACTGCTTGCAATGGAATGTAAAACAATTGACCATCATTGTCACTGTTCAAATTACTATTGTCAGTTTGTGTAGATATCTCAATACTTTTCTGTTGTGTCACGTTTGTTGTTTCTTCTTGTTCTTGCTTTTGTACGCAATCATCGAAGTTGACTTGAACAGCTATCGAAGTGCTACAATTCACATCACTCCAAGATGTAGTCAACTTATCTAAAGATAATACTTGTACGTTAGTTAAACTTGCAAAATTCTGTGGCAACTCGAGCTTGTTTATGCCCAATGATGCTGCTGCATTTGCTGAAGAAGTTTTTATTTCATTATTTTCAAGTTCCATCATAGTACTTGTGGCTGTGGCTGTGGCAGTGGCAGTTGTAGTACTACTCGTGGCAGTATTATTTGTTATAGTATTAACAATGTTAGTAGTAGCAACAGAAGTATTGATACTAATTGTATTAGGATTAACAATCTCATCTTGATTTTTTAATACATTAAGATGAACGTTTTTCGTATTTTCTTCCGTTGTTTCATACATTTTTTGTTCCGATATTGTTCCAACGTCCATAGATTTAGTGCAATCACGAATTTTTCTTCTGAATGGCGTATTAACAGGTACTTCAGTATCACTTTCAAATGCATAAACGCTGCTCTCATTTTCAGGAGAAAATGCATTGGAATTAATTGTAACTTTTCTTTCCTTAATCTTAGGTAAAAATCCTTTTCGTCCTTGAAATATTGATTTTTTTTCACCTTGTGATTTCTTTTCCGGAGAATTACTAAGATTAGATTCTATTAAAGATAGATCTGGTTTAAATGTTTTTCCATATACGCCGAAGGATGAATCCTTATGCAGATTGTCTTCTCTAATCAAATCTTTCCAAGTATTCTCCATTTTAATCTTACTACTATGAACATTTGGATATTTAAGATCTATAATTTGTGGATCCAATGGGAACGTAGAATTATGTTTTTCTTGAATTAACAAATGATCTTTAGATTTATCGGCTAATTTGGAAAGTGTTACATTAACGGGTCTTACTAAATGTTGAATTTTGGTCGGTATGGATAAATGTGGAACATCGATTTTTAATTTATCCGTATTAATAATAGGCTCATTATATTTAAAACTAGGTATATTTTCCATTTCTAATTTACTTTCTTCCTTGGCTAATGAACTTTCATTTAACCATTTCTCTATTTGTTCGGTAGACATATTGACTCTTTCTTTTCTCATGTGCAAAGCTGACAAAGGTATATCGACGATATTTTTAGATTCGATTTTTTCATGATTACATTGACTTTCTTTCGTCTTTTGTAACATTGGTATTTGCAATTGAACGGAAGTTGGTAAATCTGATGCTGTTTCTTGCTCTTGTATAGTTGTAATTGGCGATGAATTACTGTTTCTTGAAACATTGTGTTTTTGTATCGTTAATGAATTTTCATCGCGCGACACACTTTGTATTTTAAGCGTATACGAATTTCCATCTTCTTCTTCGGGTACAAGAAGATTTGCGTTTGCGTGTGTATGACACGAATTTAATACCGTTGAAATCGCTTTCTTAGTAAATCCACGAAATGATTCCTCGTCGTCCGATATTTTAGATAAATCTAATTTAGTACCACACATCTTTGTACAACATTCATTAGTTTCTTTTATTTTTTCCGTAACAACAGTAGTATTTAATTTTTCATCGTTATTACAGACCTTTTTCTTTCTTAATTTATTCAAAATCATTCCTAATGTTTCTTCGTCCGAATCAGTATTATTATCTCCATTATTATTATTATTATTTTTCTTAGTATCCTTTTGATTATTAGATTGATCCTCCTGCTTGTCTGATGGTAATTCTTTATTATTAGCACTTTGATTACGTTTACGTTTCAATGCTAATTTATCTTTACTAGATTTAGTTAAATTTTGATTTTTATTCATCTTATTAGTACTCGTATTATTTTGAGATTCTAATTTCGTGGCTACATTTTTAGAAGAAGATCTAAGACTACGACTTATAGGTTTGTTTAATTTACCTAAACTTTGTCTGGTAATAGGTCTTGCATTACTAGTCTCAACAGACTTCTCTGATTCTTCCTCACTTTCTGTTTCAGAATATTTTTGAACTTTAACCAATCTTTTACTTTTAAGTGCCATTTTATTAGATACATCCTTATCCGAACGTCTAGTCATACCAGTAGATGCAGCAGTTGATCTTGTATCTTTAGTTTTACCTACAGATTTATTCGTCGACTGTTTGATCTTAGCTTTCATTTCATTTTCTGTTTGTGCTATTTTACGAGCATTTGGTAACTCTGGAAAACTGTCGACAGATAGATTATCATCGTTATCCAAATCAGGACTAACTAATTTTCTTCCAAGAATTTCCATATAAACGGCTGCTGCTTCTTTGGTCTTTCTCGTTGGTCTACGTGAAGGATCCTTCGCAGATGTTCGTTGACTATGTGATCGAGTTACTCTTCGCATTTCCGTTTTACTTCTGGTGCATATACTTTTCTGTACTGGTTTGTGCATTGTACGTAGTTGTTTCATTTGTGAAATTGACTTTTCTAAAGATAATTCATCTTCATCATTCATCGAATCTTGATTAGATGTATCGCTGTTTCTTTCTTTAATGAGAATTTTTTTCTTTGGTTTAACTAAAACAGGTTTTGTTCTAGGAGTTTCCTTCTTAGATTTATTTAATAAAGTGCTACTCCTTAAACTGTGTCTTTTATTACTATCAAATTTGGTAAGAAATTTCTTGGAAGTTAATGTACTTCCTGATTTTAACACTGGCCTTTCTGAACACGATCTTGTACGTATGATACAAGAACTTTTAAATTTTCTTTTAATTCTCTGCTTGGCAAGACGTTGTTCTTGATATTTTTTCTTAAGTGCTTGAACTGTACACGCCGTAGTTTTAAATTTGTTAACATTTTTCGACATTTCATTAGAAGCATCTTTCTTCTCTGTCACAACATTTTTAACTTTATTAACATTTTTTGGATTAGACGAATCGGATTTTTGTTCTGTCACTGGAGTAGTCGAAGATGTAGTGGTCTTTCCTGTTACACCATTGGACGAAATTTTAGGTGTTTGTTTTTCCTTTTTACTTCCAATATTAAAGAAATTTAGACTCGGTGGTAAAAGTGATGTTCCTAAATAGAATATTAATCATTCAAAATTTATAATAATCAAGAAGAATATTATTAATTAATCGAATAAATATATATATATATAAAATATTATTAAAAATACCTCGAAAACATAGAAAAGTTAAAAAGTCTTCTGTATTAGGACGTTTATGTGTAATCAATTCAGTTATTACAGCAGGTTTAGCTTTTTCTTTATCCTTTATAGGTGTCGGTGGTAAATTAAAAACCGTCGTAGCACCTTGTGCAAATTTCCTTTGTGCATGAACCTTAGCTCTGTAAAAAATCAAATATTATTATTAAATATTATATGTTTTTTTTTTTTACAATTTATGATATTTCTGATGAAAGATTATAAAGCTTCTTACAATAAACTATTAAAAATTAAAACATTTTTACTAGAAATGCAATGACTGTAAAAAAGATGTTTGAATTACAATGATACATTAAAATTTATGATTTTTCTTTTCTATTATATTGTAAAATATGCATATTGCATATATATATATATATAATCCTAATACTTTAAAAGATGTATTATTTATTAAAATATGAAACTACATGCATGTGGATAGCAGTGATACGTAAACAATGTTTAAATATTTTGGAAACACTTGCCAGCCAATGATGTAGATCAAATAGAAATGTACGATGAGTTTTAATTTTAAAGATAGACACACTTTTTTTAACTGGAATCTTCATTTCTGCTACCTGTTTAATTATAAATGCCAATGCAAAATGTATTTCACATTACATTTGCAATACTCTATATAATATATGTAAACTAAACTGACAATGGATTAAAATAACAAATCTTATATATCATCTTTTTTTTTTTTCGAGGGAGATCAATTGTACAAATTCTAAATAACAAATTGTATTTTGTTTTATTTAGAAAAAAAAAGAAAAAGAAAAAGAACTATTTAATTAAATGTTACCTTTTCGGTGATTCCGAAACAGGCTCCATAAGATCAACCAGATCACCTTCCTTCCTTTTTCTTTTATCATTTCGACTTAAGACCATTTTTAAATTCACAGCTTGTATATTACAATTTTGTATATTTAATCAATTCAAGTTATACAGTTAAATATATGTATATATGTATATATATTTATAATATATATGAGTATATATGTATGTGCGTATACATTATTTAATATAATTTTTATATAACACTTAAAAAATATACATTTATATATATCTGTGTATATATATATCACCGAACATATTTCTACATGTGCACATTTTAAATAATTGTCAATAATTTTCTTTAAATTAAATAATTAAACTAAATTTTAAAATCACATTGGTTTAACGAACATTAATAAATAATGGTATGTATTAGAGAAAAAAAAAAGAAGAAATATTCAATGCTATTTTACAGCAGTAGAAGATAAAAGGATTAGAAAAAATCGATGGATTCATCTTCTACCCTATTTATATCTATATAGATATATTTACACGTATTACACATTTAAAATTAATTCACTCTTTATTTATATACTTTGATTAAAATATATCATTAATTGCACGAGAAATAAAAAAAATATTTAAATAAAACCATTCACTATATATTTCTCTCTCTAGCCACTTGCTACGATTGTTTATTATGCCAAGAAGATGAAATACCACGCTGTAACCATTGATCGAAATGAACGTAGACTACCAAAGAATCATACATAACCTCTAACGTCAAAATTTCGATTTAAGGAATTGATATAAAAGATTCCGATTGGTCGAGATTATTTTCATGAAGATTCTGATTGGTCGAGATCATTTTCATGATATTTCTCTTAAATTATTAATTAAAATGAAAACACAGAATTATTATTTTATTAAATATAATAATATTTAAATATATATATTTTTAACGTAAATAATATTTATAATTTATTATAAAAAATGTATTTTTAAATTTTAAATAAGACGAAATGTTGCATGCATTTAGAGCACTATAGAAATGCATCGCATAGGCAGCGCTATCTATTGAGAGAAGAGAGAACATATGCAACTATTGAAATATACATTTTTTTTCTTTTTTTTTTTTTCTTAATACATATCGGGTACATTTAATACAACAATTATGTTAAATATTTTTTTATTGTAACATATGTTCAATTATTATTATTATTATTATTATTTAATAAATATCGAAAGCGAATATATTTCAAAAATAATTTCTATTCGAAGATGTATTTTACAAATATGAACATATTCGCTGATGCTAGTTCTTTTTTTTTCAAATAAATAATTCATTTATACAAATCAATTGAAAATTTCACAAAGAAAATTAATAATAAAATGTCAATTTTTTGTTTCTATCAATTGATTTAATTGTTTGCATTAAAAATCATAAGTTTTTTTTTGTTTTTGTGTTTTTTAGCCGTACATTTTTTCGAATGTTTTTTTTGTGTTTTCTTTTTGCCGCAAAATTACATAGAAGTCGCGTAATATGTCGAATATATAGTACCGCATTTATGTATGTATCTATGTGTGTGTGTATGTGCGTGTGTGGTTAGTAAATGTTTCAATTTATTCGTTCTCCTATTGTATTACAAAAACGTAGTATCCTTGGTATGTAAGATCGTTCGTCCTTGTTACCACTCGTTGCAGCCATTAACATATCCGAACATATTGAGTATAATTCGTTCCTGGTTTAAAAAAAAAGAAAAAAAAAAGAAGAAAACATTTCGTTTAGAAATTGTATCATTTAAATAGAAGAGATAATTATTATTTCCAAAATTATAAAATGAAATGTTTAAAAAAAAAACAAACGATTAATTAAATCGTATAATCTAATAGCGATTAATCGAATTTCCACTAGTTTACTAGTTTATTTTTTTAATTAAATGTTTATCATACAAATACTGGGACTAAGTAATGTTGAAATATATTAATTATTAAAATAAGAACTAATTAATTCAATTAGTAAAAATGATATAATTTAATGATTTTTATTTTGCATAAAATTATCAATATCAATAGAACAACTTTTAAATGACTATTAAAATTATCGAATACTATTGTTTTGATTTTTATAGATTATAAATTAAAGATAATTTAAAATAATATTCATTGTTTTCTATTTATTATAACAAAAGAAGAAGAAGAAAAAACAATAGAAATAAAGTTTAATTTATTTTTTGTTTTTTTTTGTTTTTTTTTTAAATAAAATCACCAAACTAGATTTGCACAATTTCAAATCATTTGAGAGTTTGATCAAGTTCTTGCATAAAATTTTGTCGTACAATTACCTGACAATATTTAAATTGTTCGATTCTTCGTAGATTCGACCAGGATGAATATTTTTTATATCCGATCGACCAAATCGAATAGTAATATCCGGTGATTTCCATCGTGGATGTCTATCAACTTTAACTTCTTCCGTTTCACTGTCCATACCACCATTTTCTGATTGACTACGGCCAAATCTTATGAATGAAGAACCCATATTACTTCGACGTTCCTTCGAATCCTGTCCATCGGAATTGTCGACTCTTTGTCTTTTTAAAACGTATTCAAATTCATTTAATTTGTCACCATCGAGTGATGTTACAATTGAAGAAGATACCATACATTGGAAGCATATACAAATCAGTATGTACGTCGATAAAAGAGATCTCTGTAATAAAAATATATTACAAGTTTTACTTGTAAACTTTGAACTTTGTTGGTTCATTGTTGTTTTTATATTATAAACTCCCGTTTGAAACTTTAAATTTGTTTGTAAAAAAGAAAAGAAAAGAAAAGAAAAGAACAAACCAAAAAAAAAAAGAAAATCAACAACAAACGATAAAGTTTATTTATTGTACGTGTTTGCGAAACTTTGATAATCTCTTAACGTTCTTACGAATTTGTATTATCTTTAAACAAAAATTATTACACTTAAAAGAACTTTTTTCTTCTACTTTTTGTTGTTTACTTTTCTTTTTCACTTATCGCAAAATACAAAATACAAAAAGGTACGTAGGCGTACGTATTCTCTTCTTTATCGTTGCGATCTCTTGGGACCTACTTAGATAATTCAATCTAAACTTATTTGTGAATAAAACAATACCGTCTCTCTAATTTAACTTAATGTGCATATATCTATATATACAAGAATATTATCAATTAACATAATTTATAAGATAACTTTGTATCATAGGTTTGAAAATTATTAACAATATCGATATAATCAACCATCAGGTATCATATTAAATGACAGAAATTTGTTATGACGAAAATTGTCTGACATGAAGCTAAATAATAAGCACAACTCGAGAATACTATATATTAAATGATATTTAAGCTCAGCAATAAACTAAGGTAAACGTATCTTGTTACGTATAATTTCTATTATTAATTACTCGGAGACATGTATGCGCGCACCCCCATGTCCATATATTTAATGACATGAAATCGGATCTAAACTGTCTATAAATTAGTCTATATATATACACACACATATTAATCTAAAGTATCTCGTGTTTAATAAAATATAATTATTAAATATAAAAAAAAATGATAAAAAGTATAAATAAATATCTAACAAATATATTACAATACTTATAAATAACTTCTTATACCCCGTTACACCATAAATAATAAAAAAAAAAAACAGATTAAAAAAATAAAAATAAAAGTATGATAAAGGGTACAAAGGAATGCAACAAATATTTAAAATGAACAAAAAATCTAAAATAAATGAAGACAATGGACTTACCATATTGCAGATTGAAACTGAAGTCTTGATAAGGGATGTTAAAAGTATAAGCCTATCTCCTTCAGGATGTTGTGTTGTAAGCTGTTGGTGGTTGTTGTTGGAATGAGCGTCCTGGTGTAGGGATGACACTCTTTATATAGGGATGTACCCTCGGCGCAGCCACCAAACCACCCTGCTGCGCTGGATAGGAGATAGGTTCACCTGACTTATGATTGGCCACGCGTACAACACGATACCTCTACATTATTTTGATTCAATTATACCGCTGACTACCAACCTACGTAATATCCTTTATTATTTATGACTCTTGGCAAATAATAATCATCGGGGGTATCTAACATGGATATCCACCCGGGCCAAGGAGAAATGACAAGGAGACTGTGTCATCCCTATCCTTTCTTTATGTTTTCCACTTCATTCAAACTCTGACACGTTTATGTACGCGAAACCATACAGAAAAGCACTTACCGGCTCTTTCATGAATCCCGAATGATGTGCAACAGGTAGGATTGTCCTTGCTGAAGTAACAGGTACTCTACTAAGCTTACCCCCTTTTCTCTCTCTCTCTCTCTCTCTCTCTCTCTTTATCTTTCTTTCTTTATTTCTCTTTTTTATGATTGTATTCTTGATAAAACATTTACCTCGTTAAATACACTTTCCAGTATTTTTATTTAGGTCAACAGTGCATGAATAAACAACAACAACAACAACATAAATTAAATCATGATTTTTTTAAACCAAAGACGATGGGAACATATCGAGAGTACATTTTTCATATTTTAAAAAAGAAAAGAAAAGAGAAAAAATGAAAAAAAAAAAATAAAAATAAAAAAAATACGAGATGTCGGAGACTTTATTTGATATTTTTTTTTCCCAACTTGTCTTTTTGAGATGGAAAAAGTTCGAGATAATCCACAAAATGAGACCTTGAACGAAGAAGTACTTCGTAAAATGCATTTCTAATGGATTGTACGTTGGAAAATAATAGCAACAGCTGTTGACAAATATAATCCATTTTTTTTCCACGTATTTGTTCATTTATCTACGTTATTTTGAAATATTACAATTAATGATCGTTGATTAATTAGAAAAATGACAAATTTTTGTATTTCATCGGTGTCTTTTTTTTTTTTTAAATATGATTTATCATGGTTACCAACCAATTATTTCTTTCATTTTTTTTTTACAAGTGATGTAAATTTAATTTTGAAGTTTTCATTAAGCACGAATGACATTTTTATATTGTTAATAACAAAGCTCCAAAAAACGATATTATATTCATATAAAGAAAAAAAGTTTGATGAATAAATGCTCTCTAACACATTAATATGTATTTTTTCTAATACGAGTCTATTTACAGTCTCAACAAAATCTTCTGTTCTTTTAATTAATCTTTCTGTTCTTTCTGTAATTTTAACATTAAAAATCTAACCTGAATTTATTAAACATTAATTAATATTTTGAAATATAATTCGAACGTGCAAAACTTGAAATATCACGAATTGTATAATAATAATAAAAACAAAAAAAGAAAAAATAGATTTACAACACTTGGATAAAAATACTCGACAATAGTACATAGCAATTGAATGGATTAATCATACTAGGAATCTATTTTGATGGACCAAAATCTAACGTGACAATAATTTCAGTAGTTACAGTAGCCATCATATAAGGCGGCTGACCTCAGACGCCATCAGTTCATCGGCTTAAAACAGATTATATACCCCCATACATTGTCACACCCTATACAAGGGATATATACAATGCACGTAGCTCAGATTAAGAAACCTAACATTTTTCAAGATCAGGTACCAAGCATTGTTCCGTCATATAGATTTATATACTTCTGACATTCCAATATATGTTAGACAATCCGGATAAAAATGTTAAAAATCTCATGAAATAAATCAAAATTCATGAATAAAATCTAACGAAAAATATGTGATTGATCATCCCCTTATACTTGTTAATTCAAATTTAACCTTTGTTTACCACACTTGATACAAAAGACCCAGACACCTTTTTTGCAAACTTCAATCATTTTTCTCAATTGTTCAAGTTTGATAATTTTTTTAAATATATTTAAATTTAATTTAAACCTATAAAATCTATTATAGTCATTTTAAGTAAGTATTAAAGAAGTCTGAAAAAAATGTTGAAATAAATCTATGCAATAGTTTGTTTTTTATAACGAGTTTTCTCGTCTGGGTCCAAAAGACCCGGGTGTGGTAAGCGTGTTGCTCCAGGAAGGAAGGGTGGTAAGCAAAAGTGTTAAACATATTTTTCCAATATTATAAACATTTTATCTGTATATTGTATAATAATAATTATATAATTGAACGATTTTTGGAAATAATATTTATATCGTAATTATTTAAAATGAAGACAAATGAATTAAGAAAATATAAGAAAATAAAGTTAAAGTTGGTTTATACAATTTTGAATAAAATTTTGAGACAAATTTTGGTTTTTTTTTTTGATTATTCAAAAGGGATAAATGGAGAAGGGATCGATTGATTTTTGTTGTTTTCTTTTCTTCTTTTTTTAATGAAATTTTATGATAGTTTATTTTTCATTTATATTTGTCTACGTATTAAATGTAGAAGATAAATTTATTGGCACCCTTATAAATGTAAATTGTTTATCCTTAGAATATTGTTTACAATACGACATTTTGTTCTTCTTATCACCCATTTTTCTTCGTTATAATATTAATTTAATCAAACACGTGTTTATTAAAGAATTAATTCATTATTATTATTATTATTATTATTCCTAAAAATAGTTATGGCAGCCTTCAAACGTATTGTAAACACGTACGTTTGCTTTCGTTTAAATGAGAATTATTTAAACGTTGTCATGTGCAGGATGAAATTTGGTCATTGTTATTACTATTCTTGAATTATAATGAAATAAAAACGAAAGAAAGAGAAAGAAAAAAAAAACAAATAGAAAAAGAAAAAGGGGGAAAGAGAAAGTTTCTTTTATTTTTGATACAACGGTGTCTAGTAAATATGTGACTAGAATAAATTCATTTTCAAAATTTACTGTTACGATTTCAAACATTTTCTTATATATATAAATATGACGACGAATATTAATTTCTTAAATTATTAACCCCTTGAGTATTGAATTATTTGCAAATTTTTATGTATACACAAACAAATTTAATTTGTTATTGTAATTATATATGGATTAATATGTCAAAGTAATACATTTTATTTGAAATATATTTATACTGATGATATAAATATATATATATATATTTTTTTTTGGCAACAACAACATTTTAATTACAAAATATTAATAAATATAATAAATTAAACAAAATACCCAAGAGTAAGCAGCAGATGACGTGTCTCACTCGTCAAATGTACCCAAAGGGTTAACTCTCTCTCTCTCTCTCTCTCTCTTTGTACGTAAAAATTAGAGAGATAATTTTTTTGTTTTGTTTTTTTTTTTTTTATTAAATAGAAATATTTAATTCACTTTTTATTACATTGCAATAAATAATCGGTTGATCGTTAAATAATGTGATTTCTTTTTATCGTAACTTTGGCTGCAATACAAAGTTTAATAACATTTCGTTATTTCTTCTTTTAAATCATTATACCATCAATGATTCATTCATCTTTCATTTCAAGCATTTTAATACTGAAAGAAAATTAATTGACGAATGCGCATAAGAAGAAGAAGAAGAAGAAGAAGAAGAAGACAGATGAACGATATTACATATATACAACATTCATTTCCTTATATATTATTATTCTCTCTCGACTTTTTTCTTGTGCATAAACAGCAACATCCCGTACACATGACTTTTATCGTTGTAATCGATTGAAAAAATACATTCACGACAATATGAACGTATAATAATATTGTTTATATTATAATGTGTCTTAATTATTATTACTTTTTGTTTTTTTTTTCTTTTTATCAATTCATTTTTATATCGCGATAAATACTATAAATATATTTATACATAATATGGTTTTTTCTTTTGTTGTTGTTGTTTTAATGCATCGTATCTAAAAGAAGCAACAGAACATACATTTTTATTGATTATGATATTAACATTTATGTCTTTGTCATGGATCCTAAGAGAAAAGGGTTTGTGTTTCATTTAAAAAAAAAAAAAAAACAATGCACACAATCTGGGATGTTAAATAATATCAATAAAATATTAATCATTATTATTATTCTAATATCTCTGAGAAATTATTTGGAAAAAAAAAATAAGAGTAAAAACAAAGTTAAATACTTTGTTAAAATATGATTGAAAAAAAAAAAAAATACATTATTTGCAAGCTGATAAAAATCATTGTGTTATGTCCCAGATTGCATTATTATTATTATTATCATTATTATTATTATTAATATTATTAATATTATTATTATTATTATTATTAGCGCTCGCGCATGTTGGAATGCTTCTCTTGATATTATGTAGTAAATAAACTGCTATCAGTCTTGTAATATGAAAATACTAACAACATGAATTATCATAGATATAAATTCGTATTTTTGTTTTGTTTTTGTTTTTTAACACTTTAAATCATTTATATAACAAATATTTTATATATATAACAAATGCTCGAATTGAGCGGTGGAACTATATTGGTATTACAGTCTACTCCGTTAGAATATTATACGGTATTTGACTGAATTCTAGCCATCGTTAAAATTATTCAATAAGGTCTATATTATTTAAGTAATAATATACCAACGTTTGTTTATATTAATATTTGGGGATAGGACGAAGATAATAATTTCAATAAAATCGTATTTCTTGTTCTCTCCCTCCCACCCTTCCTCCCTTCCTTCCTTTCTCTCTCTCTCTCTCTCTCTCTCTCTCTTCATATATGCAAGCATAATATGAAATCTTGATCTTATCCCTAAATATTTGTAAATAATCTAAGCGATAACGTCGACTCCTATAAAAAATCGAAAACGCATATTATATGCTAAACGCTATTTTGTGAATTCGGATAAAAAACATGGCAGGTATCTCGTTATTTATTCTTAATACTGAAACGTGTCTCGCATCGTTCCTTATTTAATAATAATTATGTTATCTATTTAGGTACAGTACTTTCTTCGTCTTGCTGTTCGCTCATTTCAGCAGCCGAAGGTATAGTAGCCAACAAACGTACTGCTAATCTAGACGGTGAAGCTGGTGGTTCGGGTTCTTGAATCGCAAGTTGTCGCGTCAATCTTGGCTTAGGCCTGATAGGTCTTGGAGTGTTGCGTGCACTGATCTCTAAGGAGGCTGTTGATCTTGACATACGCCACGTACTGGTGCTGGCGGTAGCTGCTGAACCCGAGGAGTCATTACGGGATGAACTAAGGTTGGAATCTTGAGATGGTTTCCTAGTTACCAACCAAGATGATGTTCTTCGTTTGGGATCCAATAATCTCAACGGTATACCACAATGATGAGTTTGTCTCCAGGAGTCCGAACGAGATGAAGAGAAGTTCTCGCTAGAGGAAACCGATGAAGCACGTTTATGCTGTTTCTGTTGTATTTCAGCGATTTGGTAAGCGTAGTGATCGTTACGTGTATAACGTTGTCTTTGATCAGCCGCGCAAGGCCAGAGAAATCTAGTTCCCCACCATCGATAACTGGGGCACTGGCTCGTTTCCAATAGTTTCGAAGTGCAGACGCATGGTGCTTGATGTTCCTTAGAAGATCTGTCCACCAGACTATTCGTATTAGCTGGGGTTTGGCGATTACTGAAATTCGAACTATGCCGACATCTGCCGATTCCTCTTGTAACGCGGGACTCTTCTATTGCTTTGCATATTAAAATGCAATCCTTTTTGAATTGTTTCGTTAAAATAGCATATAGAAATGGATTGCAACAGGAATTCAGTGGTAAGACGAAAACAGCGAATACCTTAGCTTGCTCTAAGGACACTAATTGTAGCCCGAAAGCTGCAGTAAGCGAGAAAAATGCTATTGGTGACCAACACAAAAAGTCCGTGAACACAAGTAGTGCCATACGTTTAGCGATACGAGAATCGTTTGAATTCCATGCTTGCGAGCCGCGTATCGCACAGTACATTTTCAGATAACAGCCCATTAAAATTAAAAATGCTACTCCATTGATGAGCATTAGAAAGACTACGTACACTAAGGCTGCAGTGCCACTAGTCTCAAATGGTAAACATATTGCAAACTTCCTGTAATCGGAAATACCAAAGAGCGGTAGACTAGCCATAGATGTGGCAAATCCCCAACCGATCGTCATGATATAAACGGCATGCTTTAATGAAAGTCTTTTATTAAGATGCATTGCATGGGTTATTGCATAATTCCTTTCTAATGTGATCACAGCTAAAGTATAGACGCTCAATTCGGAACTTAGGACACCAAGAAATCCTGCTAATTGACATCCTGCCGACATTTGCCAAGGTATTGCATACATTTTGAATTCTCCTAATGTAGACGCATCAAGCACCGCCAATAAACCTATAACATGTTATTTATTTATTATTTTTTTTCTTTTTAATTAAATTTTTATATATAAAGTTTATAGGAAATATTTGGATTCTTTTATTATTTTATTATCTTACCTAGATAAACACCCATAAAAAAATCAGCTGCAGCTAAGTTGCATACTAAAAATCGAGGTACATCCATTTTACTTCGAGAAAATATCAATACGAATACAACAGTTCCATTTCCAAGCATGGCAAGTAGAAAAACTATCCAAACTCCGCATCGTAACGTCCACCAATCGAACAAATCTTGACACGGCAAAAAAGGACCTAAAAATATTCATTAAAAATTAAAGTCGTATATATCACGATGATGCAAAAGTAATAAATTTACTAACCAGGTTGTGGTAAACATTGTACATGAGAAGGCACTGTTTGTTGTCCCGATGCTGCATTCTGTCCAATTTGTTCCTCAATGTAGTCCTCGCTGTAGGGAGGTACGTTGCCGGAATATGTAAAATCTGGACCAAAGTTATCCCAAAGTTCGTTTAGTTGCGATCCAAATTTATCGCTCAAATTATCTAAAAATTATTATTGCTATGATACTGATTTGACTGTTATGTTACCAATTGAACGCATGCAAGACTTCTTCAATTAGAGTATTTGTATTTCTTGTTTTATACAAAAGTGTAACAAAAACTGTGAAATTGATCTAAAATGTTAGTTGTATTAATCAATGAATTTTACATTAGTTTCATGTATTAGTTTAACATTTCTGATGAATTATTTATTACTAAGCGGCTTACCTTTTAACACATTTTATTTTATATCATGCAAGATGCAAACCTTAGTAATTCAGTTGGCTGTGAATTATAAATTGTGATAAACTCTCATCTTATTTCTATTAGATTTATGACAATTCAGGCGTACAAATGATTTTGTGTAAGCGTATTGAAATAATGTGCATAAATGTACACACATATATATATATATATATATATATACACACACGTATTCTCGATAACGTATTCTCGTTTCATTCACATTTTAAATGAAAAATAAAATAAAAAACAAAAAGAAACATACAAATGACTTACTTAGATGAGGCCAAACATCCCCAAAACTGGTGTTCCATAAAGTCATGTCGAATTCGTTATCCGTAGGAAATAAAATAGATTCGCGTAATGGTGACTGTGTTACGGTGTCTTCTATCTCGATCGATAGAAACGAACAGCAATGATAAGCGTAGGAAAGTACCATTGTTTGTACTCGTGGAAATTTATCCGGTGATGGGAATTGTCTTAAAGCTGGATTGTTAAAAGTTTTCAGATGTAACAATCCTGAGAGTCCGTTAACTGGTAAAGTTGGGAATACATTGTTTCCAAGATTTCTGAAAAAAAAAATCAAAGAAAAATAATCAATAATGTTAAGAAACGTTTTTAAAATTGTATTTCAAGATTTATTGGCACACTTACAAATCCTCCAAATGTTCTGTCTCTGTAAACGCACCTGGATCAATGTAATCTATGTAATTACTTTCCAAATCCCTAAAAGATAACTATACATGAAACGTGTCAACAGTATTTGTTGTCAATATTTATATTTTATATTCACGAATTGATAAATAATATTGAAAAGAAAGAACTTAGCAACTTACAAAACTTGAAGTTTCGATAATCCAGAAAATGCATCTCTCGAAATTGTTTTTAAATTATTATTCGCTAATAGAAGATCATGTAACATGTTCAATGTTTTAAATGGTGCATTGGATAACGAGGAGATCGCATTGTTTGCCAAATCTCTAAAACAAGATTGAAAGACAAATTAATCATGTAAAATATGAATAATAAATGAATGATTTAATATAATAACAATAATAATAATTTGAAACGCAATATAACTCACGTACTTACAAGACGCGAAGGTCATGGCAATTTCTTAAATTTGGGATTTTTGTCAAATAATTCGATTTCACATCGCTGAAATGAAAATACATTACATGTTGATGTGTGGGCTCTAGTTTCTTCTAATGTCATTGTGCAATAAGATGAACAGAGAGAGACCTACATTTCGCAAGCCGTCTAGTAAGAGTAATCAATTTCATTTTCGATACAAGCACAGATGGATTTATGCGAAAAGTAATTGAAAATATCTTCCTTAAGAAATAATTGAACATTATTAAATAATTAAATGAATGCTGTGTGTGTGTGTGTTGTTGATAAAACTTACAAACTTTTCAATTTTGGACATTGAATGCAAAGATCAGGTGGAATCGCTTTAAGCCTTGCCCGATCTAATTTCAAAACCTCTAAAGAACTCGTTCCGTTGAGATTAGGAAAAATTCTCATTTCTTTTACGTCTGACAATATCCTATAAACACATTTTTATTGTTTTTTGTTTGTTTGTTTGTTTGTTTGTTTCATTATATTTCAATAATGTAAATTAACGTTCAATCGTATTTTATTAAAAATCACATTTGGTTAATCTTTCTTATATATATATATATATGACGAAGTAAAATAAAAATAAAATCATTTTGATTTCGCGAATAAAATACATGTACTTACAACTTACGAAGTTTATGAAGATTTTGAAATGTATTATCGTTTATTTGTTTAATCGGATTTCCACGTAAATCGAGTGATATTAAATTATCCATACTTTGAAATATATAACCGTCGAGTATTTGTACCTTGTTGTTGGAAATGGATCTGAGAAATTAGGATAAAAACTATTTTTGATTATGTAAGTAGGTACGACACGATTATATTAAGAGCGTATACGAATTTTCCAAAAGGAACTTACAAATCTTCGAGAGCATCGAGTTTCATAAGGGCGATAGGAATTTCTGTTAAATAATTATCATCGAGCTCCCTGAAAACAAAACAAAAAACAAAACAAATATAATTCGGTTATATTAATTGACAAAAAAAATAAATAAATAAAATAAGAAAAGAAAAAATCGATAAAATTGAAATACTTACAATACTCGAAGATTCGTTAAATTGTCAAATGCATCTTCGTGGATTGTATATAGACGATTACGTCGTAACGATCTTGAAAAATTTTAACGATTAATCATTAGTTCGTAATAATGACATATCAAATAAATGAATGAAATATTTATCAATGAAAATATTATTATTAATTAAGAGTATATATGCGTGTATATATACTCACAAAAATTCGAGATTAGACAGTAGATGAAAAACATTCGCTGAGACACGTGTTATGTTGTTGTTCGTCAAGTCACTGAAAATAAATTAACAATATATATTTTTATATAAATATATTATATTTAATATATAATATAATAAACTATCCCCTATCTTTCAAGTTGAATGAAACTGCACACAGTGTGCAAAATTTTATTCAAATCGATTCAGTAGTTTAGGAGTCCATTGAGGACAAATACTATTATTAAAAATACTATTATCTTCAAATATTTATACAATATAATCAAAATTATAAAACGTATCTATAGTTCTATGATCAAAAAGTTATACGAATATCAGAACGATATAAATAATTCTAAGCCGAACAACCTTCCTGTTAGAGCCCGTTATATCGCTGGAATCTAAATTTGCAGAAATGCTCGCAGAATTGTCGCCTGTGCTTAAAAGATAACTTTGAAAAAAAAAAAAAAGAGAAACAAAAATAACATAATAAAGTAAACTCTACGTAATATATAACGTTATATATAATATTTATATATAAATACGATTCTTTATATATATATATATATATATATATATATATATATATCATATTATCTTTTTATACACTTATTTAAATATTTGTAAAAATAAATAAAATTCAAACCGTATTATTAATTTGAATTTGTGTCTACGTACTACGCGAGTCAAGTATAATCTTGAATTTATTTTCTTCCTTTCTTTCTTTCTTTCTTTCTTTGTTTCCATCTTGTCAAACAATTAAAAAAGACAATTATTTTGAGAAAAAAAAGTAAAAGAGAAAGGAATCATTAAGATTGTAGCATCATTGGAATTAATTAGTTTGCGGAGAATGAAAGAAACGTGAATAGGTATAAGGTTGGTTACGTTGAAGAAGAAGAAGAAGAAGAAGAAGAAGAAGAAGTGTCACGACACATTCGTCAAGTACGGCCGTGACCTCGCGCTGAAATATTTCTCACCGATCGACCGACATCGGTCTCGCATGAATCATTTTCTTCGTTTGCTCGTTTTTCTCGAACTTTTAAACAAAAAAACAAATCGATATTTTCTTTCCCGTATACTCTTTTAAGTAATTCAAATATTGTTTTTTATTTTTGAAAATGAAACAAACACGTTAGAAACGATACATAAAAAAAAAAAAAAACATACAAACTTTATATGCGACAATTTTTACAGTAATCGATAAGTCCGTATATTCATTGACGTTAGATCCTAGACACAAACAACGTCTTATTCGCGTAATCTGATATAAAATTGTGCCAAGCATAACGGACATCTAACAATCCTAAATATGGCAAACAACTAGTTTAACCAATTCCATAATTTTATGATCTTTATTTCGCAACAAATGTAAATAACTGTAGAAAAAACTCTTGTAATCGTATAATTATTAAAAATATAAAATTACAAATTAAAAGAAATGATAAATAATATTAATTGTACTCTTCAATATTAAATAAGATATTTAATATTATTTTCAACGACACATACACACAAACAATATAATATAATCAAATACATAATAGAAATAAAAGAATGTATTTTTTCATTGATAAATAACCTAAAATTAATGAACAAAATTTATATTCATTTTTATATTATAGGTAATTGGTAACTTTTCTATATAACTTGACCTAATTAGGATTACGTGTTGAAATAGAGATTTTCGATAATCACGGATGGAAAATTGGAACATTGCTTTGATATACTAATTTTATTATTGGAAAATGAATTTGGAATAAACCGATCCTTTTTTTTTTTTTCATTCCCTTTTCATCATTCATCGTGAAAATCGTATAGACGTCTGCAAGCAGAAACGTTCTTTCATTCCAAGCATACTTTCTTTCAGTTCCATAATTCGTACACCGCGAGCAACTTAAAGGAATAATAATTTCGACACTCCTTCGAATGCTGACTTGTATATAAAAATTGAAGTTTCGACAGTCATAACTTGTAGATATCTTTCAGAGAAACTTTTAAAATTAGCTCGATCATAAAAGAAAATAAAGACGAAAAGAAACATTACGAATAATAATTTGAGAATACAAATTCTCACATGATTTTACAACGCAACAACGCGTTTTAAAACGAAGAATAATTAATGAATTAAATTGAAATATCAAAATGAAAGTAAGAAAAGTAAATATATTTTCTCTTTAAACAAAGACAAAATTTATAATACGATTTAAAGATGAATAATTATTACATAAATAAAGTTTCATTTGATTTACATTAATGTTGTTCTATTTACTACGTGAGTATCGAAGCGCGCAATATTTGAAATTGTTCTCGAACGTGGTTAAAACGTTTTTCGAACGATTCGATATTTTTCGAAGGTTAGAAATATCATCGATTATCGATAATTATTTAAACGTGATATCAAAGGAAATAGAAAGAAGAAAAAAACAAAACAAATAAAATAAAATAAAATAAATAATAAACAAATTTGAATGAAAAGAAAATATGGATTATTTAGACACGCCTAGAGAACTGCAGGAGGACATAGAACTTAAAAAATGAGAATTACATGAAAGATCGCGCATTCCTCTCGGCGTCATGTATTCGCGTCGTTCGAGAAAAAAACCAGAAAATAAAAAGAAAAAGAAAAAAAAAAGAGCAAGAGAAAGCAAGAGAGAGAAAGAGAAAGAGAGAGAGAGAAAAGAAAAAAAAATTCGAGCATACTTCGAGAAGGCGCGCTTCGAAGGGCGACTACTACTACTACTATTACACTACAGTAATAAAAATGACAGGACAGGATGTAACAGTTAAAACGCGCGACTACTATCCTCTTTCAATCTGATAGATTTAAAAAAAGAAAATAGATCTATCTATCTCTCTATTTGGAATACTTGCAGTTTAGTAATATTAGCCGGTGATCGTAGAACGATGCTTTCGAAAGACCGGCTCTTTAAAGCTGATACAAAATTTGGTCCACGACATATAAATCCTCGCCCATCCGAGGTGACGTTACAAGTCTCCATAGTAGTTAGACTTTGAAGGATGATTTCGTCCTGAGCGTGAGTGATACGACAGAACAACATCATCGCCAGGACGATTGTAGTTCCGTATGAAAAATGTAAATGCATCTCTATAGAACACTAAAAAAAAAAAAACTTATAATCCTGGACAACCCTTCTCTTGTCTTCTTTCTTTCTTTCTTTCTCTCTTCGTTTTCTTTTTTCTTTTCCTTTCTTATCTCTTTTTTATCCTCGATATCGTCAGAAACTCTCTCACACGTAGGCCAACCGCCTGCGGGCCGGCCAAAGGAAACGAATTCCGAGCACGCACGAATGAATATTCCTCTTCGCGTTTCTCCGCTCGAAATATAACCAAAGTAGCAACAGCAATAGCAACAGCAAGTAACAGTAACAGTAGCAATCTCCTCCTCCTCCTCCTCCTCCTCCCAAAAGAAATGTCTATCCTCGCACACGACACAACGAATTGACCGAATCTAACCGAAATGAAAGAATCCCACCGTCGAACGGATTATTCGTCCCTCTTTCTCGATAACGAATGAGAAAGAAAAAAAGAAAACATGAACTATTTCCTAAGAGACGACGATGGCATACGATATACTATATACATAATATATACGACCAACAACCACCACCACTATTATTACCACCACCGACCACCACCACCACCACCACCATATCACCACACGAGTCTGTCACTCACACCGTGCTTACATACATCCACCCACCCACGACGTTGTACGTTCACTGACTGTCATCTCAGTGTGGTGCACGAAGAGTGCGAAATATCCTGGTGGAGGGGATGCTCCTACCTACACTGATTTTTCCTCTCTCCTTCATTCGATATACGTGTGGTGTATTATACCACTGTGCACCACGCTTGGCCTTTCTTCGACCCCCTTCCGCTCACCACCCGCCATTCTCCTTTCTCACTCTTTTTCCCTCTCCTTCTTACTTTCCTCGCACGCGCCAATTCCAACTAGGACCAATCGACTTTCTCCCTCATCCTACTCTCTCTCTCCCTCTCTCTACAAACCTTGCCTCAAGATGATTGTGAAGCAGCCCGCGAGAACTCAGACTCCCCTCGTACCTCAATACATTCACGTATTATACTTTACATTCATTTTTCTTCCTTCATTCTTGCCAAGGAAAGAAATACCCAAGGGATGAATAGTATTCCCCCCCCCCCTATTCACTATCACTCTCTTATTTCAGAGTATCCACCTACTATAAATGTTTCTTTGTATTGAGCTAGTAATTGAATGTATATATATATATACAAATTTATATATATATATATTATGTCGAATGGATGAAAACAAAAATGTTACCTACTTTTATCGTTATTTATTTGCTTCTTTATTTATCTCTCCGAATGTATCTATCGTATAATAAAAAAGAAAAAACAAAATGGCGTACTTATGTACGAGCTAACGCGTTTATTTATTTTTAGGGTAATGTAAAAAAGATGACAAATTTTTGTCTTATCTTCCCGTGTGTAAAATAAAAAAGAAAAAAAGGGAGGTGTTCTTTCCAAAAAAAAAAAAAACAAAAAAAAGAAAAAAGAACTGGAGAGATCCAGAATACGACGAGACCATTTCAAGTTTCTTCGCGTTTATCTCTGACGTCATAGATCGTTCGTCTTCACCCTATATATCCCGCGGAATCTCGGACGCGTAACCTCGGATTCCGTTTCCGATTCCGATCTCATACATAAGCGCAGATCCTTCATTTCTACAGACTATGTTTCGTAAGTTTATTAGCTGTATTTTAAGTTTCTACGATGACAACGTTTCTTTATTCTTAGAATTAATAAATATTAATATCATTGAATGATGCATTTTTATTCTCCCTCCTGTATATCTGGTCACGTGATCATGATCGATCGATTTTTCATCCCTAACGATTTTCAACAATCGATTATTGAATTCGAACGAAATTATAATATTTTTGATTTATATATTTAAATATGTTGATTGTGATTGAAATCGAATTGACAACAATATTATTATAAATATTTGTAAAAAGTTATAATTTTGTGTTTTCTTTCTTCTCTCCCACTCATTTTACAGGGCAAATGTAAATAATATATATACATTCGAACAAGATTCGATTAACAAAATTCTAATGATAAAAAATGTAATGGGAATTTTTGCTATTGTTAATAATGTAAAAATAATTCTTTTTCTATTGGGGATTGGTAAAAAAAAAAAAAACATTAAATTAAGCGATACCAACATAACCAAGGACGTGGGAAGATAGAATTATCTATACTTCTCACATAAGAGTATTGTTATTAATACGATTTTTCTGTATAATTACTTTTGAAAATTATCTTGATTATAAATGGTATTTAATTTATCATCACCTATTCAAATTTCTCTTTGATATTGTAATTGTCTGCATATTTTCTTGTTAGCGATTACATAAATTTTTATAATAATAATAATAATAATAATAATAATAATAATAATAATAATAGTGATGTGAAAGCATAAATGAAAAATAAAATACTAAATGAAATATTACGAAATGATTGAACAAAAGTTATTTTATTACGAATCGAAATAAAAAAGAATGTTATTTTGTTTTTTGTTTTTAATTTTTAAATTTTATTCCCTTAGACTCTCGACAATGACGATAAAAGCAAACTTATTTTGAATGCAAGTCCAGTCGTATGATTCATCCCATTTTAAAAATGTTGTGTCTAGCCACAAGCTTTCACTGACTACTTAATCGTTGTTCGGTAGAAAGAAAAAAAAAACAAAATCAAATAAAAAAAAAATGACGACAAAATATAATAATCATGTGTGATTAAAAATTATATTAAAATACTTAATAAAATAATAAAATAATATATATAATAATGTATGTGTATGTATGTATAGAAATGTCTAGTTATAGATAATATTTACATAACTTCGTCTTACTTATCATTTAAATAAAAAATTCATGTAAAAAACAAAGAAAATGAAAGTAACAAAATTAAATGCTAGAATGTTCAAATTTTCGTAATCTTTTCTACAAGTCCGTCATATAAAAATTCTACAATTTACAAATTGATCATTTAACTGTGGAAGTCCTGTCTGAAATGTTTACAATTATTAATCAATACAATTATTATTATCTGTACGTGACATAAATAGTCGTACAGAGATGTATCATTTCAATATGCTTAAATATTAAATTATTTCTAATGGGTATACATATTTTTTTCCCTTTTTTTTTTTCTAAAAAGAAAAAAAATCTCTGTACTCTTGTAATAATACAATATAAGTATTAGTAACTCGTAATACTGTAAATATTACTTAATATCGATCTGTGCTATTGTTGGTCATCTTTAAAATATAAACATTCTTATTCGTTTTTTTTTTTTTACACCTCTTTTGTAATCCTGTATATCTAGAGCAGATAGCAATCTTAACTAATCCTCTTTACTAAGTTGAGCTCGCGAACCCAAACCTTCATTTGTAAAAATATCAAACTCCTCTCGACTCATCAAAGCAGAACGTACGTCATCCAGCGACAAAGTTTGTGGACACCTGTATATAAAATTATTATTTATTATGATTAGACATCACTAATATTTTATTTTAATTAATTATTATAATAAATTATATACAACAATAATAATAATAATTATAAAATATTCTTACTCTTTGCCATTACTCTTTTCCCAAGCTTTTACTAAAGACGTTCTGACAAGATCCTCCACAAAACATTCCATAGCCTGAAGATATAATAAATGATTTATTTTATATATATATATATATATATATATATATTACATATTTAAAATAAAAAATAAAACTTTGTTATATTATAATTATAACATAAAAATAAATTAATCTTACTCGTATCATAACACGACTTGCACTACAATGTAGAACATTAGGAAAAGTTTCCTCTGGTTTTAACGTAATGCCAATACTTCTAGTTGTCTCGCAAACAAAATTATGCAACGGTAATAATTCTTCTTCTAAATTTAGGGATATAGTATTAGATTTTGTTACTTCGTTATTACTGCCAAATTTAATTGTATGTTGTTGCGTTGTTTTATTATTTTCAGTATCCTGACAAGTTAAAATGTCAATGTCTTCCTCTTGAGAATCACCGTTACTCGTTGAATTCTTTGATGCATCATAAGATGCTTGAAGCCACTTTTTAAATGCTATTGGTTCCGTACACGTTGACGTTGTTGCAGAAATCTCTGTACATGGTAATCTTTTTGCTCCACTTGTTATTGTTGTTGAATCTATGCCAAAACAAGTACGTGTTGGTGTATATCCATACAACCTTGCCCAAAGTATTATCTCTTTCACTGACCATAATTTATCTTCCGCAGTTAGCTTTTTACGTAAAAATGATCTTACTGTTTTTGCTCGCCACCATTCATAAGCTGCACGTTTACCTACGTTATGATTAAAATATTCTTTCTCTGTAGTACAAGCATAAGGATGTAATCGTTTGTAATCTGGATCAGATGCATGTGGAGTAACAATGGGTATCCTACGTATGATAAATCGTAATAAACCTTCTACATCTCTAATTTTTACAGTTTCTATCGTTTTAAAATCTTTTTTGTATAAATCTTCTTTACTATGAAGCTTCCATTTATCTTTACCCAAAATGATTCTCGATTTTCCTATTTTACCATTATGATTCATTGGTTTTGTAAATGTTTGATCCTTTTGTAACGATGATGTTTCTAAATGTGAAGAATTTTTGTTATACAAATTTGCCATGTTGTAAGAAGCGTTATCTGCTATTTTCAATGCCGGTATATTAGAATTTAAATTTAACAAAAGACTGTTCGATGGTTTAATCTCCAAAATTGCATATTTATTATCATTTGTATTATTCGTAGTTGAATTTCCCGTTTGTTTGACTTGTTTCTTTAACAAACTAGTTCCTCTAGGAATAATTATATTCTTCTTCGAATTACCATAACTTAAACAATTGTTCGTATTAATTTGATTATAATTTTTAGCACATTTGGCAGTAGTATCTACTTTAGAAAGATATATATTATTTGTCTCTGTTGAATTACGTTTATTATTTTGTAAAATTAACATATGCTTTCCTGCAGTTGGCTCAAACGAAGGAGGTATTGTAATTTGTAATGGACGCAAAGTAGATTTAAAGTTCATCTGACATAAAGTATTTTTATTCGTCTCATTTATACTATTTCTAAAATGTTCTTTTTGTATAACTTCTTTAGTAGTGTTATTTCTAATCAATAATGACGATGATCCAACTTTTGTACATTTATCATTTATATTAGAATTATCTTCAACTAATTTTTCTGTATTTGTATTAAATGTACAATGCTGATTATTAGAAAATTGTTTTATCAAACTTGTATTATTGCCAGATAGTTCTACTGTCGAATTAACGGATTTCTTAATTGGACTATTATCTGATGAATGTTTTATAGTAATATTATTATCTACAAATAAGTTAGTTTCGTTAGAAATAAAATTATTTAAATAGTTATGATCGTGAAGAATAGAAAATCTCATATCTTCTAATTGTTTTGTATTAATGTTACATTTAGATGTAAGTGTATTATCATCATCTGTCGTAACTGATATTGCCTGTGGAGTCTCATCGATAGACTTTGATTTAATGACATCTAATTGTATTTGTGATTTCATATCACATAACTTATTATCTATATTAGGAACTTGTAAATTATTTTTTTCAAATTTCCCACTAATTATATCAGAATCAATCGTAGTACTTGACTTCTGTGATTTTTCAATAATCATTGAATCAAAATTGTGCTCTTCATTGACAACAGATGAATTTATTTCTTCTTTAGAACTATCACAAATTTCTTTATCAGCTTGTATAAAAAGTTTTGGATCCATCGTACAAATCCATATGTCAAATACAGTTTCAGAACCTAACGTTTGAAGGCCAGTAAACGTAGTATCTAATTTGAGATTATGAATAATATTCATCGGTTTGTTAAGTGGATTTTTAAAATGTAATTGTACCCGAATCGGAAATTCGCCCCAACCTCTTCTTGAGAGATTAAATGGAACAGACGATACTTCGACAACGTCATTCGGTTGATAACTTGGATGTAAAAAAAATCTAACTTTACTTACAAAATCTTCAATTTTAGGAAACTCTTTACTACCTTTCACATATATCGTCCATTTATGACTGGCAGTATCTTCTCTCCATTCTTTTGGAATCCATTTGGAAATATTTCCAATCACTATGCGTTTTCTAACTTTATGTCTAACACCTCTAGAAGGACTCGTCGGTTCTGGTAATCCACTTTTTGGTGGTATATAACGGGGAATTTTTTTTGGTGGAGCATCATCTTGAATGCTTTGACTCTTAAACTGTATACTTGTATTACATTCCTTAGAAGATTCTGTTGTATTTTCAGTCTTTATAACATTATGCTCAGTTGTTGAGGCTTTTTTAGGAGAAGGAGGACACAAATATCCATTTAAAAATCTTGGATCTGTGGATGTTGATGGTACAGCCAAATCATTACACGATAGTTTAGGACTTTTTCCAATCAATTGTTTAATTGCTGGATGGATACGGGTTTGTTGCGTTTCACGAGTTTGAGAATTTTGACATTGTTTACGATTATAAAAATCGGTTATGACAACGTATCGTAATAAATGTAAAGTCTTCAATGCTTTGTGTAATCTTTCTTGAATTTGTAAGACTTCATTTTGTTTGGCATCTATTTCTTGTGAAAATTCTTTCTCAATAATGTCAGTTATTTTCTTTGTTGTTGTTGTACGAGCTAAATCAATCAACAAAATTCCAATATAAATGTTGTGATGCATTCATTGATAGTATGAGCAATTTAGCTTAAATTTAATTTTTACCATTTTCTTCGCAAACTTCTTGTAAATTTTCATCCGTTGATATTGGAATAGTATAATCAGGATCTTGATCGTCAAGTGAATTCTTCACGGTACTCATTTAGGGTACTTAAACTAAGGAAATTAAAAATTCACTACAAAATTAAACTATTAAAAAAAAAAAAACCACGCGAATATTAAAAATTTTGATTATTATTTAAATATATTCAACTTTTAATTTATTACTATTATAATATACATTCATTGCTATTTATTATTTTACCTGTACACTCTCACAAATTTCGAGATGTAATAAGTGTATGTTAATGATGCACTTATGATACAACTTATAATCAAAAGTTAAAATATTATTTTTACATGTTTTTAAAATCATTAATATCATAATTTAAGTGTATACTTCAATATTGTCTTAGTTGCTCACTTTGTTTTAAATGCAATTATTTAAAAATAATTGTAAATAAGACAGCTGTAAAAAAAAAAATCAAATTTAGGTTATTTTATGACCACTTCTGTTAACATACAACTGTACACATCGATACACATGTGCATTAGTCTAGTAAAATTCTCAGTAGAATATAGTAAGGTAACCTTACTTCTCAAGATATTCATTCTTCATTCCTATTGGATGATCGTCTGGACAATATGAAGAGCGAGCACCAATGAGAAAATAGCTCAATAAAAAAAAAGCAAACCAACGTTTAGAAATTGCAGTCACGCTTCTACATTTCTTTTACATCTTGGCTTCAACCAAGGCGGTCTGTATTTTCCATTTTTAGGATTGGAAAAAGGTTTGTTACCAATTATTCTTATATATAATCTAAAAACATCATTTATTTCTAAATTAATATGATAACATTGATGATTTCATTTTTAATAATGAAACATTTTCCTTTAATTTGATATATATATTGGTTATTATTTCAGTCTCTGTAAAGTATCGGCAGGTTTAATTGTAAAAGCATTGCTCTTACGTATGTCACTTAAATTTTTCTTTAAATTGTTATATTGTAAAAAAGTGAAAGTATTTATTTTTATGAATTAAAAAAATGTTCAATATTAAAATGTTGAATAAAATATTTTGTCGTGTGTGTTTAGAAGTAATAAAAATATTAATTAAAATATAACCTCAAAATTAAATGTGAAACATTTTTTTTTTATGTATCATATATAAGTATTGAATTATATTAATAAAAATTATTTTTGTGTGTTGCAGACCATTTATTTAGAATGGTGAAGATTATGAAAAGTGGTAAAGTCGTGCTGGTCCTTAGTGGCCGGTACGCAGGAAGAAAAGCTATTGTTATGCGTACCTTCGACGACGGTACCACGGATAAACAATACGGTCATGCTATGGTTGCTGGTATCGACAGATACCCAAGAAAAGTACATAAACGAATGGGAAAAGGAAAATTACATAAGCGTTCCAAGATAAAACCTTTCGTTAAAGTAAGTTGAATAAAAGATGTTCAATATTTTATTTCTTTCTTTGTATATATTTCTTAATTATATTATCATTATTTGTTTATTTTTATTGTTGTTATAGGTTTTAAATTACAATCATTTAATGCCAACAAGGTATACGGTACCTGAACTACAATTAGAAAAAGTAGCTCCAAAAGATCTTAAAGATCCTATGAAACGAAAAAAGGCACGATTCCAAATTCGTGTTAAATTTGAAGAGAGGTACTTAAATTTATATTCATTCATAATTTTAATATTAAAGTAGTTATAATATTGAACTTCATATAATTAAAAAAAAAAGCAATAATTCATAATTCATATTAATTCTAATAACATTTTTATAATGCTATAAATAATTCATGAATTTTTGTTAACAGGTACAAGTCCGGTAAAAATAAGTGGTTCTTCCAAAAATTAAGATTCTAATCTTTTCAAATAAATAATTACACTGAAAACTTATGATGTGTTTCATTTTTATTAACTTTATAATATTCCTCATTAAAATATTGATCGAAAAATACTTGAAAGAAAATGATTTTTCATACTTATTAAACACATAACTTTTGAACGATTCATTTTTAAGGAATATAATTTATTTTACATTAATACATAATATTGACAATTTTTACTATCTCATTGAGTTTTAATAAATAAATATAAAAATGTTATTATATATATATATATTTATATTTTTATATAATTTCAATAATTTCAATAAAGTGATTAAGCTGCTATCGATTACTTATCAAGCTTCGCAACACGTTCGGAAAGTGACGTTATATTATTTTTAATAACTTCTAAATTAGATGCAAAGCTTTCTTGTACACCAGCGAGTAAACATTTATTGCTATCCATAAATTGAGTATTTTGTTTCTGCAGTTGTTCGAATCGTTTCATTGCCTTACTGTAGTTGGCAGCTATTAACAAGGATTAATATAATCATAACAATAACGAATACACAGTAACATATTTTACCTTTCATTTGATAATAATTGAATAAGTATTTATATTTTATTTTATAGTCAAAAAAAAAAAAAAAATGAGAACCTACCTTCTTCGTGTATAGTGCTCAAAGATGTCATTCGATTAATAGTTAGAGGTAAAATATCTGACATACTTTCAGTCTTTCTTACTATTTTATACATTTCTTCGATCTGTCATATATAACAAAAAAATAAGTAATTATTTTAATTCCATCTACTTTTTTATTATAATTAAGTAATAATAATTTATAAAAAGAGAGAGTAAAACCTTTTGCTTTAACTCTGCATCAGGAACTGCTTTTTGTTCCTTTTTAGCGATGTCATCAATCTTGCAAATTAAAGCTGATAATCTTCTATCTATAGCTTCCAAATGATTCGTATCTAAAAGTGCAGCTTTTGCGCTTAGTTGTTGTACTGCATCTACTATACCTTGACATTTCAAATTCTACAAAATATAAGATGTTTGTTTCGGAAATTATGACTTTTTACGATTAATCAAAAAAAAAATGTAGAGTCACGTTATATTCAAATGTATTATTACCCGAGAGAAAAGAGAAACATTTTCGTTAGATGTACCAATGATATTTTCAAGACAAGATAATCTTTGTTCAAGTTGCACAATTCTCGCCATCTCTTGCATTTTAGCTTTTTCCGGTAAATACATCATTTTGTATTCCAAGACACCGGAAGGTGGTTTTTCTTTGGTTTCAGTTGTTTCTGATTTTACTTCTGTTTCTGATTTAACTTCTGTTTCTGATTTAGAAATGCCAGTATTTCTAAATGCTTCTATCTGCAATATCAATTCCCTAAAAAAAAAGTAATTCATTTAATGGAATAAAATTAATGTGTATGTCCATTTATGATTTACATTTAAAAATTGTAATATTATTTTATCACTTTAGTAATTGAAGTTTTAATATTCAATTTATTCTATACAGTATTCAACTGAACGTCTTACTGTTCACAAATGTTTTAAGAATATTAAGTAAAATATACTTCAATCTAGTTCCTTGAGGATCTGAAAATAATCCCATAAGTCCAGAACCAAGAAATTCTTGTAATTTTAGATCATTTATTTCTTTTCCTAATTGTTCCACTTGAGAAATGATTTCTATCGCAGATTTAACTTCTTCGTTTTCTTCTTTCGCATTTTCCTAAACACAATGAAATGTTTTAAAAAAAAAAACTATTGAATGCAAAAAAAAAAAACAAAAAACAAAGAAAAAATATTCGTAGCATTGTGTTTGTTGTTTTGTACTACCTTTAATGCATTTATTTCTTCATATAATTCTCTCACTTCGCATTGTAAACGTTGATATTTCTGAATTGGAGTTTCTTTTTCATCTTCGCCCAAAAGCTCATAATCTCTAAACCTAAATTCAATGAAAATAGAAAAAAAAAAGTAATATTTAATTATACAATGTATTCACATACGATACTTTAAATATAATTAATACCAACTTGTAACCGGTTCTTGATTTGCGTGAAATAGAATCTGAAAAGTCAACTTTGGTGTCTCCAACCGTTTTGGTTTTAAATTTACTAAAAGCTACTCTAGCATTTATATGCAACTTTTCTATTGAATCTGATTCATCCTGAATACATAAAAATAGATTAATGTTAATGGTAAAAAAAGATATATCAAAATTATAAATATATAGGAGAATAACATTATTTTACCTCGGAGTAAATTTCAAATTGTTCTGACTCTGGTAAATCAGTTGTTTCATAAACATCAACTTGATCGTATGCCTGCAATATTATATAAATTATTGAACTATTTATGTGTATCTTATATGACACATATGTTAGATTAATATAAGAAAATGGAAGTACATTAATGAAAAACATTGTATTCTATTATTATTATAATAAACAATATATGTGTTAGTGACGTTTACAGAAATACTCTTTGAAAAAGTATTAATTTTATAATGATACATACAATTCCAGGTAAATCAGAATATTTAGCATCCGCCATTATGATAATTTAATTGATATAAAGTTTGTTAAACAGAAATAATTCTTTACTTTTAAAAATGATATTTATGTATATATAATTTATTGTTCAATTGCATTTATAATAGTAAAATGACAGCAATCTGACAATTGCAAGAAATTGGATTGACAAAGATAGAATACTTAAAGGCCTTGCCACTGATCACTTATTCAGTGTTGTGCACTGCCCTCTATTGTCATTTGCATCGTGGCTCCATCTAGTTTAGAAATGTGTACTTATTGGAAGTATTGAATTAAATTTTATATTTTATATATAAAATTCGTACTGTATATACAAGATGTTTCAAAAATCGTTTTACAGAAAACACAAGAATCTTAAAATTAATGATTTAATTATACAATATACAAATATTTCATTTTTCATTTCAAATTATGATTTTACAATTATAGAATTTAATTTTTAATTTTTTTTAGTATGGTAAAGTGACTTTTGAGAGATCCTCCGTAAAGCAAATTAATAATACTATAAATCAAATATAAAAGAACATACGTGTATACTGACTTTTACTATTTATATTTAAATATTCATACAATAATATTAAATTGTAATCATTATTTTATTTACAATGAATAAATCACTTAAGCACGAAATCTTCGGGATAAGATAACAATTTGGGAAATTGTTCAACTTCTTCTTTAGGAATATGATCTAATCTAATTGGAACTGATCTTAATTGTTTGATTTGATTAGAAACATTTTGTAGTATTTTTTCTGGAACATTTTCATCTGGATAAATATGCAATCTTTGCATTGTGTATCGTCTTTGTAAATTTCCTGTCATTGCACGATAAACCGCTTTGGACACTATCTATATAAGAATAATATTAAATCAAAATTCATTAGATTAATTAATATACGAGATACTTAATTAACACACCATGAAAGTTAATTGATTTTACTTATGAATGGCTCATATCTAAACACTATTACATATTCACAGCTATATATGTTTATTAATTACCAAAGTTGGATTTAAATTATGAAGTTCCCATGCAAGAGTCCAAGAAGCACCACCACTGTATGTATTATGATGAAAATAAACACGTTTTCTCCATTCGTCTCCTCTTAATGCTATATCTTTACTATTTATTACAACCACATGATCACCGCAATAATCTGTACGAAAGATCATCATTTAGTAAATGAAACAGTTTAGAAATATAAATATCAATGTGTGTATACATTGAAATATTATGACATTTAACTTACTCAATGGATGATATATTGGTTTGTGCATACCCAGTAAATAATGTTTAATTAATTCAGCACTTTTATAAGGATCTTGCCATTTTGCGTCATATATATGCCAAGTAGTTGTAAAAGTGCTCCATTGCTAAAAGATAAATGTTATGACTTTAATTAATAATAATAAGAAGAATAAAGAAAAAAAACAGAAGTGTTACATTATTGATTTAAAAGTAATCATCAATTTGATATAAAAACAAACCTGTGCTCTTCGTAAAATTGACATGGCAATTGAAATAACTTTTGATAATAATGTATATAATAATTGAATAATTCAATTTCACTTTAAATTGAATATCATTTACATAGTTTTTTTTAGTAATCCTTTAATATTTTTAAATTGCCTGTGATCTAACCTATAAAGAAATACAAATTTAGATAAAACGTGAAATTGTAGTAATATCGAAATGAATAGAAATGTGATTATCGATAGTCGGTAAGTATCGATACATTATTGTATCATTATTTTAAGTCCAATAAATCTATTGCCGAATAGATTTTTCATTTGATTATATTTCTTTCATTTTTAAATATTCATTAAATCATCGATTATTTTTTTTTTTTTTAAATGATAAACTATGTTTACGTGTCAAGTAAAATTAGTGTCGATCTAAAGGAATATAATAAAAGGAATATTAGTCATTGAACGTGAAATAAAAGTTCGATAAGGTAAACTATTTAATATATATATATTTTTTTTAATTTAATTTAAATTAATTTCTCATTAAAATAATATTTTGTATATTTCATAAACGAAACATATTAAAAAGTAATTACTGAATGAAAGACGGCGCTGTACAAAACTTTATAAGATAAAGTTATATCGAAGTCATCGACACTACCCGTATTGAATGAGAATAAATTTCATGGTTGAAACCACGTGACCTTGCGAACGACCTCTAATTCGGCACCAACGTATCCGTCACTTTATCCTGTTTTATCGCATCACTTTGTTCCTGAATCAACTTGTGGCAAGTTTTTGGGTAAATATAATATCAGAGAAATATTTTTGAAAAAACTTTCATTATTTTTATTCGATAGTACGAATAGACATTGTTTAACCGATCGAGATATGATACGTACCACGGCAAGACTACGTAATGATTTGGCACACACGATATTTCGAAGTGGTGTGCGTACCAACACCGTCAGGACTGTGGTCATTAGATGTCTTCACAGAAAATATTTACAAAGGTAATAACATTTGATTGATTTTCATTTTATTTGCCATTTTCATTTTAATCGTTCGTTCGTTCAATTTTCCTTTCATCATTATAAATTTATCGATTTTTATTAATGCATCATTTCTACTATTTTAATTGTCATTCGTTAAAGTTCACAATATGACCTGACTAATTTTAATTTATATTACTTTATTATCATACATATCATTTTATTCTAAGTTAACACATTTGAAAAGTCTCTTAACGAACTTGCATAATCTCTCCTCATACGTATTATTTGTGGATATTTTATTGATATTATTTATCATTAGTTTAACAGATATATTGATACATTAGTTGAAATATTTCAACTAATATCACATTATATCGTCACATGATTCTTAACATTTTTTAGAGTATATCACTGCTTTCTTGCTTGGTATTCAGGATTCAGGTCCACGATAATTTACGTTTTACGGTGATACCATGGCAACAGCAATCACGGTTTTACGCAGATCTTCCTGACCATGTTAAAGTACAATTACCTGCACTATCACCTACTATGGAAACAGGCACTATTGTGAGTTGGCAAAAAAAAGAAGGTAAGCATAATTTATTAAATTACTTCATATTAATTTTTTCTTTTATATTGTAATAATAATAATAATGTTATATATGATTCTATTGTTAACAGGTGATAAATTAAATGAAGGTGACTTATTAGCAGAAATTGAAACTGATAAAGCGACAATGGGATTTGAGACACCGGAAGAAGGTTATTTAGCTAAAATACTTGTACCTGCAGGAACTAAAAATGTTCCCATAGGCAAACTTGTTTGCATCATTGTTCAAAGTGAAGACAGCGTTGCTGCTTTTAAGGACTTTAAGGATGATACGGTAGCACCACCTGTTGCACCATCAGCACCAGCTGCACCTGCTGCACCTACTCCGTCCACGCCTGTAACTGCAGCGGCACCTCCACCTTCACCTCCACGTACTGCCCCTTCAAAAATCACACCTGGTGGAAGGATATATGCCAGTCCATTAGCTAAAAGAATTGCTGCTGAAAAAGGAATTAGTTTAGAGGTAATTTTAAATTGTTAAGTAATTAATTACGTTAAAGTATCCTTACCTCCTTAGTATTTTCTCTCAGATGTTAAGATGGAGTAGAAAAATAGAAATCATTCTTTTTTATAGGGCTTGAAAGGAACAGGCTTATACAATTCTATAACATCTAAAGATCTTGAAGGTGTCTCAGCTGCTGCAAGACCAGCAATATCTGCACAACCAATTGGTGCAGCTGGTACAGATATTCCTGTATCCAATATACGAGCAGTTATTGCGAAACGTTTACTTGAAAGTAAACAAACTATTCCTCACTATTATCTTACGATAGATGTACAAATGGATGAAGCTTTAGCAATGCGAGAGCAATTCAATAAGATGTTAGAAAAAGAAAAAGTAAAAATAAGCGTTAATGATATCATTATCAAAGGAATGGCAATGGCTTGTAAAAAAGTACCCGAGGGTAATAGTGCTTGGATGGGTGATGTTATAAGACAGTAAGATTTTTGATTTTATTATTTCGCTCTTTTTCCTTTTAAGATTTTAAGATCAATATTTTAATAATGTTCTTTTTATTTTATTCTAAAAAGGTACACTAATGTAGATGTAAGCGTAGCAGTAAGCACAGAGTCTGGTTTGATTACTCCTATAGTGTTTAGTGCAGATACAAAAGGTGTTATCCAAATTAGTAAAGATGTTAAAGCTTTAGCTGCTAAAGCAAGGGAAGGAAAGTTGCAGCCACAAGAATTTCAAGGAGGCACGATAACTGTTTCGAATTTGGGAATGTTTGGCATTAAAAGTTTTGCTGCCATTATAAACCCTCCTCAGTCTATTATTCTTGCAATAGGTTCAACAGAAAAAAGACTAATACCCGCGAAAAATGATAAAGGGTATATTCTCATATTTCAATCAATATTTTCTATTAATTTCAACTACGAATATAAAATTCATTTCTCAAATGTTATTTCATAATTCTAGATTTACCACTGCCCAATTTATGACTGTAACTGCTAGTTGCGATCACCGTACGGTGGATGGTGCGGTAGGTGCACAATGGCTTTCAGCCTTTAAAAACTTCATGGAAAATCCAACGACCATGCTTTTATAGTAAGTCTAGTCATTGACATTTTATATATAGTGGATAATCAAACAATACACAACCGTATTTATTTTAACCATTGAAAATGATACGTGTTTACATACAATATATTTATTTATATTATATATTGAATTGTTTGTATATTTATTTTTGATAAAATGAATACACTTTTAACGATTAAAAGGCAATTCTTTAAAACTGAAATCTTTTTGCAGAAATTAATACATTATTACATGAGGCAACAATTATATCATGAAAACCTAATCATTGATGTAGTAATGTACGGTTTTTGTTTGATTAATCTATCATCAACCGTTACTACAGTTAAAAGATTAAAAAGGACTATTCTTCGAAACTCATTTTCAAATGAAAACAACAGTCCAAAATATTTTCTTTTCAATGTAGAAACACATACTGCCAATTTAGTTTAATGTTTAAAAATGATTAAAAAATGATCTTAAAATAAATTAAATGAGCTCTTGATAAACATCTCTATTAAACATCTAAATCAGTGTGCCCAATAATATCTTCGTATCAATCTTCGATGGCCACTTGTAAATATATGTATTTATGTAAAATGCTTTGTTTATATAGCTCAAGAAATAATTTAACAGAAAATTAACGAATAAAAAATATAAACTTTATAAAATACATGTATATAATCTATTTAATAAATTATACCTTCTAGTTAGTAAGAGAGATCATGATTTTACATTATTTACATTAATATTTAATTATATTTGTATGTTTGTGTGATTATTTTATTTCAAATATATATATATATATATATATAAGTCCTTATATATTATAGGACACTCTTATATATATATATATATAAGAATTATATTCAAGTGGAAGGAAAACATTGAAAATTTATGATTTCTACATATTATGTTTGTATCAGTGAAGTAATCTTCGTAGATATTAGTAATAGTTTTTGCTTATTTTCATAATAAATTTATCCTGACAACCTTAAACTTTATACTAAAAACAAAACTTTATTTTTAAATGAAATAATTCCTATAGATTCAATATGTTGTTGACAAATTTCTTTAACAATATCATTAATAATCATAAATAATAAAAGTTGATTTGTACATTGATAAGTTAAATATCACTTAAACAATTTGATTTTATTTATAGAAGAATATTTTATTGATATTTTATCAAAAATTACAAAAAAAAAAAAATATGTTAAATAATTTTCTTTAAATAACAAAAAAAATTGTTTTCATTTACTTTTTAAAAACAAAAACTTGATCTGTTACAAGATCAAAGTGATTTATTGTAATAATACAAAATATCCACTCTGTTGAAATATTTTTCTTTTATACATTATTTCGTTTTATATATTTTTTCTCGTTTATATATATATATATATAAACTTTCTAAAGACATTTTGTTCATAGTAACAAAATTATTTTCTTCCAAAAATATTTTCTTTTTTTTTATTTGATTGAAGATTAAAATCATCATGATAATCGTTTAATCCTGTTGAAATTTTGGCCATACGTAATCAGGACCAAGTTCATCGACAACTCTCTTATACCATAGTACGGTTCTGGGGGGTAAACGTATAGCCTCTGTATATTGTCTAAGCGTCCAATTTGGATATTTTTTTCTTAATGCCATTAAAAATTGCAAACTTAACATGGGTCCAATAGTCTCTAATGTTTCTTCCCATTTGAAATATTCAAAATCAATCTTGAATCTCTCAAACCAATATTCAATCGTTGCAGTACATACTTCTACACATCGATAATACCCTAATGGCAACAATACATTTTTAGTATCCTCAACACTATCAGCTCTTCTAAAATGAATCCATATTATTTTCAGTATTTTCTTTAATGGTGTACGCATGTTTGAAAATGCTCAACACAGCGAGCATAAAACTCTTTAATATAAACGAATTATAATAATCAAACTTTAAACTAATCCGATCGTTTATTGACTTCTGTCTATTAAGCAGCTGAAGAAGGAATACAATTGGACGTTTGCTAAAATGGAAATTTGAAAATAGTTTATACGAATAAGACACTTATCCCCAAACTACGCATGCGCAGTGAAGCCAGATCGTAGAACATTTCTACCCCTTCTCTCGAGCCCAGCACGCCTCGCACACAACGAAATGTTACGTGTCGGTGTGTCGGGAAACCGAAAGAAGCCGAGGGAAGCCGAGATTAGCTGCGCGACCCCCAGCATGCGCAGCGGAGAAATACATGGACATATATACACATTTGAACAATGTGTAAAACAATTTGTAAAACTCGGCTTCCCTCGGCTTCTTTCGGTTTCCCGACACACCGATACGTAACATTTCGTTGTGTGCGAGGCGTGCTTGGCTCGAGAGAAGGGGTAAAAATGTTCTACGATTTGGCTTCACTGCGCATGCGTAGAAACGATTAGATGTCACAACAATTTTTTTTCTTTATTCTATATTTTATATTTATTATATTTATTTATCCTATTTATATATTTATTTTATTATTTTACTGTCTTTTGATAAGCTCTGCTTTTTTACATCTTATTCTGTAATAGATACGAAGTTCTTCTTTTGATTTTTAATAAGCTTTTATTGGTCTATTTATACTTTCAATTAATTTATTTATTTCATTTATTTATAATTAATTTATTAAATTATTAATATATATATGGTGTATCGTTCATTATTTTATTTGTTATATAAATATGGCATTTCTTCCTTGGATATTTTTGTTTTAAGATAAAAAATTATTTTTTCTATGATAAATAGAAAAATCCTATAAATTCCTAGATAGTCCTAGATAGAGATTATCAATGAGAAATATATTGAGTATAAATATAATGTCAAAAAGAAGTATAGTTGAAACAATTTCAATTATACTTTTTTCTTTGCTTCAGAATCAATCATTTGTTTAATTTTGTGCCAATTGAAAGAAAACATTTGATTTACAGAAAGGTGAATAACAAAAAGTTATCAAATTTCTATACACATATTTAAATGTATTCGTTATTCCTTTGCTCACAAATTCGTATCATTTAATAACAAGTACAATAACTTATAGTAAAATTATTATAAAAATTCTAAAATTCAAATTATTTTTTACAATTATGATTAATACGATGGATTATAAATGAAAAATTATCGATCAAAATTCTTTTAAAAAATATTAAACAATGATTGGATGATTTGAATTATCGTGAATATTTCATAACCAATCAGAATGGATGGTTGAGTAGAAATATGTCTGCTTATACTAGAGATGTTTTTAATTGGAAAGCATCCACGATTTATTCGGCATCGAAATATGCGCAAGTGCAATACCAATACAATACAATACAAGTTAGAATGATAGAATATTGTGTTTAAGATCAAATTGTAATCTTTAATATTGAATGTATTGGCAATAAAAATGAGTACTGTTAAACTTGATGTTTTGTGGTCTCCTGTTCATTCTAATAAATTTATTACATGGGGAACAGAAATATGTCTTTATGAAGTTGCTGATATTAAAGATGGTATAAGACAATTATGTGAGTATAATAATTGTCACAAATATAAGTATTCATTAAAAATATTTAGTATTCATTATTTAATACTGTTAATTTAAATTTCTTCTAGAATTTGTTTTTCATGACAAATATATACATTACATGAATTATTATGTATACTTTTTGTTACATTTAGGTGTTAAACTTTCGGATTCTACTGTTGCTCATTTATTAGCAACTAATACGAATCATCATTATGTTAAATGTATTGACATATATCCACAAGCAGAATTAGATATTTTATTAGCGGTTGGACAGGACGATGGAAAAGTAGTCTTAACTACATTTGGTCCAACTATATTTGATTCTTATGGTTATGCTGGTAAAGAACTTGGTAAGTGATCAAAATGGTTTTTTTTCTTATAAATGAATATTTAATATATTTTATTAATATGTATTTATAAATTTCTTTAGTTCCTAAACACTCGAGACAGTGTAATGCTGTTGCATGGAATCCAGTAGATTCAAATTTAATAGTCACCGGTTTAGATAAGCATCGTACTGATCATTCAATTCTTCTCTGGGACATAACCAAAAATTCTGAAAGAATTTATCATAACAATACTCAAGCTGATCCAAATAGGCCGGTTGCTGAATTAGCTGTATCTGAAGTAATACATTCGTTGGATTGGTTTAAGAGTCAACCAAAATGTTTAGTTGTCGGTGCTAATAACAAACAATTAAAGATGATTGATTTTCGAGGTACGAATACAACAGAATAATTTTAAATAACCCATTGAACTATAACGTGTGAGACTCGTGATATGCTTTATGGTCACAATATAAAAATACAAGTCTTTCTCATAGCGAATCTTATCAGCCAAACATAAAAAGTATGCTTAAATCATAGTGAAAGGAGTTAATTGTATATATATATCATCCTCTAATAATACTATTTATTATATTTTTTATTCAGATTCTGCTAAAATAGTAAATGCTGCTTCTACAAAAGCAGTCTATGACTTATCAGTAAATCCACATAATAACAATTATTTACTTTCACACGTTGATAATCAAATTACTATATGGGATACACGATGGTTTGAGAAACCCATTCTTACTTTATCACAAGGCAAACCTGTTACAAAAGTCTTATGGTGTCCAACAAGGCATAACTTATTGGGAGCATTACAGAAAGATTCAGGTATTAATCTATTTAACATAAACAATATTATTATACGATAAAATCAATATAACATTTTCTTGTTTAAATTACAGCGGCATTACACTTGTACGATATACAACATTGTGGAATGGGTGGAGGAGAAGATTCAGAACTTGGTGCATTGGAAAGAACAGTTGCACCGCCATGGCATAGTCCAGTTAGTTTTGCATGGCATCCAACACATGCTTATCGTTTATTAGCAATATCTCAACAAGGTTTGTTATATCAACAAATACAAAAATAAAATAAACAAAGTGTTATTGCAAATGAATAATATAATGCATATCATTTTTGTTATTATATTATAGGACTTACGGATTATACAGTCTGTGAAAGAATTACAGTTAATTGGTCTACTAGATCTTACATGGTATGGAATCACGCGTCCAAATCATTTAAGTATATTTGTAGTAGCGATAATATTTACAAATCTATTGATGATATTTCTATTCTGACTAAAACAAGAGCCTTAGCAGATTATGGATTATTAGTAAGTTAATAAAAAGTATGATTTATATGTGACAAACAAATCTTTTTAAATATACAATATATTATTTATTTATTATAGCCTGAATTAGCACAAAACGGTGAATTGGCTGAAAATGATACGTTGAAAAATTTATGGCAATGGTTGTACTTAAGTCGTTCTCTCGTAGAAGATGGAACTGTAATAAGTCCAGATAATAAACATCCTGGTGTAAGGTAATAGAAATTTATATGCTATTACATAATTGTATAGATTAATATACATATATTTTGTATAGAACACTTTTGAAATTGGACGGACAACAAAATTCTAATAATGGTTTATTAAAATCAGAACTTACTCATCGACCCTGGGCAGATATAGGTTCCACACATACTGCTAAGATTTATAGGTAATCTGTACAGGTAGAAAATACTACTTTTTATCATAAAGGTTCATGATAATAGAAATAATAAAAAAACAAAAAGAAAATATTATGAAATGACAAAACATACAATATAACTATGTATAAATTATTTTTGTAAATACAGATCCGCTGATAGAGATAAAGGTCTACTATTATGTGGTTGGAGATTTGAAAAAGATACAAATGCTCCATACGAAAATCTATTCTTAGATAGATTAGTAAGAGAAGGAGCCTATCCTAGAGCTGCTGCGATAGCCGTATTCAATCTTTGTTTGAGACAAGCTATAGAAATATTAAATCGTGGAGCTAGAAAAATGTTAATAGCTACTAATTTAAATATCGTCGCTATGGCAATATCTGGCTTTTCTGAAGACAGGAATAGCATGTGGAGAGAGTCGTGTTTAAAGTCCAGATGTCAACTTTCTGATCCATATTTGAGAGCAACGTTTGCTTTCTTAACAGCGGACAATGATTCATACGAGAATGTACTTGTAAGTAAATTGTTTTATGTAGATTTTTGATGTTATAATTATTAACTCACTCCATATATATTTATTAATTATGATTTATAGAATGAAAATGGTATGGCAGTAGAAGACAGAGTTGCGTTTGCTCTTATGTTTTTGCCGGATAATAAATTAATTGAGTATATTAAAAAATTAACTCAAAACTTGACCGAAGAAGGGAATTTAGCAGGCTTTCTCTTGACAGGTATAGTGTCATTAAATTGATTAGTATGACGAATTATAATTGTTATGTTATAAGTTATTTAATTATTATTTTATATAGGAGCAAGTTTAGAAGGTATTAAATTATTAAATAGGTATTTAGAAATATCTGGAGATGTACAAAGTTGCAGTCTTATAGCTATTAGAGCATTGTCACCTAAATTACTTCAAGAGAATCAAGTTGAAGTATGGATAGCCAGGTACACAATAATAATAATAATAATAATAATAATAATAAAATTAAAATTATAAGTATAGAAAGAGTTTAATTTTTTTTTTTAATTTTATATTATAGCTATAGGGATTTATTAAATGCTTGGAAAATGTGGATTCAACGTGCTCATTTTGATATCGCCATGAGAACTGCAACAAATGAAAAACCACCTCCTCAAATATACGTTTCTTGTAATTTCTGCGGTAAAAGTATATCCGCTTTTATGCAAGGACTCAGCAGAGCTAGAGGACCGTTTGGTAGATTAGGAAGTACTTCTAATAAATTAAAGGTAAGATTTATATGAATACTGACGTATTTAAGATAAACATATAAAATAATATTTCTCTCTTAATTTGTTTTAGATGTCTTCGTGTCCTAGTTGTCGAAAACCGTTACCACGATGCGCAATTTGTTTAATGCATATGGGTACTGTTAGTGGAATTCAATTGACTTCTGCTGGTATAAGTAGAAATGAGGATGACAATAAACTAACAGAATTTAATAATTGGTTTACATGGTGTCAAACGTGCAGACACGGTGGTCATGCCGATCATATAACACATTGGTTTAGGTAGTATAAAAATATTTATTTTTTAATTAGAAATGATATGAATTGAAACAGAAAAAAAAAATAATAATAAGGAAAACATCTTTTATGTTCAATGTTTAATATTACAAGTAAATTGAAATATTGCAGACAACATTCTGAGTGTCCAGTAACGTCTTGTACGTGTCGATGTTTCTCTTTGGATGCATCCTGTAAAATAGGAACGAGTGTTATGTAAATAAATGTGTAGATATTTATTGTACAGTAATATATACTACTAAATATTTCTACTTATAATTAGACTGAAGAGATTACTTTAAATCATTCATAGATGTTAATTTAATTATATATATTATATATATATATATTTGATAGACAAGTTGATTACCTCTCTCTGCTTACGTTAAAGTTTTACAAAAATAAGTATTTTGTTTTAATACAAAAAAAAATCTATGTATCCTTATTAAATTATTTTTATCCACAAATATTAATAATAATAATATTCCTCTTTTCATTTATTCTTATTCTTTATACAACTCTCACAAAGATGACAGAAATATTAAAATACATACTTCTTTTTCATTTATTATTCAGTTTGACCAATATATTTAAAGCCCATAATCCGTAGACAAGGACCACTTTTTACTTCCTACTAAATGTAACACAGAACAAAGATCATTGTATTGATTTGCTTCTGTAATCAATAAAAATACAAAATTTCTTTTAAATTATATATATCATAAGTTTAGTTAACTAATCAAAAAAAAAAAAAAAAGATAATAAATAAACTTACGGAAATTGCATGTTAGATTAGGAGGGAAGAGAATATAATTTTTGCACGATATGGTACCTTTTGATTGTGCAACTCCATGTACTTCTATGTAGCCTTCGTCATTACCACTGAGTGGTTGATCAAATGTTACATTAACTTTCATACTATCTGTTGTTAAAAGTTCAATACTTTTTCCATTTGAACTTTTCTGTCAAAATTAATTGCAAATGAAAATCTAGTTACTTTAATGCACTTACTTTGTAAACACATTTGTAAAGATAATTTTTTTTTTTTTAATGCATGTCAATTGTTTGTTTCTTTTATGCAATAAACAATGAAAGTATTTTGAACATAGAAATACTACAAATAGAGCAAACAAGCCAGCATAAAACCTGTCGGTGAAATAAAAAGAGATAGAACATGAGAGGTTGATGTTATCTCTCTCTAACTTGCACTGAGCGGCGCATGCGCATTAATCTGCTAGTAGAGGTTAAGGTAGCTGGTATCGTAACATACGTGTACGATAAGCACAAGTCTAATGCGCATGCGCTAGTACTGCATGAGTTAGAGAGAGACAACATTAACCTTTCGATGAGTTTATGCAGAGACATTTCCACTTACACAACCGCCTATGATTTGTTTCCCTTATCTGTAATATCTCTATGATTTTAAATATAAAGTAGAATAATTTAAAAAAGATAATAAATGGAATAATATTAATGTGAAAGAGACATCTTACACGAGATATGGTTCCAAGTAAAATAACATCTTCTCCAATTTTTTGTGACAAATAACGACCATTGACACGTTCTTTAGCCATTTTCTCTTAATCCTTGATAATTATTTCTTATTTCAAATATTATTAACTACAAACAATGAATGAACTTAATCTAACTTTTGTTTWTATATATATAAAAGATGAGTGAGTTATCTACAACAAACCATTCATAGAATTCATATTTGATCTGCTTAGAGACACTTACGCCCTCTGTAATAGTCATTGACAATGGCGACATAATAGGGTAAACTAAGTGATTCATGTAGCAGAGTTTGCAATTAAAAAAGAAAAAAAAAAGAGAAATAAATGATTAGAATATTTTTTGAAGCAGTGATCGTTTATACAGTTTTTAAGTTGCCATTCTTATGTCAAACGTATCTGGGTATTTTTAAGAGTGAGATAAGGTGTTCACTGATGTCATTAATTACATTTTTACAATTAATAAATATTATCCTTATAAAAGTGCATTAAATATATTCATTTTGGTGCTAAGAAAAAAAAAAACACACAACAAACAAAATACAACGTATTATATTAATTATTTTTTTGTTAACAATTGTATGTTAAATCACAATTGTTTTTGCTTCATTTATATTGAGTGTAGTGTTTTTCTTAAAAAGAAGTCTAAATGGTCAAAATGACACCACAGGATGAGGGGAAGATAAGACAAGGATTAATAAAGGTTTAATTTTATTTAAATTACTTGACAATTTATATTATAATATAAATTTATTTTCGTAGAATTATTTAAATGTGTTTCATATTTTAGTATCAAAATCCAGATATAACAAAGGCTCAAGTATTGAATGTTCTATCGACATACAAAGGTTTACAATATGAAATAGAACCATTTGGTAAGTGATAATGATTTGTAAGAGAATGATCTACATCTATATCGATGAGTAGTAGTAATTTGTATTAAATCATATGCATTTATTATTTATAGTATTTGTGGATGGAACTCAAAAGGAATTATTCAATTTACAAGGAACAATACCTGTTACATATAAAGGTAATTTGTATGCACACATGAAAGATAATTATTCCAATAATAAGACAAATTAAATATTTGGATTAATTTAACAGGAAATCGTTATAATATTCCAATATGTATATGGTTAATGGATACGCATCCAAACAATGCACCAATATGTTACGTTAAACCAACATCAGATATGTCGATTAAAGTAAGCATGTATGTTGATCATAATGGCCAAATTTATTTACCATATCTGCACGATTGGTTACCAGTAAGTAAGATAATTTATCGGTTAGTGAATTTGTATCATTACGTTAATAGTATAAACAAGAAAAGTACCTTCTTTCTCATTTTTATTTATTTAGCATACTTCTGATTTACTTGGTTTAATACAAGTAATGGTTGTAACGTTTGGAGAACATCCACCTGTATACGCTAACTCGCGCAGTGAAACACCAATGAATACAGCATATCCCATACAACGTAAGAATAAAATATGAATTTTAATTATTCAATAAAAATCTAATATTTGTATATTTATATTTTGAAATTCAGCATTCATGCCAGTACCTGGACCTACCATGCCAGGAGGTGGATTTATGCCATATCCACCAAATTCGCAATATAATACTGGAAATAATATTTATCCTCCTTATCCACCAGCCACAACATCAAATATTCCATATCCAGGTTATAGAATGTATCAAGGTGGTGGTTTAAATTATCCAGGACAAGGAGGACATGGCGGTTCTTATCCATATCCACCTGCTACACAGCCAGTGAGTAGTGCAGACTTAAGAATTGTTGATTAATGTTATTTCATTTTAAATATGAAGATTCAAGAAGAAGAAATGATCAATATTTCAATTTTACAAGTCACCCACGGTGCCAGGTAGTTCTGGTGGAAGTTCTGGTACGATCACCGAAGAACATATTAGAGCATCCTTAGTATCTGCTGTAGAAGATAAATTACGTCGTAGATTGAGAGAACAATTTTCTCAATTGCAAGCAGAACTTGAAACGTTGCGTCGTACTCAGCAAGAACTTAATAGCGGTGCTGCTTATCTTTCAGAATTATTTGAAAAATTAAATAAGGAAAGTGCTGAACTTGAGAAGAATACAATTATTTTACAAGACAAAGAGGCAGAATTGGAAAAAGAAATAGCTAAACTATCCGACAATCAGTCAATAGATGTAGATGAGGCTGTTACGACGATTACACCATTATATAAACAGTAAATCTTTTTCATACATATAAATTACGTATTTTCTTTTATCACGTATAATAATATGATATATATATTTTTCTTAGGATGTTAAATGCATTTGCCGAAGAAGCTGCGACAGAGGATGCAATATATTATCTTGCCGAAGGATTACGTTCCAGTACTATAGATTTGGATGCTTTCCTTAAACAAGTGCGACAACTTTCACGTAGACAATTTATGCTTAGGGCACTTATGCAACGATGTCGTCAAAAAGCTGGATTGGCAGGTTGAACTATTATATAAATGGATAATATTATAAAATTTTCTATTATAATAACGTATTTGTAACAAAGTATATAATTCTCACATTGTGCAAACATATGGATAAAACAAAGTTAAAAGTGCATTGGTATATGATGCTGATCGGAGTTGTGCAGTAAACAAATGAATTATGTTGTAAAGTCCTATGATATAGAGTTTGTCGATATGTATAATATTACTACGAACAAAATACATTTTTACAAATATTTTCTCCTCGTTGCATTGTCAGTGCAATCATCGTTTTACAATATATATATATATATATCTTTAAAAATAAGAATAGTACACCCAAAACTGTTATATAAATGATTTATATTATAATTATCTATATATATCAAATATCATATTAGGTAATATAGAATAAAAGAACACACCTTGACAATATAAAAAAGATACTCAAATATGTTTTTATTTAATTTAATTTAATTTAATTTAATGTATCAATAATAATATGTGGATTTCTTTTTTGATAATTTTTTTTCTTTCTTTTTTCTTTTACCAGCTCTTTTAATAAATCTTATAAATATATTTAATCATTGCAATGAATGAACGTTGCACGATTTAATCTTTATCACTGATTGAACTGGAAAAAAAAGGAAAAGGAAAAGAATTATTAATATTTCATTATGAAAAAATACTAATGTGTATAATTTAATATGTAAAATAATCTTACCTATACACTCATACATATATGCCCACGCATAAAAGTAAGAATAATACACCAAATCCTGAGAATATTGCTGCCACTAATGATATTAACAATTCTTTAAATATGTCTCTTGTAAATTTGGTACTGGTAACTTCGTAAACGAAAAACCATGCTGTGAAAAATATTCCAATGCCAAGCAATACTATTGCAAGTAATGAAAATATTGCTGGATTTACCGGCGAGACGTATCTCGTCATTGACTCAAATTCCACCTAAATTAATTAATTAATTAATAAATTAATAAATAAATCTATCTTTAGAACAATGTATTATTTATATGATTGATAACACATATCACAAGTATATATATATATATATATATATATATATATACGTTCAATTATTTTATTTAAAAATCAAAATTAAAAGTAACAAAAAAATTAACCTAAAAACAGGAACAATCATTTATTCATTGATTTTAATATGACGATGTTTTAATTGAAAAAATTAAATTTACCATTTTTTTAAATATCTGTTTTGACGTGGCTCACTGTCGCTTGGATAACCTCACAAACTCTTATTCAAAGAATAGTGTGAGAAATCGAACGAATAAAATGTGAACACGAATCACAAAGTTTCAATTAGATATGACTGACGAGTAAGAATATCGATATAGTTAATAATCGACTGAGTTTTACGATACATCGATTTCTACCTTATCGATCTATTCAATTGCGCGCGAAATTTATTCTATTCAATTTAAATTTGAATATTATGATTGATTACTAATAATTTACTTTGAAGATAAATGATTTTATGTAAAATTAATAATAAATTTTAGTCTTATTAAATTATATTAAATTATGCGATAAAATAATAATAATAATAATGATAATAATAATAAAAATGTATATGTGAGTGTGTTCTTTTATTTATGCAGAATTTGGTATAGACGATGTTGATTTATTTGATGAATGAAATTTACTTGAATTTACTTTCTTTGTAATTATTATAAAAATGTGCGCCTGTATGAATGCAACCCTCTAGACGCACTTTGAAAATGTTGCTCGCGAGCGTCATCTGTCGGGACGGAATTTTTTTATCTGCCCGAAAGATAGGCAACCCGTCATACACACGTGTATAAACAGTTTTGACTGGAAAAAAATTCCGTCCCAGTAGATGACGCTCGCAAGCAACATTTTCAAAGTGTGTCTGGAGGGTTGCATACAGAACAGGCGCGCATTTTTTTATATAATTAAATTAACAATTAAATAAATAAATAACACAATTAAAAAGACAAATAATATTATAATAATATGATATATAATAAATTATCCTCGAAAGTTGTTTATTTGAAGGTTTCATTTCTAACTTGTGTGTGATATGTACACATGTTTCTTTTTTTTTTTTTTCCTTTTCTACTTTATTTCTAAACTCGAACTATATTCATTTTCTTCATTTTAATCTTTTTTTTTTTTATAAGTATACGTATAATATATGTAGTTATCTTTCTATAATGAAAGAATCGAGCATGCGATTGTAGTTGAATTACTTCCACAGCTTTCTATTTCTTTAGAAATATTTTCACCTTAATCAATCCCTCCTTCTTCCCCCATATCCCTACCTTTTCTCGAGTATTCAATATACTATTGTTGTTGGCTATTATTTGAGCTTATGGTTGAAAGTTCTTTGATCGATTACAACGAGAAACTCATGTAACATGATTCATAGAAAAATGCAAAAAGAAAAAAAGTAAAAAAAAAAAACAAAAAAGGTATTTTATTTTTTGTATAAAATGTTCACATAATTGTTTGAATTATTTCGTATACTTGTACTTTCTTCTTTTAATTCTTTTGATTACAATGATGATAATGATTTTAATTTACGAACTTAAGATATTATGATAAAGTATTACAAACAAATATCATGTAGGTAAGTTTATATCTATAATCGTTTAGATCAGTGAATTGTTAATCGATCTTTGGGCGGAGATTCTGGAAAGTATCAGGTAAAATGATTCGCTCGGGTAATTATCGTGATTGGTATATAAACTCTGGTAGAATTGTATTTCTCTCAGAGTTACTTTAGATAATAGTCACGGTACTTGTGAGAGCAACCTTGACTTTGGCATTTGGAGTACCAGCAATGAATTGCAATTTCTTGGTATAGAACTTACATTTCTTTTTTATTTATTATAATATAACTTATATTAATTAATATATGTAACTATAAATATAATATTTATATAATTATAAATAATTATTTAATATATAATAATTTATATTAAATAATTTATATATAATATATATAAATGTATATAAAATAATATTAATTTAAAAAAAATATTAATTATAAATATGTGGAAATATGAGGGTAACAGGGGTTATTGGAAAATCTGGAGCTTGAACAAATACAAATTATTTAAACAACAACAAATTATTTCTAATATTATATATTAAAATTATTAAATATTATTAATATTTCTTCTATATAATTTCTTCTAAATTATTAATTATATCAATGTTATACAAATTAAAATACTATAAATGACTTATAAACATAATTTGTTTATTTATTATATTACAGACTTTGATTTTTTTCTTTGTCCTTTTCACTTTGATATCACCATCCTACTCTTCGTAAGTATATTGTTACAAATTGTATTTTTCATTTCTCATTTTTTCATATAATATTGTTTATTGTTATTATTATTATGTGTAATTGTGTTATTTGTGTTTGTAGAAAAAAGGTGGTCATACATGTACCTTACAAAGTGAAAAGTGTGAAGCATACTCATACGGTTTACAAAATAATACCACATCATAAAGAGAAGGAAGATCACGATCACGATCACGAAGAAGACGAACACGAGAATTACGATTTTTATCGAAGATGAATTTGAATTATTAAATAAAAAATATATATTTCATGTTTAGAACGAGAATCCAAAGAATAGTTATTTAATAGTACAAATGTTTATTTCAATAAATTAATGTCAAACCTACATCTGTTAATTTAATTAAGTAATTCTTGAATTATATTGTTTTATGATATTTTAACCCTTAAAGTGCATATGGGGTGTCAAACACCCCAACAAATTCTTGATCTCTCGAAAATGGTACTACTGAATTCGAAAAAATGGGTTATTTGTTACGCCATTTAGTGTTTGGTATAAAACCTATTCTATTTTTAAAAAAATGTATCAAATTACTTTGAAAAAAAATTTCTAGGTCTAAATATTAAATAGCAGCTTCAGAAGACGCTTTCAAATCATCGTTGGGGTGTCAAATACCCACAATGCACTTTAACGTAATTTTTACCAAGTGTGCACTTTAAGGATTAAGTGTAATGAAATTGTAATAAAAAAAAATAATATGACGTTAATTTTATACACCTTCATATATATATATACAAAAAATATTTAATCATACCCATGGTTTAAAAAAAAAAAAAATTAAAAAACTGCATTAATATTTATTTCGTTTAATTATGCAGGGTGAATTCGAAAAGTTTCGAGCTTCAACAAAAATTACTTTTTTTAAAAAAAAAAAAAAAAGATAGAAAAATATTTAAACAATCCTATATTCTGTTTGTTTGTTTGTAATTAAAATAAAACCTTTTGTATTAAACATTGCTAATATTATTTTTTTTTTTTTTTATATTAATATTAAAAAAAGAAACAAACACACAAAAAGAAAAAAATAATAAAAAAACAAATAAAACGTGTATAATACTTTTTCCTTTGTTTGTTTGTTTCTTTCTTTTCAACTTCATCTAGTTTGAAACTAATAAATCATTTCTTTAATAAAATCCTAAAAAAAAAACAATAAAAAAATAAAAAAAAATAAAAAAGGAACAAGTTGTTGTAATGAAAATAAAAAAAAAAATGGTCAATAACTTTTGACTTGGTTTTTTTTTTCTCTTAAGTAGAAATCATTTTGATTATTCTTCTTGTAAAAGATAGTAAATTGTTATTGTTTAACTACGAATGAGAATTTAATCGACGTGTTTTTGTTGTTGTTATTATTGTTGTTGTTGTTGTAAGTGTGTTATAGAAAGAGTTAAAGGGTATAAAGAGAGAAAGATATTCGTTGAAGCGTAAATAAACGTTGAAAAGAATAAAACGCTTGAATGGCGAGATGATGATCGGGCCATATAAACGACGAATCTCACCGTCAAACGATTCAGATTCATTTTGAAAATCGTCATACGATCGTGAACCGATTCCCGATCGTATATCTTAAATTACAAAGTTTTCTTTTATCAAATTTATTTCAATTTAATTTCAAATTTTTATTATGAAATCTACGTGTTTGATTTTAGTTTTGTTGAACGACATTTTCCTTGGAAGTGGTGACAAAGAACAGTGAGTTGATTTCAAATTAATAATTTAATATTAATTAATTGAAATAATATAATTAATAAATAATAGATGAAAATAAAATAAAATAATAATAATAATAATTATAATAAAATAAAAAAAAACATTGAAATAATAAATAAATAATTGAATAAATATTGAAATAAATAATTTAATATTAATTAATTATTAATAAATTCATTCATTCATTCATTTATTTTTTTTTTTTTACGCTTTCTTAGAGTGAAAATAATCTTTGAGAAATTTATTAATATATGTATTTATGTATATTTGTGTTTGTGTGTGTGTATTGAAGATTGATATTTCGTTCAAATTTTTATATTTCAATTTTATTAAATATCAAAATGATTGTTTAATATATTTCAATCAAAATCATTTCTTTGAAAGTTTAATTAAGAAATGAAAATTTCATTAAAATTTCTAGTAGACCGCAAGTTTGATAAATTTCAGTGAAAATAATCCTTTCACTAAGATATTTATAATTTAATTAATATAAATATGTATTTTTGTATTTATGATTTCAATTTAATCACAATTTTTATTCAAAGATTATTTAGATTCTATTATATTAAACCTCAAAACGATCACTTTATCAATTTCAATATAATTATGCATTTCTTCATAAACATATATAATATTCAATAAAATAAATAACACTTTAAATAATTTTAATTACATATATTAACCCTTAAAATACACACTTGGTAAAAGTTAATTAAAGTGCACTGTGGGTGTTTGACACTCCAACGTGTTTGAACGCATCTCCTGAAGCTGCTATTTAATATTTAAACCTAGCAATTTTTTTAGAAGTAGTTTGATACATCTATTTTAAAATAGAATAGATTTTATAGCCAACACTAGATGGCGTAACAAATAACCCATTTTTTTTTTCGAATTCAGTACCGTTTTCGAGAGATCACAAATTTGTTGGGGTGTTTGACACCCCATATGCACTTTAAGGGTTAATATTATTAATTAAACATTAATTTCATTAAAATATCAATACTAATCGTACTCAATGAAAATTTCAAAATGATCGTTTAATACAATTTATTTCGTTGTGTATAACAGATTTTTTTTATTAATTTATATATCATTTAAAAAAAAAAAAGAAAAGACAAGAAAACCAATGATTTATCTTTCTTCTAAATTTGTATTCAGCATCCACTTCAAGATACACGTGCCGGAGATCATAAAACACCATATACACACCAAAACGATATTCATTCATAAATTGGTGCCACGTAAAAAGTATCTACCAAAGAAAAAAGAAATATCAAAGAAGAAAAAACCATCTTATCACGATGAGGAACATCATAAGGATGATGATCATCATCACGAATGGAAATATTGGTCGAACAGTTACTTTCACCACCATGACGATACAAACGGACAAAATCACCATGACGTGAATCACGAAATTAAACAGGAAGATGGTTCTAAGGAAGGTTATCAACAAGATCAACAAGATTTTAATTTAAATTACGTTCATCCAGATTCATATTTTCCACAACGTGAAACTCAACACGAACATTTGTCATCGAATGATCATACGAATGATGGTTTGATTGGTTATTCCTATCCACCGCAATATTTGCAACATTCGAAAGTTCATGAAATATCTGATGATTTTCGTCCAGAAATAAAACAACCAACGTACAATTACGAGGAGGAAGGATATCGAAAAGGATTACAATCGGAAAGTGGAGGTATTTATACGAAAGAATTGAACAAATATAATTTTGATACTGAGCAAGAGGAGAGGGAAGAAAAATTAAAGGAAGAAGAAGAGGAGGAGGAGGAGGAGGAAGAAGAGGAAGTGGAGGATAATAAGGATATCGTTAAAACACAAGCAGGACGATATTTTGTCACCGAGGAAGATGTTGAATGATCATTCTTACTAAAAAGGAGTAGGATAACAAAACAATCATTTCAACGAAATATTCATAAAAATTAAATCTAACTATTACAGTATTATTGTTTAGATATTTACACTGATTATGAGAGTAGTAAAATATAAAAAAAATATTTTCTTTTTTTTTTCCTATGTATAACAATAACACAAGGAATAAGTTGATTGTTTGTATTCTTTGTATTAAAATGTATGGTATTCATTTTTAAACAAAAAAAAAAAAGAATATCTTATATTTCTTTTCTACCAATATAATTTTTCTTTCTCCTTCGTTCAAACTATGGAGGATAGATATTTTTTATTATTTTAATTAAACGATCCATCATCATTTTTCCATCCTATAAAATTAATCTGAGAGAATTGTGTATATATAAAAAAAACGTATATATAATTTATTTATTAAATTATGTTATAATATAATACACATATATATATATATATATCACAAATGGTGTATCAAAGAAAAAAAAATAACAAAACAATGCAAATAGAAAAACATAAAAAGGAGAACAAATAACACGATAGATGTAATCAAATTAAATATTATAACAACGACGATGAAGTATAAAACAAACTAAAGTATAAAACAAATCTATATATATATACACACACACATGTAAAACATGGATAAACGATAACGAAACAAATTACAAATAATATCAAGTAAATAATGGTTAGACTAGGACACGTGAGAGGTAAAACAATGAAAAAACAAATGAAAGAACAAATATGGACGGAAGATAATCTCAAAAAAGGGGAAAGGGAATATAAATCACTTTCCATCGAAGACCGTCATTATTCGTAAATTTGTAATTAAATTCAGTGACCACCCCAGTCACCACCACCACCACCACCACCCCCACCATAACCACCGAGTTCATATCCACCTCCGCTTTCTTCCCAACCACCGTGTCCACCTCCTCCTCCGTATCCACCACCTCCTCCGTATCCACCTCCTCCAATTTCGATATGACCACCTCCATAATCTCCACCACCGTAATCGTGTCCACCACCACCGAAATCGTGTCCACCGCCTCCACCTCCGTGACCTCCCAAATCGATCGGATGACCCACGGTGTATCCCAAAACTTCATATTTGTCACCTCCTCCTCCTCCATGATGTACATGTTTTGTAATTGTATGAGTATGGTAAATGTGCTTGATTTTATACGGTACGTGAATCACCACATGTTTACTGAAACATCGTTTAAATCAATTATATCTACCTTGTTCGGTAAAATTTATTAGAAAATAATTGAAAATGTTTTTCTTCTATTAGTTGGATGGATCTGACAAATAAAGAAAAAGAAATATAAAAATGAAAGAAAAACCGATGACTTTATTTTCTCCAAAGGTTTTCTCTCGTAAGATTTACGGTCAACTTTAGATGGTCATACATACAACTTTGCAAAGAGTACTGGGGAAAGTTCGAGCATTGAACGATCTACGAGACAAGATCGAAATCGTGAGAAAGGACACGCTTCATCTACCCCACACCATTGGTTATATATTATTATTATTATTATTATTGCTATTATTATATATTATAATATAATTTATTATAATAATAAAATAATTATTAATCTATAATATTATATATATATTATAAATAATATATATATATATAAATTATAATATTTTATATAATAATATAAAAATTATAATTTTATTATATATTATATATATATAACTCTGTATAAATATAAAAGTATGGAAAAAGAGTCATCGTTATTTCCTTTAATTTTTTTTTTAAATATTTTTTTCTGACTGAACGTTCACTCGGACACTCTAATCTCCGATGATTTATGATAGTTACATGGAATAATTGTAATAAGAAAAAGTAACTTACTGACTTCCTCCATGTCCAGCCTCGGTTAAGTTCAATATCAATGTTAGGAGTAACAAAGTCAACTGTGAACAAATGAAAACAAAAAGTAACGAATATTTATAATCTTCTTTTATTTTCTCCCAAATGATTTCAATTATGGTTGCAGACGATAGGGGCAATATCGCAGCCATCTTTTTTGTTTTATTTCACAAATTAATACGTTTGAATATTATGTTAAAAAAAAATGTTTAAAACTTACATCAATGATAGAACATCGTTGTTTATTTTATTTATTTATTATATAATACTCGACTCAAAATAAAAGACAACAAACATATATATATATAATATTATCGAATATCATTGTAAATTATAACCTCAAAATAATAAAGAGCTGATGATCCACAATTTTAGTCAAACTATAGTTAAATTCAACCTAAAATAATCTTAATAAACAAATATTATACAAAATAAATATCAATACAAATGATAAATTATCGTTCAAATTTAATCATTCAAAAATGTTTATACTCTCACATTATTTATTTGTTCTGAATGAACAAAAAAAAAGAATAAAAAAAAAAAAATAAATATCAACTTACCGCGACTCCCAACGACATCTTATCTCTAGTCGTTAATTAATTGTCTGTAAGAGAAGAACAAAACTGTATTTGTGTAACGTGTACGAACGAATAAACGAAAAAAAAACAAAAAATGATATTAATAAAAATAACAAAACAAAACAAAACAAAAAAAGAACAAAAAAAAAAGAAATTAAATCAAAATAAATACAACAAATTATTTTAAAAAATGGTGTTCGTTTTTTCTAAAAAAAAAAAAATTGATATATACAAATTCTTGGAAGATGGACACGCGTTAGCTTCGAATTCTGCTTTTGATCTGTCGATTGTATCCTGTAAGAGCACTGCTTTTATACACGTACGTTGATAGAAGTCGGATAAGAATGAAAGGGAGTCTTTTGCACCCGTGGTGCACGTGAAAGGAGGCGACTAATCGTCGAGCCGTTTCAAAATACAACAGGAGAAGTTTTATTGCTATCTTTCTTATACAGTTATGTATATATACATATATACAACTTCCTTCCTCTTTCCTTCTTCCTTAGATGTTAACCTCACGATTCTAACGTTCATGATTCTTACATACTTTTTATTCTATCTCACAAAACCTTCTCTTATTTCTCCTACCCTCCCTCCCTCCCACTTCCCATACCCTCCCACCCCCCTACCCCACTTATTACTCTCGTCTCGTGTTTTATTTTTTTCTCTACTATATTTTTTTTCTTTTTTCTTTTTTCTTTTTTGAAAGGTAGACAGCACAAGGTGAACGGCCAAGATCAAGATCGTTGCTGTTGCTGTTGCTGTTACTGCTTTGGTGATACCGATGCGAACATCCGTTTTACAGTTTCACTACTCTTTCTATTTTTATTATTATTATTATTGTTACTTTAATTGGCTACTTATACAAATTTCGGATAGTTTTTTTTTTTTTATTGATGTAATTTTGAAGAGATTCGTTTTATATCTTTTTTTTTTATTTAATTATTATTGTAGAAATTGTGAGAGTTTCGTCAAAGTAAATATTACGTAAATAAATTGTTTGTATTGTTAATTATTGTTTATATATATATTTGAGTAGTTGTTGTATAACTTTTTATCAAATTTTTGATAAATACATTCACATTCTTTCCTATTACTTGAAAATAAATTACAAAATAAGTTATTTCTATTATTATTATTATTATTATTATTATTATTATTATTTGATATATCTTTAAGTTTAAGTGTGTACAAAGTGTACATACTTTTTTGTATGGGTAAATTATTAAAAATGTATAAAATGTTTATATTAATATATTCAAAATCTATTTTTCATATTGTTCAAGTAATTAATATAGTAATGTAGATAAATTGTTAATAAGATCTTGTTTGTTAAACGATTGTAAAGGAAACGAACTTAACAAACGAGTAAAAGGGAAAGTTAGAAAGATATTAACAATTAATTATACGTAATCATTGTAATAATTATTTAAAAAATATAATGTATGGAATTTGTGTATATGTATAAACATTGTGAAATAAATGATACAAATTTTGTCAAAAAATAGAATTATAATAATATTAAAATTCGTAATCACTGTATTTTCATTTAAATGAAGACATTAAAAGAATTGAACGAAACAATTTCTTTTACACATAAGTCAAATTGGAATTAAAAATTGCGATCATAAAACAGTCATCAATAAACAGTTTAATGATGTAAAAATAAAAAAAAATAAAAAAATAAATAAAAAATCATAAAATTGGAAAAGATATATGAACGATTTTGTAAAAAATTCAACTCGAAAGTTAACGTTGATTAACGAGCTAAACAATTATTATTATCAGATCGTATTGTTGTTCCGCAAATTCATATTTAATTGATATCTCTCTTCACTCTTACATTAGATGCCTTCTAGTCACGCCTTTTATGAAAATCGTATGTGAGATTCTAACAAAGTGAAAGATGTAACTGGTCGATGAACTGTTTGTCTACGATAATGTTGCAACCATTCCTCGTTATAATGCGTTTCACTCAAGGACGTACACATTATGATACTTATGTATACACAAACTAACACTTTTAACATTTGATCAAGTTTAAATATCGTTTTCTCTTATTTTTAACTTTTTTTTTTACTTATTCTTTCTTTTTTCTTTTGAATTAAATTGAATTGAATTTCTTTATTGCAAATTATTGGCTAATCAAACGAATTAATTTTTATTTTCTATTTTTTTTTTTTATTTCTAATTCACCAATGAATTTCATATGAAAAATATACATATATATATATAAAATAATATATAAAAATAATAAAATTTAATATATTGTATAAAATATATATATATATATATATATTTTTTTTTTTTATGTGAATAAAATATTTATAAATAATAAATATATAAATTAAATAACATAATATATAATATCCATTTGTATAAAATATATTCTTATTAAATATGTTAGATGAAAATTAGAAAAAATATAATAATGTTATGTTTCAGAACATCATTATTATTAGCATCATCAATTACTATAATTAAATGAATTCAACCGTAAAATTATTGTGCAACTAAGTACACACTGTTTCTATTATATTGGCATTTAAGAATTAAATTTGTTATTATCAAAGGACACTACGAATGAGATAATAAAATTAATAAACTAATAACTAATAACTGATAATAAGATTAGTAAGATTAATTGTAACAACACATTCCTCTTTCCATTACTCTATAATTCAATAAATATTTAACGGATTGATAAACAACAATAAGTTTTCTTACAATTACTACAAACAATATTCAATTATTATAATTATTTTTCTTCTTACAATAAATTAATTAAATTCTCAATAATAAGTATGTAAAAAAACACACACACACAAAAGAGATTGATTAATATAATCAATTTTTTTTTTAAGTTGTTTTTATCGTTTCCATTACACACGAGGGTGGGTTGAAAAGTTTTGGATAACTGCATAAACAAAAAAAAAAATCAATTTTATATTATCATCGATCGAAAGAAAATTGTTAAAATACAACTTTATTTAATCAATCTACGTACATATGAAACGTTCTACATTTTTTTTTTCTTTTATCTAAACATATAATTACAACGATAATACCAAAAAGAAGAAGAAGAAGTATAAAAATAAGGAAAAGAAAAGAAACAGAACAATGTAAAATACATTTAAAAATATGATAACAGTTTCCAAATATATTGTTTTACACGTAAACATAAATTATGTCAAATTATTCAATCATCCGATTTAAACGATTATTATAATTAGTCAAATCAAATGTAAATAATAAAACAAAATGTATAAAAATAACGTTGAATATATTTAAAATGGGTCGACCGTTCGAATGAAACGTATATCTTTGTGAGTCTTTCATCGACCTCGATAACAATTCGAAGAAAAAAAAGATATTGAAATAAAGTAAATGTACGAATGACGGAACAGGGGGGCAGGCGGGTGGGGGGTGGGGGGTTAAGAGAAGGAATGAGAAAAGTAGGCGATGAGCAGAAATTAAATTCCAGTAGTTCAGTATCGATATCTTCCAACAAATTGTATCCATGTATCCGATTTTGTATCGGGAGAAAGGGAAATCGATCTTTTAACGTGTCTCGTTAAATTTACACCCACAGAAATAGAAAGAGATAGAAAGAGAGAGAGAGAGAGAGACAGAGAGAGAGAGAGGAGGAAATTATATGAGTGTGTGTTTGTGTTTTATGCACACAGAAATAGAAAGAAATAGAAAGAGAGAGGAAATGATATGAATGTGTGTATGTGTTTTATACACACAGAAATAGAAATAAATAGAAAGAGAGGAAATTATGTGCGTGTGTGTGTGTGTGTGGGTTTGTGTTTGTATGTATGTATAAAGAGATATAAGATCAATGTTTTATTAACGATGGTAGTTTGCAGTCGAGCGAAAATGAAAACGAGCAATACGTTATACGTTTTATTCTGTTTTTCTGAAATGATCGTAAGACCGTGACAGTGAACTCTCTATCGAAGGAATTTCATTCGAACGGACGCGAACTAGAAACGAGTAACGATCGGTCCACACCTATTTCTTTCACTATTATTATCATAATTATTATTATTATTATTATTTTATTTTATTATTATAATGATTGTTATTCACTAGGTTATTCACACACACATACACACACATATTTCTTTCACTATTATTATATTGAAATGAATTATTTCTATATTTGCATAGGCATTTCTTTAATGAACACGTGAATGTAAAATTTTTAGAAAAGTTTGATTGCATATTTCAAAAGAAGATCAATTGTGAGATAACACGTTTAAATACTTTCTTCCTAGAAACTCTTTTACAAAATTACACTTTTGTATTCTTTCAATTTCACACCATATATTGTTGCAAAATTAATTTTTTTCCCCACTACTTTTAGTTATCAATTTATCTTGATACAAGTTCGTTGATACTTAGTGTTGAAAGTTATTAAAATCTTGTTCTATGTATTTTCTTTGTTTTTTATTTTTTTGATAAAATTTCTTCCAGTTGATTAAAATTTCCACGACTTAAAGTGGAAGGAAGCGTGTAAAATACAAACAAAAAAAATCAAATTATTTTTCTTCCAACTTCCTTCATTTAATTAATCGTCAATACACATTCAAGTTTGGAGTTATAATTATAGTTAAAAAAACAAAAAAAAAAAGAAAAAATCTTATTTTCAAGAAAGGTTGTACGTGATCAAAGAGATAGTGAAAGTAGTAGACTATTAAATTAACTTATTTTAAAAACTTTCCGACGTTTATGACGACGAACTTTAGGAAGTCACGATTATCTTCTTACGAAACCAATGAAAATATCTTTGCAGGTATTTATGTATGTATGTATCTGTGTATTTACAATTACTTTCTTTTTCTCAAAACATTTATATATATATAAAATTTAGAAATTTAAATTTTAGAAATATTCTCATTGAATTTTGAGCTTTCACGTTGGTAGATTTTACATTGTAGAAAATATTTAATTAATAATAAAACATCAATAGTAAAATTTACTTGATATACAGGTAACATATAATTTTCTATTAGTTTTTTAACTTTAACAATTTTCCAATTTCCATTTCAATCTCATTTTCTTAATAACAATGAATATACAGGTAACATATAATTTTCTATTAGTTTTTTTAACTCTAACAATTTTCCAATCCCCATTTCAATCTCATTTTCTTTAATAACAATGAAATTCGCATTTATATCAAATATATTACATACATATATATATATATTACGTCGTTGTGTGTATGTAAATTAGAGCTAAATAAAATGAAGTAGATGTAACGTAGAAATCAGCTTGTAAGGTTTTATTTATCGTATTTTGGAAAGTATCGATCAATGTGTTCTCACAGGGTTTGCATGATCGTGTATACAATTTCTGGTTCTGACGATTGAACGAACGGGATCGAGTAAGATGATGGTGAGGGTAGAATGGTGATCGTTCAAAGAAAAACCAACGAAGAAAGTGTCGATTTCCCCCTCATGAAATAAGACGAGAAGAAAAGAGAAGAGAAGAGAAGATAAGTGAGTATGTGTGTGTATATACATTTTATTTGTTCTGAATTAAATGTATATACATTATACATGGTATAATATGTATCTCGTTAGGATATCAAGCTTGGTAGTAGGTCATACCCACCCATTTCTTTATGGACCAGCCAGCCTATTGGATGCAGCAACGTAGATTTTCCACGTCGTCGTCGATGATTTAGCTAATGCTATCTAAAGTGACCACCAATAGTAGTAGCAAGTAAAGTGGTAGGAGTGGACACCACCTTTTGCTTAGTGATCTTCTTTTAATCTTGTATAAAAGAGAAGAATCCGAGCGTAAGCTCTCGCAATGTATTTGGATCAACCGTGGCGTAGATTGCACCTAACTCTTGTCAAGCTAACATCGACAAAATAGAAGATCAATCCACGTTTTTGATCTATTTCATTTATTAATCTACATTATTATTTAACAATCGACAAATAATTGTTTAGTTATTTATATATATATATATATATATATTTTTTTTTCATCTTATAACAATGCAGCTGATGGTGAGTTATATTTTTTATTATACTTTTTCTTAACTCATCGGAATTTTGAATTATTTCATCAATTTTGTTATCTGTATCTTTGAATATTTTTCATCGAATTATTATTTTCAAAATTCTTCATCACTAATTATATTTCTTTTATAATGTATAGAAAGGTAATACATCTTTGATGTAAATTAAACGTATAAGCAAAACGAATTCTAGATTAATAGGTCAGAGAAAATGAAGGTAGTTGTTAATAAGCGATTAAACGTTCGCAGGTGTTGTGCGTTCTGATGCTGGCAGTTTATGAACCTCTTCTTGGCTATGCGTGAGTATTTTCGAGAACGTGTATGTGTACGTGTGTGTGTGTGTGTGTGTTATTAAATAGAAACTAAATGAATATAACGATATATTAAATATATATATATATATATATTATCTATTAGTGACTGATTTATTGTAATTGTTAAGGAAAAAATTGGTGGTTGTTTTTCCACGACAAGTAAGACGTAGTCCGATGATACCATGGCGTCCAAAATCACCAGGTTTTAAAAAAACCTCATACAAGAGTAACGAATATTACAACATGCATCATCACGATCATCATCCTGGTCCACATTTTTACGGATCTAGACCAGTTTATCACAGAAATCCACCTTTTCCTCATGGTGGTGATGACTTTGATCAAGGTTACGAAGAAGTTAATCATGTGCATATACCGCACAGCAAGGATGTCAGTCATGCGATATCATTTGGAAAAGGATACGTTCCTTATGACAGTATAAAAGGAACATTTTCATTCGACAATGACAAGTAAATATTATATATGAAATTTATTTATATTCATAATTATTGATATAAATATTTTTCAAATCATTTCGGTTTATTTTATAGATACACAGAAATGATAGAATATGCGAACAAATTTACCGAACCCAATCAAGCATCTACAAGTTATTCTTCAACAACTGCATCGGATTACAATACTTCACCAACTGGTTACATGCAAGAAAATCTTTTCAGTGATTCTTACTTTTCCGATGTCAAAAATATAGATCTTCAAGATAGGAAAAACGAAGAGATTAAAAATTACATACCACGAGCCATTACTAATAATGAAATTACTCAAACTAGTACGACGAATGATATATTCGAAATGAACAAAGAGACAACTGTTAATAAAAATCCAACGTTTTACAAAGATACAGGTTATCAGGATAATAAAGGTGCTGAAGGTGCTGTAATATTACCGGCAGGTATTCCATCAGCTACGATTGGTGGTAGCAAGGAGGGTATTATTTTTCGCGATAGCGTTTCTATGGATGATTACAACAGAAAGGTTCAAGTTTTCACGAAAAATTGGCCCAGTTTGTTGGGTGTTGATTCTATTCCTCAATCATCGATTATGAATCCAATAGATCAATCTGTTCTTTTACAACAACAACAACAACAACAACAATTGCAACAACATCAACAACAACAATTGATCAATCCTTTACCAACACCAGCTGCATTGATAGGACCTGGTTATTCTGCTATTGGTCCTAATTGGTTCACCGAATATGCTGAAGCTAAAAGAGGTTATGCAGTTAAAGAAGACCATATGGAACCCCAACATGATTTTCGTACCATGCCAATTCAAACTTCACCTTTTCAGAGTTTCCCAGTTGGGTTGAACCTTGGACAACCTGTTCTGTCTTCAATAATTCATTCACGATGAATTTAACTAATGAAATATTAATGTGATAACGCGTTTGACTTGTTTATTTATGTAGAATAGTATATTATGTTTCCTATTTATATTTATTATTATTGTTAAATATATATTTACATAGTTATGTAACATGTATATGCACTTTTCTCTCTTTCTCTTTTTCTCTCTTTCTATTTCTCTCTTTCTCTTTTTTATTTCTATTCTTTACGTATTGTTAGAACGAAAAGGATATATCTTGGATATTATTTATATTCTAGAAGAATATTATTTGTAATTTATTATAATAAAACTGGTCATAATAATAACAACAACAACAACAACAAAATGAAAATAAATAAAAAATTTAACTTATGTTATTATATTATTTATTCTGTATTTTTTCTTTTCTTTAAATTAACTTATTAATTAATTAAAAAATTCTAAATTCTAATTAACTAATAATGAATTACAAAAATTCTAAAAATTGAAAAAAGCTTATAACAAAAGATGTTTATAATTAACTAAAAAGTTATATAATTTAACAAATAAACTTAACATTGATTAAACTTCAATAATATAAATTTATTAATAATATTAATGTAAAAAAAAGTAAATAAATAAATAATAATTTTTAATATAAAATTGTAATACAATGGATGATATAAAAACATGTCATATCTTATAGAAATGAATAATTTTGATGAATAAAAATGTTAATCGTGAAATTGCGTATAATAATGTAAAAAAAGAAAAAAAAAAACATAATCTTAAATGATCCTAAACAATTGTAATTCTCTGAACAATCCTAAAATACAATACTCTCGTAAATTATAAAAATGTTTCTGTTCGTATTAATGGCTCATTGATTTTTGAAATACGACAATTGGTTGAACGAGATAAGCAAGGTCATGGCATTCTCTACATGGGCATCTTTCCCCTTCGTTTACTTTCACTGGAAGACATAAGACCGGTTGTGCTCTTGAAAGTTGAGAAAGTTTGTTCGCTTGCTTGCTTGCTTGCTTGCTTGCTTGCAACAAGATGTGCTACCAACTTTATATCGAACATCGTTTAGTCCATTATTTCTTTGCTGGTTTTTTAATCGGACGAATAATCATGAAAGAAAAAGAAAGACAGAAATAGAAAATGACCAAAGTCTTTTTTTTGTGTAAGTATATTTAATGGAAAAATTACGTGAAAGGGGATGTAAAAAAAAGTTACCAACCTACGTCATCGAAAAATATCAATTACTTTCTTTTTTCTTTTTTTTTTTTTTTAAGATATTTCTGATAAAATTAGAACACGATTGGAGGTGAAGGTTAATAAATTTAATGAGACAAAAATTACACAATTAAGCGAAAGATGTTATTGAAGGGTGGGTGGGTGTTGAAAAAATGTTTAAAATGATTTAAAAAAAAGAAAAATACATGAATTATTTTCTCTCAAATATTTTGGTAAGTAAATTTAATTATTTAAAATTAGGAAATGATAAGACAGGAAGCTCGTTAAATTTATAATCAAATAATAAATTAACGAAAGTTGGAAATAGAGTATTTTGAGAATTTTCGGACTACTTTCAATAATTTCTTTTTTTTGTTATTAATATTCCTTTTGCACACCTCATGGTTTTATATATATATATATGTGTATATGTATCTTATGTAGGTGAGTATACTAATTGTAAGTATAGTTTCACGAATAATTAAGTTATTCGCGATAGACCGTAACCTTGAAATAATTGGCATTATCATTTAATGAAAAAAGAAAGTTTAATTTAGAAATTTTGAACAAAATTTCATAAAATGTTACTCTATTATTATTATTTTTTTTTTTTAAATTCTTTATAAAGAATTATAATTAAAATGTTTTATGACACTTTGAAAACTATAATTATTATATACATACAACAATATAATTATACATATATATATATGTAAATATATGTATTTAAAGATAGAACAATTTTTATTTTAAATGAAATTTTCAAACAAATGTGCAAGACGACTTTTTGTGAAATATTTTACGTAATTAAATCAGTCGTAATTATATGTAAACATTTACGTACATAAGTTTGATTACATTTAAACCATATTACAACACTAAAACGTTAGATCAAACTAGTTGAACTCACTTTTGGCTTTATTAACCTAAAGCTACCATTTAAAGTAAAGTTTCTTATTACTAGTCAGTCCAGTTATTGCTTAATTACATTTATAATAAATATTACGACATATATACAATATAACATTGAAACGAGTTAATTAAAATTTTGCATTGAATAATACAATAAATAATAATTAATAAAATTTAAAAAAATTCCAGACAAATTGTTTAATACAAGTGAAAAGAAATTTTAGAATCATCATTATTATTATTATCAATGAAATATTATTATTTATATATTATTTAATCTAAATTGAAATGAAAAGTAAAATTGAAGAAAAAAAAAATAAGAAAATAGAAAAGAAAAACCACGAAGAACAGAATAAAGAAAAAATGTCATAAATAATTAAAACAAAATGAAAAAAAAAAATCATTCAAAATTGATTAGTATTATTCACATAATATTACATACAAATAAGTAATAAAAAATAACATTGAAAATAGAAATAAAAAGAAACCAAAAAAAAAAAACAAGAATAAAATCAATCGCATTTACGTAAGAAAAAAAATATGAAAAAAAAGAAAATTAAAAATAAAATTACAAAAAAATCAAAATCAAAATTCAAAAGAATAGAAAATCCAATACTAAGAAATCATGACGTGCAATAAATGTAGATAAATAAATAGAGAGAGAGAAAGAGAGAAAAGAGTATACACACTTGCAAAAGACAAAAAAAAAACTCAATATGACTATAAGAAAAATCAATTGTAAAGTTTCACTCTAACATTAATTAAAGAAAATATTTAGTAAAAGTATTACCGATAATGGAAATTAAAGGTGTGTCTAGTTCTAACAAGTAAAAAATGAGTGATATAATCTATATATATCGTGCCAATGGCAACATTGTCAAGGCCAATTGGTATCTTGATCGGGAGAAAAGGAACAAACCATAAAGGTGCACTTACTGGAATTTATCAGACACGTCTGAAACGTTAAAAAGGAAAAGAGTGAAAGGATTATTCGTGAGAAACTTATCTCTTTCTCTCTTGTATTACCATATCATACTTTGTTTAAGTTAACTTTATACTCTCTTTCTCTTATTGAAGTGAAAACTTCTTTAGAATAGAAATGGGTGGTGATTCAGGCAACGAACCGGTAGATGGCGAGGTAACGGAGCCTGTATACGGATAGGCAACGGAGCGATGGGCCCCACTGTGCAAGGGCCCCACGATTTTTATTGCTTAAATTTGGAAAAGTGTACTTTTTATCAGCTATTCCACCCAGAGACCATACTGGTGATCTTTATTATATATGGCAATAATATTATAATAAATAAATCCTACAATTATCTTATACTCTTGAAACTGTGCATTCGTCTCATTCTCTCGAAACTTAGATTTTGGAATGTTTCACTTCTAACACGTGTGATCTGCACACATGTTTCTTATTATTTTCTTTCATTTATGTACATCTCATGCTATAGCACGCGTGCGTTACTTACTTACTTTCTATTTCGATTGCAAGCCGCAGAGAGAAACGTGGTGAACGATCATAAGGAGATCTATAAAGCAGATAGATCTGAAGATCTACAACAACGGTTATTCCCTTTCCCTCCTCCTCCTCCTCCTCCATCTCCTCTACCTCACCCCTCCTCGTCATGATCATAACTCTTTCCAACCAACCAACCAAGCAACCAACCTAAGTCGATCATTATCGCGAATCAAAAGTATTAAAATGGGAGATGGAAGACAAATCACCGTTTGCTGCGTTCTTTCACGCGCATGCATTCCGGAACGAGGAAAAGTTAAATGCCGGTAAAAGGAATTTCCACATGAAATTTTCGAATTAACAATTTCATCGAGCTATCTAATTTCTTATAAACATATATTATACATTGTAGAGATATGTGAGTGTATAATATATGTATAATATATGTAAAAGAAAAAGTGTCGAGTATGAAATGATAGAAAGTAATACGATGTGACATTTGTCAAGTTAAAAAACTGTTATATAAATTAATTCGTGGGTGTTTAATTTGTCGTGAAAAATTGATTACAAGATAATTAATCGTTATTAAAATTACATATGTTCCATGTCGTTGGTAAATTATCATTTAATCTCTAATTAGGTGTATATAATTTAAACATGATATGTGTGTATCAATTGAATTTCTTTTTTTTTTTTAATAAAATTTATATTTTTCTTATTTTGATTTATTCGTAGGGGTTCTGCCTTTTTCTTTCTTTTTTTTTTTTTTTAATAGCAAAAATTTGCTACTTGTCGTTAATAAATTATCTTTAATCTCTAATTAGATGTATATAATTTAAAAGTGACATGTGTGTTTTTAATAAAATTTATATTTTTTTATTTATTTGTGTGGGTTCTGCTTTTTTTCTTCTTCTTCTTCTTTTTTTTTTTTTAAATAGCAAAAAAACAGATCGTAACGAACGAAATTTCTTCTATAGAGACCTTTGTTGTATTATTATACTGTAATAAAAAAAATTTCACGATGCGAATGTGAATTGCCGACAGACAATAGTAATCTCTTTTTCTTTTCTTTTCTTTCTTTTTTCTTGTTCTTATAAAGAAAGTATAAAATCATTTCAAACAACTGGTATTTTAACGAACATATTAAACGAACACATATTACTTTTTAACGAAATAGTAGATTTCGAGGACGAATCTCGAATATGATCTTACTACCTGTCGATCATTTTCTTTCTCTTTTAACGAGATCAATTCATGTTTTTTTTTTCTTCTTCTTTTTTCTTTTTACTTAGCAATGTGTTATTCGATGCGTTATATGTATCTCTTTCTATATCTATATTAGAAAATATTAGATTTAGATCCGAAAGGATATGTATGTGTATGCGCATTCGAATTTACGCTCATCTCGTGTTTCCTTTTCACACGATATGCGATGGTCTCTTCGTGCCAATGTCCTGTGCTCTTACTTCTCGATTTCGAGAAACCATTCGTCCGCCGTTGATCTTTATTATCGATGGGCTGAAAGTAGAAATCGTTTCTTTATGAATATTCAACGGTAATATTGCTACCAACGTACACATTTCTAACATACACATTTACATTTGTATTTTAGTATCCTTCATTGTTTTTGTTTCAATGTATGCAATTGTTTTATTTCAAATTATTTATTATTTTTGAAATATTCAAAAAAAAATATATAAAAATGGTATAGATAATTACTGAAAGAATGATATTTTAATCGTTGTATAATAATTACATTAAAAAAAAAAAACAAAGTAATTAAAATTAGTACACGTATTTTATCTCACCTATCAACCAATGCTAAACGTTAAATACGTTACGTATTCAAAGCTTAAGTTTACATGATTAAATATTACTACATCTATTTAGAAATTATTTGCTTAGAAAACAAAACAAAAAATTCAAAATAAAAGATAGTACATATCTCTTATCCAATACTCAAAGATACGGAAGCTTTACTCGGGATGACGTATTTTAATGCCTCGGGCATTAATTTCTCTAATCATTTTGAAAAATCATCGTACAGGTTTTTAGAAAATCTTCTCAATACATATATATCATACATACATGTATATCATCTCTGTATATCATGTATATATTCATATATATCATACATACATGTATATCATTTTTATATATCATGTATATATATATCATTTTTGTATATCATGTATATGTATTCATGTATTAAAGTTAAGTTACTTGTCTGTTTGAGTATTGAGAGAAAGAGAATTTGCACAAACACATTAAAACTTACTCATACGTTTCCTCCTTCTCTTCCTACTGGTGTACCGGTATTGCTTGTTTGGGCTTACAGGTGGGATCAACGCTCATCGTGTATCTCATCCCCCACCATTTGACTATCTTGTCCTTCCGGTGCTTCCTCCAGGTCAATCTATATAGCCGGCACTGTTACTGGCTATATATGACAGTGTCTATCGGTACGTCGAACAGAGCTGATCAGGAACAAGTTACTACTGACTATAAGGAAGAGACTATTAAGTGATTTTTATTTATTTTCATCTCTCCTTCAATCATCATCATCATCATCATCATCATCATGGAGATCAGAATCATCGTAAGATCAAATCATTCAATACGATTTTAGATTTATATTAACCCTTATCGATCGTCAAGTTTTTATATCGATGATTATATCAATTGTAAATTGTTTTTGATAAATATGCAACTATATTAGTTACTATTATTACAATAATTTATTTATTATTTATTATTTTTTTTTTTTTAAGGTCTACCACAAATTTTTATTTTTAACTGACTTATCACGTGCCTATCAACGATAAGGGTTGATATTTGCACGAAGGGAAATTGGAGATCTTTTTAGATTAAAATTAGATTCTATTGTTGAATTTGAAAAAATTTTTTTTGATCATTTATTCAAATCCATTATATTTTAACACACTTAATTGTTTTTTCAAATATTTATTTAATATTTTTTAACGATTACGAATGAACTCTTTTGATTGATCTTAGTAGTTTATTAAAAATTGTTCTTCTGAAATTTTTTTTTGTAATTACTTTCTCCCCCTTATTCATGAAGTTAAAGTTACTTTTCTATAAAAAACCTTTTCTCATACACACATACTATATTTCTAAAAAGGTTATATCTTTTACCATGAACACTTTTTATCGAACGGGTCACCCCGTATATGTATTAACCATCGTTTCTTGACATTAGTAATCTTATGGGAACTAGTTTTTCAACTTGTAGTTTGATCGATGACAATTTTATTACATTATTATATCGATTAGTGAACAACTAATTTAAAGATTGACAAATTAATTGAATTAATGATTATAAATAAGTAATTGACTTTACTTGTATCTTTTTTTTTTTTTCTTACAGATAAAAACATTTCTTCTATTCAATTGTTTGGCGATAACTTTGGCTACCTTTGGCAAAGAACAGTAAGCACTTTTTTGAAGAAAAAAAAATATCATAATCAATTAAGAAACATAAAAATAAGTATAATAATTGTATTTTTTAATTCATAGTGTTCATATAAGAATTCACGTGCCCGAATTGATTCAACATCACGAGAAAAAGGTTATCAAATATGAGGAACATGGCGGACACGATGATGGTGGTGGGGGTGATCACCATGTAGAAATAACAAGCCCAGGAATCGGTGACCTTGGTGGTGGTGGTGGTGGTGGCCATGGGGGAGGTTTTGGTGGAGGCCACGGAGGTGGATTTGGGGGAGGTCACGGTGGGGGTGGATTTGGAGGAGGCCATGGGGGTGGATTTGGGGGAGGTCACGTAATAGTTCACCACTCGTCAGGAGGATTTGGGGGTGGTGGTCATGGCGGAGGCGGTGGATTTGGAGGTGGTCATGGGGGAGATATTGGTGGTGGTTATGGAGGAGGAGGAGGAGGAGGATTTGGAGGTGGTCATGGGGGAGATATAGGTGGTGGTTATGGGGGTGGACACGGAGGTGGACATACGGTTAGTTTGAGCGGAGGATTCGTCACACTCGGAGGTGGTGGTGGTGGTGGCGGTGGCCATGACCTTGGTGGAGACTTTGGTGGTCACGGTGGTTTCGGAGGTAAGATAATCGGATTGGATAATAATAAAAATAAAAAGAAGAAGAAGAAGAAGAACAAAAAAATATTATTTTTTTTTTATAGAATTGAATATGATGAAAATAACAATTGCAATAAATGCAAGATCAATTGTGAATTGATTTTGAAACGAGTCCATACAACTGGACAAGTTGTTCTCTTCTTACATCCTTTCACGTCAAATTTTCGAGGATGACGTTGGTAGAAAGAAACCAGTTTCACGAACTTTCTCCAATTACCTCGACCATAACCCTATTTCCAATGATTACCAGATTATTTGATCGTTACCTTTTGATCACTCTCCCTCTCGGTGTTCGATAAGAAATTCATATTATTATGATAATAATTTACGTTATACACTTAACTAGTATTTTATAATCATTGATAATATTTATCAATTATTATAATTCTTATCAATAATAATCTCATTTCTTCTAGGTGGCCACGGAGATATCATAGAAAGCAGTCACAGTAGTGGCGGTGGTGGTGGTGGTGGTTATAGTTATGGTGGAGGTGGCTACGGTGGTGGTGGTGGTGGTGGTGGTGGTTTTGATCACGGAGGACACAGTTTTGGAGGTGGTGCTAGTTTCAGTAGTTATGGCGGTGGTTATGGTGGTGGTGGTGGTGGAGATGATCATTCCATTAGTTCAAGTAGTTATGGTAACAGTATCTCCTCCGATTTTGGAAGCAGGTAATTTTTTTTTTATCTTCAAATTAAACTGCAATTCCTATCGATGATTAAAAAAAAGAAACAATTATAATAATTATTTAAAATTATTTTTCTTAGCGGACACGGAGGAAGTAGTTACAGTTCGGGAGGTGGTTTCGATTCTTACTCATCCGGTGGACACTCATCGTACAGTGGTGGAGGAGGAGGAGGTGGAGGTGGACACGGTGGTTTCGCGGGTTATCCTTAATGGAAAATAATAGTCATAGAAATTCTACTTCTTCATTTTTTTTTTTTTTAATATCTTCATGGTGATGAACACAAATATTGTTTTTATTTAACATCGACCAACTTTTGGAATCCCCCTTCTCACCTTTTAAAGAAACTTTCACCATGATTGATCGATTCTTCAAAGATATTATTCGTCTTGACGTATCGGATTCTTAATTTTGTTAAATTATTTGCAAAAGAATTCCGATGAAGGTTCAAGAAAACGTTGATCAAGATTTTTGTCCAATAATCCACGCGTAGAAAATTATTTTGAATTTTTTTTGTTAACAAAGCGTTGGTTCATGTTACATTGTAATAATTGCAAATTTCATCTTGTAAATATCCCATTCCTTTTTTTTTATCCTCTCTAACTTCAAACGTATTTCATTTATAACGTCAGTAGTTTTTTTTATTATTAACACAAATTGTTGTTGTTTTTTTTTTTTTTCATTTATCACTTGACTGGTTGTGCGACTGCGAATGCATGTTTTATAGAGATTTGTATGATTTTTATTTTCTTTTGTTTTTTTTTTTAATTTAATCTACGTGCATCGTCAGTAAGAATGTTATGTTAATTACTTTAACTGCACCTGTGTAAGAGAATCATTTCTGTAAATAATTACAAATATTGTTGACTGTAATAAACATTTTTTTTATACGTTTGTAAAAAATCCAACTTCGTTTTATATCTCCTCCTAATTATTCAATCTTTAAGAATAAGAATAATATTTAATAAAAAAAAAAAAGAAAAAAAAATAGAGAAGATAATAAATAATTTTTGATATGTATGATAGATCATAAATTAATTAATTAATTAGAAAAAAAAGATTCAATAAAAAAATTGAATTAAATTAATAATAAACATGAATACTTGCTCGTTGTGTTAATATCTTTCGATGATCGTCTTTACAAGCATTGAAATCTTTCGATCATTGTCAATACATGCATTGAAATCTCTCGATAATCGATTTTATTTTACTAATTAATTGATACACACTTCTTTTATGCTACTAATTTAATCAAACTTTCTTTGATTTGACATCATTATCGTCAGATTAATTGGAAAAATAACAAAAGTAAACGACGATAAATCTAGGAAGTAATTATTTTAAATAATAAAAGAGATAAAAAGAAAGATAGATGCACGCATATACACACACACACACATTTATTAAGTAAAAAGAGAGAGAGAGAGAAAAAATGTGAAAATCCGTTTAATTATAAATACATGCAATTTAGTAATTTCAAAATAAAATGATTAATGGTTTAAGCGTAATTTCCAAGATTATTCGATAAAAAGGATTATCTGATTGATTCATTTAAATGATACATAGATGTATATAATTCTTATTAGATATTATAAAGAATTTATTTGAAATGGAAAGTAAGCGGAAAGTGAAAGAGTCGATCGTGAGATGGACATACGATTTCACTTTGCTTCACCATGTTAGTATTCTCTCTTTCTCTCTCTCTTTCTCTTCTTTTATTTTAAACGATTCCAAAGAGTTCGATGCTACTACTTATAAAAGGTAAAAGCATTTTGTGCATGTAATCGAACCACGAAAGGATTAATCTTGTTAATCTTAATGAGTACAAATTTGTATTAGTCTCTATGGACGATAAATAACCAATTTTCTTTTCTAAATTACAATATATATATATAGAATTTATTATATTAATTATAATATATATAATTATTAATTATAGTATATATAGTTATATTAAATTGTTATATTTATATTTTATATTATTATATTTATTTATTTATTATATTAATTTATATATATATATATATAATTGAAAAGTTTATTAGTGAATTGAATTAATTACTATAAAGAAAGATTATCCTTTAACGTAATCAGAGTAGATCGATGGAAAGTATTTTTTGTGATGCAAATACTATAGTACAAAGTTAGATAAAATTCTTTTTATTATAAGATGATATTTAAGGATTAGTTACTATTGACAAAATTAACATAAAGAAATTTGAAACGTATTAATATAATATTTATTATTATTGTATTTAGAAATTTATGAAGCATGTAATAAAAATTCTTCGACCATAGGTGTAACATTAATTTATCATTAATTCATAGATATGTTATATTTAATTTTATAATTTAATATTATTAAACTTAAAAACTCTTGGACCATGGTGTAAAATTAATTTTTTCCTAATTCGTAGATTTATTATATTTAATTTTATAGTTTAATGTTAATTATCTAATATAAGATTTTTGTTATTAATAAATATGTGAATAGCAATAGAGATGCATATTTGTCAAAACATTATCATAATTATTGTATCAATAAGGCGTAAAAAAATATTTGTCATTTAAATGTGTTAAATTTAATTATTAAGAAAATAAATTGTTTTTTTTTTTATATATATATATAACAATTAAAAATATCAATAAAGTATTTGAATACTAAAATTTAGGAAAAAAATAAAAGAAGAAACATTCCAAAAGTAAATTTTATTTTTACGATCATCGAATGATGGTAGTCATTTATATTTATTCATATTTATGCATTTCATATATTTACAAAAGTTCGTTTCAATAAAAATTATTATGATTGCAATAAACACACGTAGATTTAACTTTCGAATAATCAGGAAGTGTCATTGAGTTCGTCAATAGTTTTCTTTCTTTTTTATAGTTTTGTATCATTTTGTATTATTTAACGATGTCAATTAGATACAGAAAGTTTAAAGCATATATTTCAGAAAAATGTATACGATTAACACAACTGTAATTATATATATATATATATGTGTAAACATTTATTAATTATTTATCAGATTAGACAAGAGAGAGAGAGAGAGAGAGAGAAAGAGAGAATACAAGATGCCGAATAATAAATAATTACAATCAGAAATAATCGCAAATGGAAAACGTAACTTTCACCTTATATGATATTTCATAAAACTTCATTTAAAAATTTATTAACATAATCTTTTACCATTCAGATTTCAAATCACGATTTAGATCATTTGATAGATATTGATCGTTGATTAATCAAAATCAATGTTAATTAATTAGGATTATCGATTTCAAATCAAATTTCTCCGTTTAATCATAAATTTACAAATTAGAGATTACAATTATTGAAATAAGATTTTTCCAAATATTTTTTTTAACCCCTTAAGCAGCACACTCGAGTTTACCCTAAACCGGCCGATTTCCGCATGGCGTATTTTTCTTTATATTTTTATGGTTTTTTACACTCAAATATAATAGAAAATTGAATGTGAAAGTAAAGAAAAAGAATCTTAAGTTTTATTGATATTATTTATCATTTAAAAGCTATAACAATTATATTTATTTATTAATAAAATATAACCTTTTTTTTTCCATGGAAAACAAAATCCAAAATTAACATAAAAATATTCATTATTTCTGTATTTTCTTTTTTTTTAATCTTTTGATCAAAACAATGATTCTAAACTATGCTTTTATGAAAAAAAAAAAACAAAAAAAAAAGATTTTTTTTGGGCCAGTTTGTTTTTCTTCAAAATGCTTGCTGCTCAAAGGTGTTAATTAGCCGAGAAATAAAAGGTGTGAATTATTTAGAATAATTATTGTTTATATTATATATTTATACAGAATATAATATATTATATTGAATATAACATTACGACAATGTGTATGGTTGAATTATGCGTAATTGGAGCTCGAGAAAGTGGCCGATACGAGATGAGGAACCAAAACTCTTCTCCAAGGACCATTTTCTCTGAGTCATGAAATACAAAGTAAATTATGTATATGAGTATGTATATATGTATATATCTATATATATATAAAAATCTCGTGTCACAGTTTTCGTTCCCATACTCCTCCGAAACGGCTTGACCGATTTTGATGAAATTTTTTGTGCTTATCCGGTATCTATGAGAATNCTGATTTTTATATATAGACTTTTATTTAKTAATTAATATATAGAATAAAAAATTATATAATGAATTTTATTAATTAATAAATTATCTTTGTTTTATCAGTTTTACGTTCTTTCATTTAACGATTTTTAAATCGATCTGATTTTGAAAAAGTTTTCACCTCAAAAAAAGCCACAGCAACGCGTGGCCGGGGCACCCTAGTATATATATAATTCTTTGTGAAAGTTCTTCAACTCATACTGTATATCATCTAATGTGGGTGTGATAATAATGTGACATTTACCATGAGAATAATTTAATTTTCGCATTCTTATGTTATACTTTGTTACTTTGCTATTTTGCGTTCCCATAAAAATTTTAACAATTGAATTATGACCCAGAAAGAAATTTATTGTCACATCCGGTTTGTTTTTTTTCAGAGATAACATTAATTGAAATTTTGGATTTTAATTTGTTTTTTTTTTTTTTTTTGACGAGTACATTCGTGTATTGTTTTTAAATTAGAATGGGAATAAAGTATTGAAGATATGAGAAATAAATTTGACAAATGATTATTTAAACAAATACGCGTATGCATTTAAATGATTATCAACAAACGTGAATGATAATTGAAGTAAAATTAATTAGAAAATGAAGAATAATGATATTTATATAATAATTAATTAAATTGTAAAATAAATTCAACAATTGTATTGAAATTATAATTAAGAAAAAACAAAAGTAAATGAAAATGAATAAATTTTGGTTTTATTTATAAAAAAAAAAAAAAAAACAAATATTACATTAACAATTAAATCGAATGAGATCGAAGAAGTAATGTGATTTAAAAAAAAAAAATAATAAAAAAAAGGGTTGCAAATATTCAAATCAATTTAACCAATGTTGCTTTTAGAAATGAGATTTTTGATCAAAAATTTGTAGTAGCTACGACAATGCGGGCCTATAGAGGGGCCCAAGGGGCCTACGTGTAATCGCAAGTGAGAGCAGAGTATTGAAGGTGGGGCAGTGTTAAGGAAGCAAAACATTTTGTACGTTCATATTCCGTTCACTGATTGTTTCCGTTTATAAGGCTTGCAAGGTAAGTGACTTTTAGTTATTTACTTGAAGTCGTTTGACTCGAGTAGACGTTCCGGAGAAGAAAAATGTTGAAACTACGAAGATCCGTGGGTGTCTTATTATATGAATCTTATTATTATTATTTAAAATTATTATTAATATAATTAATATATTAATAGATATTAATACATTAATAAAATTATTATTTTTTTTTTTAAATATTTTTTAATATTTTTATTTTATTTTATTATACTTTATATAATATATTAATATTATTATATATTATATATTTATTTTATTTACTTTACTTATACCATACGATCATTTTTATGATCATAAAAATCTTATATTGCGTATAGTATTGAATTAAATTTTAAATTAAAATTAAAAAAAAAACAATATCAATTAATTAATTAAACAGTTAATATTATCTTTCATTTATTCTAATACTTTTTTAATTAATGTAATATTTAAAAAATGAAACAAAGAAGAACAAAATTAGTACCGGCCGAATTAGAAATTTTTTTAAGATTGTAAAATTTAACAATTTAATTTAAAATTTAAAACACAAAATTAAAAAAATGTTAAAATTATAATTGTTGTATTTTAATGTTTTGTTGAACAACTTATCGATGTTAAATAAAGCAAAATATAAAAAATAAAAGGACTTATTGTATATCAAATTATACGTTTCGATATATCGATCATCATAATTCTCGAATAATAAATAATAATAAAATATTTTCTCCTATTTTATATAACTTATTTCATATTTTTATTGAATTCAATTTTATTCTTCAAAATTTCGTCTTTTAACATATTTTTCATTGTCATATATATATATTATGATTATTTTTCAGATTCTATTTCTAATGGTGTTCACAATGGCATTGGTAACATCGATGCCTAATCCAGATGGTGGTGGACACGAGCAGTAAATGATTTATAAATATCGTTTAAAAAATTATTAAATAAATCTTTCAAATTCATTAATTTTCAATATCATTTTCAGTACGCACTTTATAATACACGTGCCACATTTTATCCATAAACATCATCATACGCACGTTAAGAAAATTTATATACCGGTAAAATCACATGATGATGATCATCATCATGAATACGAGGAAGATGGATGGTGAAAACAAGAAGAAAAAAAAGAGACAAAACAAAAAAATTAAGAAAAATGGATCGATTTACTTAGTTTCAAACTTAGATTCTTCTCCAAACGTTGTTACTATTGTTAATTATTATTATTAATTTTACGCTATATTATTTATGTCAATTGTTATATTATTAATAAATTGTTGAATATTTTCTTCCATTAAATTTTCATTACCTATCTCAATTTTTTGTTTTGTTTCAATTCTATTAATTCCATTTTTTTTTTTTTAGATAACATTGTAGTGAATATTATGTTTATAAAAATTGTTTATGATGCATACTTAGTGTTAATTTTTAATTTGTATCGTTGTTATAACTATTGTTAATATTTTTCTAATTAATTTAATGATTAGGCAAAGGATCCAAAAAGAAAAGAAAAAACAAATCATTGGACAATATAATTAAATAAAAAAATTGTGTTTTGTTTATCAAACATTTATAATTGTAATATATAAAAATAAAATTGTGGGTTTAACATAACACAGATAAGTATATTTACAATTACAAACATACAATGATCTTCATATTGAAGATTTTGTTTTATTTCACCTAGGAAATCATTTAAATGTAAGATTTCGTATGGTATGGTATTATCGATAGATCGATATCATCTATTTTGTACTGATCACTTCGAAGAGTATTCTTAGAAGATTTTACGCTCATTTAGGTAAATAATCTCTTGTTTTTTTTTGTTATTTTATTATTATTTGAAAAATCGACGAACAATTATCTCTTGTACATTGAAATTATATAACCTGTAAAAATAAATAATTAAATTTAAAACAAACATATAAAATTAAATTAAATTAAATTAAATTAAATTAAAAAAAGTACAAAAAATGTAGATTGGTTGAAAAGTTTTGAGCTTGACAATATTTTGCCCAAGTTCGAAACTTTTCAACCCATACAATTAGCTAAATGAAAATAAAATTCGGAAAACAAAAAAATAAGAACATCGAATAATTTTTATTAATTTAAAAAAAAATTAATAAAATAATATAAATTATAAATTATATATATATATATACTTATAAAATATATTTGTGTATAGAAAATACTTAAAAGTATGTGTTTTGAATTATTAAAAATGATTTTCTTTTTTTTTTTAGACGATATTGAAATTATGATATTTAGTTGTTAAATAAAATATTGTTTATAATGACGTAACTCAAATCTTGTAACAATAATTATAACAACAACAATGATGATGATGATGATGTCAACAAATTGTTGTTTTTAAATATTAATAATAATACATTCAACAAATATTGAAACAATTCAACACTCGTATGACGTTTGAACGAAAATTGAATGAAAACGATCTAATGTAAGATTATTTATAAATAAATTGAATTACATACCTAAAAATTGAAAACAAATTAATAACAACATTAGAGACCAGCAGCTCTACCACCAAGATTTTTCTTCATGAACTGGTACATGAACAGGTACGTGAACTTTTTCAACCACTGGTACTGGTACATGAACCTTTTCAACTACAGGTACTGGTACATGAACCTTTTCTACGTGGTGTACAGGATACGGTATGGGTACTGGTACCTTTTTAACATGATGAACTGGTACATGAACCTTTTTCACGTGATGATGATGTACCGTATGTACATGATACGGTACATGAATTACATGATGAGAACTATAATTGACAAAATTAGTTGTTCATATTTTTTTTTGTTTGTTTTTTTTTGTTTTTTCAATTAAAACTAAATAAGTAAAAAACTAAAACTAGAAAATGTTAATAAGAAATATATAAAAAAAAGAAAATAAATTATAGGAATGCAGATGAATGATAAAATAAAAATAATATAAAATTAATAATAAATTAATAGAAAAATAAATGAAAAAAAAAAATTGATTAGAAATTAAAATAAAATTATATTAGATAAATACAATTTACAAATATATTATGCAAAATAATTATAAAAAAAAAAACCATAAAACAAAGTTATAAAATAATTTAAATAAAAATAATATTGTAAATAATTGAAATAATTGAATTTAAATAACAACATTCACGGTATTTGATATTTTACATTTTTTTTTTGTTTTTTTTTTATAAATCATTTTCGATAAATTCAAAATGAAATGATAATAAATTTATGAATAATGAATAAGATCGGATTATTTTTTTTTTTTGTTTTTTTTTTTTTGTAAAACTTACTGGCCATGATAACCAGGTACGGGTGAAGCCAAAGTAATAGCCAACATTCCAAACACGAACGCCTGAAATACGATTGTGAATTTGTGATTATCACCATAAGGAGGTAAATCGAGCTTGTGTACACACTCGTTGCATTGGTTATCGAAATGCAAGACAGCATTTTTTTTTTTTTACGAACGTTTCACTGTTGTACTTCTCATAAGTACATATACATATGTATTTCGCATTACGAGAACGTGAAAATATTTCCTTTTTTTTCTTGGAGAGATCGTTCTCGTTTGTTCTAATTTTTTTTTTTTTTTTTTTACAATCTATAATTGTGTCAATTCTTATGATAGTGGTCGACTAATGATCCACTAATAATAAGTGGTTAAAATAAGAGAAACAAAATTGTCCTAATTTTTATGGGAAAATTACAATGAAATTAACATCGGAAAATTATCTTCAATTTAATCAGTCATTTTGTAGAAGAAAAAAGATCACAAATAAAATTTGGAAAAACAAAACGTTTCATAAGAAAGAGAATATAAATAAATTAAAAAAAATCATGTGCAATACATGTACAAAATCATGTACATGTTCATCAGAATTCATTCATATCTATTTAACAATTTTTGACAAAAAAGAAAAATAGATAAAAATAATATATTATAGAAATAATTCAAATAATAAATATCATTGGACGAAATTTATTTTTTTTCGTTGCAACCCTTATCCTAAAATAACATCCAATATTTATATTTTATATATACAAATATTATATATTATTATTATTATTTTAATATTAATTTTATATTTTATATTATTTATATAAATACTGAATCTATTGTTTTTGTTGCAACCCTTATCGTAAAATAATATCCAAAAATACGACATACAAAAAATTAGACAAAATTAAAGGTAGGATTCACTTAAGAAAAAAAAAAAATATAAAATATAATTAGATATAAAAAAAAATAATCTAAAAAAAATATGAAACATAAAAATTGACTCACCACAATAATGCACGAATTCATTTTGATGAATATCTTTTTTTTACGACTTTTGACGAAAACAAGAATATATATGTATATATTATATATATATATATATATATGTATTGGAATCACTGGTGAAAAAATGTTGGACAAAAATGTATGTTATTATTCTTTTTGTAACTTTTTCTTTTCGAAACGTCACAACCGATTAAAGATGGGTTCGTGTTTCTGTTCGGACTTGATTTTACGAACGTCGATACGATTCTGTCTTTGATGGCTGGGGATGTGTGCTTATAAAGGACACGTGAGTGCCTTGGCCAAAACCACCCGGTGAAAATGATATGGGTGGGGGAAAGAATCATAGTGAGACATTATGGTTATGTAAAAGCAAGGAAACGATCGGAGTTCGTTACGTATGTTTTACGTATATATATATATGTATAATAATAACACGATCTCCCAAACTGAAAAATCGTCCACATGGATCTATACATGTGTGTGTGTGTGCATATGTGTGTACGCACGCAAGCAAGCAAGCAAGCAAGCACGCACGCACGCACGCACGCACGTAATTCAAAGTATTCGGAAGAAGCTGCGTAACAGTGCGGTGCAGTTTATCATCGTAGTCGAAAGTTCCAATCAATTTCTCTATTTTATTATCCATATATAAATAAATACATTTTTATTTCAATTATAATTTTAAATAAGCACAACGATATTGTCATTGATAAAAATAAATTCATAAATTAAACGTGTATGTGAGTGTATGTGAAATAAGTGATTGAATGAATATTCAAAGATCAAATTAATTAATTCTAATATTAAACAAGATAAACGATATATTGTGATTGGTAAATTAAAACAAAGAAGATATATAAACAATTATCACGTGCGTGCAAATATTTTTAACAAGTGTCTCCACATTTTGTTTTTATATGATAAAAAACAAATATATATATATATAGGAGTGCCCCGCTATGACTCTTTGTTAATAAACAAATAATATTGCGATTATAAATTGAGATATAAACTAGCTTATCTTTCAAGTTGAATGAAACTGCACAAAGTGTGCAAAATTTTATTCAAATTAGTTCAGTAGTTTAGGAGTCCATTGTGGACAAATAACGTGACACGTAATTTATATATATTAAGAAGATATATATATATATATATATATATATATCAAATTATCAAATTTCCGTTTTAATAGAATTATAATATTTGCTTATTTAAAATGTATTTTTCATCCTTATTTGTGCAGTGATAGTAAAATTCTAACACAATGATTCGTTGCAAAGTAAAAGTAAATGTCTTGCTTGTACAATTGCCAACTAAACTATAGTTATTTGAAACGTAATTACACCATATCATGGAAAACTATAGTTTACGGTTATAGGATACGATTAACATTGAATTACCGTTTCTATTTGCACATTTAATTGGATGGGCGTTACTAGTGTGCCATGACGATGGTGCGAAAAGATTTTTCTTTATTATAAAACTTTGAAATTTGTTTCATTTTTCTTTCTTTTTCTTTTTTTCGTAATCTCTTTCAATAAGTATACATCAGTTTTGTTCGTATATATATTTTCTCGTTACACACTGTATTAACACGTGAAAAATTTGTATCATCTGATTATTGTGAAAATGTGATCGGTATAATTGTATAATTATATATATATATATATATATTTATTTTGTTGATAAACTTCCGTATTTTCCGTATATAAATACATAACTTTCTTAACTCATTACGGTTCTTAGTTAATGAGTATTACATAAAATATTTGATATAATATGTTCGAGAATATTTGTTTTCTTTTTTATTTAGGATAAGATAAGAACCTAATTAATAAGCCTTTTTTTTAAAGAAATCGTTTCTATTAAGTAATATATCAAAAAGCATTTTCAATATTGTATATTTGAAATGAACAATATAAGTATGGTTTTATACCATTTTTTTTTAGTTTAATTTTTTTTGATAATAAAAACTATTTTTATATACCATTATTTGTCAATAAAATATTATATTATATTATTATATTATATTATATATTTAATAATAAATAATATAACATATAATTAATTAATTAAATTAATTAAATTATATACATATACTATAATGTAATTTAATACTAATAATTAATTAATAAAATACTAATAATTAAATAAAGTTTTTTATTATTATATATATATTATATTATCTTTCAGTAAAAAGAAAATTATTAAATTATTAGTATTTTTTAATAAAAAAAAAAAAAAATAGTAATTTTTTAATATACAAATTTTTCAGTTTTTCATTACAGAATACCATAATAATATTTAATATTTATTTTGAATATTGAAAATAATATAATTTATATATATATAATATTAATGTAATTTAAATATATATAATTTATATACACATATGTATTTAATTGTATTTGTTATATCCGGTAGAAAATTGATGGTGTAAAAGAATGAGAGCACAAATGTTATGTGAACATTTCCACGAAATGACATAGTGTTGTGTCGTTTCATTTGTAAATCATTGGATTATAATTTTAATTGCGTTTCTTCCTTGAAAGAAGTTTGGTTGGTTCGTTAAAAGATCATCTTAAAAGTTATCGATTACCCAACGCCCTTTTTCTTTCACATTCATGTAGAAAGTGTTACAGCTCTGTTTTGATCGGAAACGCATTTCTCGATTCTTCCTTTTAGACATTCCCTATCTTTCATTTATCTCTAAACCACAAATATCCATGAAAATAAAAGTTACTTATAAATTTAAATGAGCTAATAATTATTTATTACTGAATATTTAATCTGTTAATGTATTATTATCTAATGGATATAGAATATTAAGAAATGAATAAGATAAGAGATCGATTTTAATAAAACATGAACTAATATCTCTTATATTATACAATATGTTTATATACAAGGTGGATTATTAAAAGTTCATCAGTTATTTAATAAATCAATTATCTTTTTTTAAAGTGAAAACTTCTTTAGAATCTGGCTAAATTGATAATCGTGAAATGAAAGAAACCGTAAAACCGATGAAACAAAAATAATCTAATTAATTAATAAAATTCTATATATATAAAAATTCAGTTGTCACAATATGTTTATAACAACTACTCAACTTATTTTAATGAAATTGATTTTATTTCACACGTGATTTTTTTCCAACTTAGCACATAGAACAATTTTTATTTATTAATTACTAATTTAAAGATTTTTATTTAGAAGTTATCTAAGTTCTGTAAGGTTCTTTTAAAAAAAAAAAAATTATATAAAATAGTAATTGTATGTAGTATTGAAAATCATCTTTTAAATTTAGTCCCACCCTATACGAATAGAAATGGTATTACATATAAATATATATATACGTTTCTGTCGGTGATATATGCATTACCAAAACGTTAATACCGATTTCACTATTTCGGAATCACTATGATGTGTCGATAATATCCCCCTATAGACGTGTGTATGTGTACGCAATAGAAAGAAATCGTCCACACGATCTTCCTCGTAACTTTCAGTGTTTATAACGCACCGTTGCTTGCTTGTGAAATGTTAATCTAACGTTCTTATATGCATATAACATAAGTTGATTAAATAATCCAAATCATTTCTAATCTTAAACTATTGCGAATTAAAATAACGACGTTAAAAATAAGAAAAAAAAAAACTATCTTTATTCCTTCTATTGTAACATTTAAATTTATAATATATTTATATTTCTTTTTTTTATTATTATATCACAAAGTTAGATTGTCAGTCGATCGATAAGATATATCGCACATTTAGCGAAAGTTAGTTGCATAATTATTAAATAGAATGAATTATATTATAAATTAAAATAATATATAAATAATTATAATTATATTATAATTATTAAAAAAAAAAGAAAAAAATAATATGTTAACTTAAATAAAACAATTGTATTATTTCCATTAATAAAATAAAATACAAATGTTTGTTTTAACAAGAAGATTGCATTTTGTCTTGCACTCACTTCGAAAAATAAATGTTGCATTTCAAGTGCAAGTTCACAGATTAGTTTTCAATATAGGCAGAATACTTTTTTACTCGACCATCCTTGAATGTGATTTAATGATTCTTCGTAAAGTTGTTCTGTTTTTTTATTTTTATTTATTTATTTTTTTTTTTTTTATACTCTTGCATCGATGAAGCCGACAGAGTTACAGGAAGTGGTGTAGCTCGCATACTTAAAATATCCTTCATACAGGGAGAAAGCGTTTCGTAACTAAATGCACATATATTTTTTATGTATCTCCCCATATGTACTGCTATGGGATCAAAGTATATGATCATTGTAAGAGATTGAAGTAGAAATAAAAAAAATAAAAAAAAAATAAAAAATAAACGTTAAAGAAAGAAAATATGTTTCGCGAATCAAATGAAACGATAATTCTTATTCTATTCTGTGAAACGTCATTTTGTTTTCAAGTTCGAAACTGGATCAGGATAAATGGTTGATTAAAATGAAACGACGATTACCTTCCGGCTTTCGAACGTTCCCAATGTTTTTCATTAGATGAAAGCTGATGGAACCGACGAGACGACGATTTTCGTTACGTCATTTTTATTTTGAACTACTTTTTAAAATTACACATTGTACGAATGATGAGAACTATTTTTTTGTTGTTGTCTTCCTTCCTTCCTTCCTGCTGATTCTTATACTTTTTTTTTTTTTATAATTTTATTATTACTTATTTCCTCTTTTTTTTTTTAATTCTTCTTTTTGAACAAATTAAGTAAATTAATTTTTTTTGATAGAAATTTAAACGATGACACTTGCAAATTCAAATTCCTTCTTTTTTATATCTCACTTTCATCGCATTGCGAAATATCAGATTTGAATTTCTCTACAGATTTAGTAGAAATATTTGAAACGAAAGCAAAATTTAACGTTTACGAGAGAGAGAATTTTATATTCTTATATTTATTGTCCGCCGATTAGAATGTTAATTAGACATTTTAATTCGTTGTAAATTTCTCTATTCGATGTATCAATGTACTTTTATATCTGTATTAATGGATGCTTATGAAAAGAGAGATTGTTTACAATTTTTTATGCGATATCGTAAAAATAAATCTCTCCTTATTTTGCGAATCGTATAAATAAAAATCATTTAATTATTTAATAAGTCAAAATTGATATGAATTCCTTTTAATATATAAATGTATAATATATAATCTTATTATAAATAATATATATATATATATAATAAAATAATGAAATATAACAAATAGATATTAAAAGAATTAATCAATCATTTTAAAATGAAGTATAATGAAAAAGATTCTTATTTTCTACACATTAAAAATCATTTTAATTATTGAAATATTTAAAATTGATAATGAAAGTACTTTTTAATAGAAGATATTCACAAATTGTTAACGAAGTATCATAAAAACGATTCTATACTTGTCGAACACTCTTGAAAGTGATTTAATTGATGTTTAATTTTGAGAGTAGTATATACATCATCATCGTGCGATGAAAGAAAATGAGGGACATGCTGAATGAAAGTCTAAACGTTGGAACTCGTCCAAAGCACGACAATGTAGAATGTGATATTGCCATAAATGAAATATAATCTTTAAGAGGGAAAATAACGCGGGGAAATTGACGATTGACAGATCCGTAAAAACTTATATTGTTGAATTACTTCCTTCTCGCCATATAAAAATATGCAGTACTGGTTTCCATAAGATGATAGATAATGATTGTAAATCTTCCTGTATATATTTTATATATAATTTTAATAGCTGCAGAAAATGATATATTTTGATGATGATATATTTCTTAAATACTATTTTATATTCTCATTTGAATAATATTATCATTATTATCATTTTGTATATATTCCAACGAATTTTTCTAGTGTATAGTGTCATTTTTTCTGGAAATGTTTATTACAACACTGTTAACGAATAAATATGTCAAAACGATTTACTTTGTATTACATCATCGGTTATTAAATACTGTGGAATGTTGTTTCTTTAAAGTCCCACACATTTAATTTATAAAACATTATATTAACCGTATTTAATATCAGTCTCTTTTTACCTTTGCACTTGGTCAAGCAAGAACTTGGATAACACACTTTATCTATTTGAAAAATATAAATATATCATTTATTTTTTCTTTTTTAATTTGGTGTTAACTTCGGCTTGTGGTTTTTGCCAATCTAATGGTTTACGACGATACATGGGCCATGGTGGTACTGTCACTAAAGCAGCCATAACGAAACCTGCACCAAGGATGTAAATTGTTTGAGAAAATTGTTGAATGACGTATCCCCATATGAGACCAACGACCTGCACAAAAGATTTTATCAACGTTTTTTTCTTAAAGCAATATTAACAAATTGTAAGAATAAATAATCATAAAAATTATTACTAACTCCAAAGAGAGTTATGATGACTCTTGAAAGTTTCTCAGCTCTACCTTGGCCATCATAATCCTGTAAATGACAGATATTCAATCAAAAATAAAACTTACATGACAATATATTTTTTAATATTTACATTCTTACATTACAAATATATATGTCAAAGATATAAAAATTTGTTTTTAATTAATCAATAATGTTTAATGTGTGTGTGTAGAAAATTTCAAAATTGTATCAAGAGACATTGACGTATGGAAATGCATAACCTCTAAATAGGTTATGAATTTAAAACATTAATAATTCTCTATTAACGAGCTAGAATTTTTATGAATTTTAATAAAATTATATTTATAACTTACCATATGCGTAGGTATAGACCTTATATATTGCAACCAAGAACTCATTTTGTTAAATAAATAAATGTTTTAGACGTGGCAAAATTTGTACAAGCACGAATACTATTATTCCATATGTTTTGAACAGTGTCATCTGCAACACGATTCTTTAACTATACTGCTACCACCATCTATGTATTTAAAAGAGAACTAAACTCACAGATCGACGTATGAATGATTGCATACTTTCAGGCGTTTTAAATTCATCTATTATAATCATAAAGATACTACACATAGAACAAACAAGTCAGCATAAAACCTGTCGGTGAAATAAAAAGAGATAAAAAATAGGAGGTTGATCTGTTGTCTCTCTCTAACTTGCACTGAGCGGCGCATGCGCATTAGTCTGCTAGTAGAGGTGGCACGACAAGTCTAATGCGCATGCGTTAGAAAGAGACAACATTAACATTTCGACGAGTTTATGCAGAGACATTTCCACTTACACATTCAACAAAAATAAATTATCAGATAATAAATCTGATAAAGCACGAAAGAGAAGAATATTTATGAATTATTATAAAATAATAATGTTCCTTTTTTTTTTTTAAATAAAATAACATGAGTATTTATTATAATAAGAAAAATGTTATCCTACATTATTAATTTCTAATCGTTTTATTTATAAATATTTATTTAATATTAATGTAATTTTTTCATCCTAAAAAAAAAATTATTATTATTTTACGTCGATATTGTCATAATATTATTTGGATGTTGTGCATAATATACAGCATCAGAAATCGTAGGAAATAATCCAAAGGTATGATCATTGGATTCCAATAAATTACATTTCGTCATCATTTCGTAAACAGGTCCGCAAGTTCCAGTAATATAAACTGAAACGTTTATTTCATTGTATTCGTTGATTAAATTTTTTAACATATTTACACCAGCTGAATCGATGTATGTCACTGCCGAAAAATCCAATATCAGAGTTTGCATCTGTAAAAATATATAATAATAAATGTAATTATATTTCTCGAAAATATTTTACAAATAAATTAAAAATATAATTGAAAGTCATTATAGATAGCAGGATAAATTTTTCAATAAAAAAAGTATGGCAAATTAATTAAAAAAAATAATTTAAAATAGAAATTACGGTATCTTTGATCGTCGTGCTGCCATAATTTTGATTCAAAGTATTCCTACTAATGTATAAGTGTTGCGAGGAACACGATGATTGATCGGTGTAATAGGAATTTGAGTATTTTATCTGAAAAAAACAAAAAAGAAAAACATAATTATTTTTAAATAATATAAATCGAGATGATATATTATTATCGAATAATTCGATAATATATCGAACACATCCTTTCGATTTTTTAACAATTATTTTACTATTCTAATACAGTCTACACACATTACAGGGAAATTTTATCTTTGAAGTTATCATTGCGCATGAGCGATAAAATAATTACATTAGAATGCGAAAAAATGTTTAAATCAAAACGTTACAATCTTAAATTCTATTAATTTGATAGATTATTTCTGTTATGTACATGCGCAACGTTCGGAAAGTCATATCAACAACATTGAATAAAAGAACTTTCACAGATGACAACGTGCYAGTGTGAAGGTGAATTTCGAAGAAGACGGTACTCCGATCATATACTTGGTGTTTTTAAACAACAATACATCTTCCTTTCGATTATTTAACAATTATTTTAGTATTCTAATACATTCTACACACATTACAGGGAAATTTTATCCTCGAAGTTATCGTTGCGCATGAGCGATAAAATAATTACATTAAAATGCGAAAAATGTTAAAATCAGAAACTGTTATGCACATGCGCAACGTTAGGAAAGTCATATAAACAATAATAAATAAGAAAAATTTGAACTGTCTTTTATAGAGGACAACGTGCGTTCAGTCTGACAATGAATTTCGAAGGGGAAGGTGTTTTGAATTTATACTCAGTGCTTTTACACTACAATATACATTTCCTAACTTTAATTAACAATTATTTAAGATATGTTAAACATTGTGGATATGATTGTACTCTTTCTCTTTCTTTTTCTAACACTATATTCCGATTTTTTTTTCACATCGTTTTATAATATATTACGATTACCGTCTCTCAAAATGTTTTACTTTAAAAATTGATTTATAATTATACCTCATCTATTTTGTCATCTTCCGTACTATTTTTCGTATTTCTCTTTATCACTTCTTTTCTTGGTATTACTTCGGTTAGTTTATAAACTGTGTCACAAAAATGTTGTCTAGATGCAAAGTTTAAACTTCCCGAGTAATGAAATATTTTAATTCCTGTAATCTCGATCGTCTGAAATAATTGATGTATTTTTTGATGATTGAATTAATTAGAAAACAAAAAAAAAATAATAAAAATAAAAGAAAATTGTCATACTCCTTTATATCTTTGAGAGTCCAAATAAAGTTCAGTACCAGGTGCCAATGCAAGTAAACATGCATAGGGTTGAGTAACAATTATAATTAATTTCGTAAGACATACGAATAAACCAATGATCAGACCATATTCAACGTCCAATAAAATAACTGTGAGAAATGTGATTGCCCAAATACCGGCATCTATTTTATCCAATTTCCAAAATTTTAGGAAATCTGTTATCTTCATCAGCATACCTTGAAGAGCCACGACGATTATACTCGCTAGAATACACTAAAAAAAAAAAAAACAAATCATTTTCATTTAATGCAAGTTACATCGTAGGAAAATTATTTTTTAGAATTGTTTTTTTGTTTGTTTGTTGAATAAAATAATTTCAACAATATAAATTTCAAGTGTTCAATAATATGATTCTAAAAAAAATTAAATTAATCATAAATTTGTAATAATTAATAATTTAAAATTACTCCAATATATAATTAAACATTGTTTATATTTTATTAGAAATTAATGAAAAATGAATGATTTAAAAAAAAATTACTCGTGGAAGAGGTTCGAAGAATGGTCCAATCCATAATAAAACGCTGACCAAAATACCACAAGAAATGAAACTTGCTAATTGTGTACGTCCACCAACAGTTTCTTGGATCAATGATCTCGATAATGAGGCGGTGAATGGCATGCATGAAAAAAATGATCCAAAAAGATTTCCAAGACCCTAGAAAAATAATACCAAGTATATAATTCTATAAGTACTATTCACTTGTAACTTTTTTTTATTGTTGGTTTTATTGTAAAAAAAAAAAAAAACCTTGAAGAGTAAATGTGTGTGTGTGTGTGATGATGATGATGATGATGTTGAAAGATATAATTGAACTTACCTGAGCAACTAATTCTTGATTGGCGTCTACTTCGTAACCAACCTTTTGCGCAAATATTAAAGCCATTGACATAGATATAGTATAGGAAACTAAAGTAATTATGAAGCTATCAAGCAGAACGTTTGGTATTAGAGAAAGTGGAGGTAACGATGGAGTTGGTAATCTGAAATTTTATAATGATTTAATATCAATATAAGATTAATTGTTAAGTTTGACATATTCTCTTTCTATTCAAATATTCATATTTCCAAATGTTTGTTAAAGTTATTTCAAATTTGTAAAGATTAACCCTTTCCATAAGATGTCACTGAGATACTATGGGCCCACTATAGTGGCCTTCCATAAAATATCACGTATTTTACATACGACGAACGTATGCAGTTATAGCACTAAGTCAAATATCCCACTCTTGGGAACGTGTAATTTTAGTATTTTTTTTTTTTTTTTT